TCTCCTCCTCCTCTCTCCTCCTCTTCTTCCCTCCCTCCTCTCTCTCTCTCTCCCCCCCTCCCCTCTCTCTCTCTCTCTACAGCTAGATAGAGACGCAGTTCGTTCTCTCCGCTACCTGCACGTGGGGCTAGCGAGCTGGAGCGTACGTCGTGAGAAGACCTGGGTGGTTTTTTTGTTTTTGTTGTGCCGGTTGCTGGTTGCTGGTTAGTGGTTAGTGGTTAGTGGTTAGTTGAGCGGGAGGGAGGGCTGCTTGCTGCGTTTCTACGGTGCGTGCTTGGGTTATTTTATTGGGGGGTGGGGTGGGATGGGATGGGGGAATGGGTAGGTGGATAGGTGGATAGGTGGACGGGTGGGTTGGGTCGATGGTAGCGTGCCGTGCCGTGGTGTACCGTGGTGTGGTGTGGTGTAATATGGTATGGTATGGTATAGTATGGTATAGTAGAGTATTAGTAGAGTATTAGTATTAGTAGAGTATTAGTATGGTACTAGTAGAGTATTAGTAAAGTATTAGTATACTTGGAGAGAGTAAGTAGGGCCGTGATGAGAGCGCTCTCTACAGAAATGGTTCTCTCTTTTTTTTTTTTTTTAATTCCTCCTTGGTCTTTGGTGAGGATATTGGGTTGGGTTGTGTGTGTGTGTGTGTGTGTGTGTGTGTGTGTGTGTGTGTGTGTGTGTGTGTGTGTGTGTATGTATGTATGTATGTATGTATAGGTATATGTATGTATAGGTCGGAGGGAGGAGAGGAGGAGGGAGGAGGGAGGAGTGAGATCAGGCCCGGAGTGAGGGTAGGGTAGGGTAGAGCAGAGTAGGGTAGAAAGAAAGAAAGATAGATAGGTAGGTAGGTAGATAGGTAGATGGATAGGTAGGTAGGTAGATAGATGGATAGATAGGTAGGTATGTAGGCCATTAATCTGCCTGCTTGCTTGCTTGCTTGCTTGGTGGGGGGAGAGGAGAGGGAGAGGAGAGGGAGAGGAGAGGGAGAGAGAGAGAGTACTACTTTTCGCAGAGAAGCAAGTAAACAGAGTGAGTGGACGGAGTAAATGAAGCCTGTCATGTCCGCCGCAACGTGATATCGCATTTCTACACTCGACCTCCCTTCCTACCCGCCCATGGCCCAGACTACAGACCTACAGCTCTACATACTCTGTATAGTTATCTGGAGTACAAGTTCGCTACGCCTTCCCTTGACCCGACCCCTTTGCCAACCCTAGAGCTTCCCGGCTACCGGCGGATCGATACTCACCTTCCCATGCTCGCACGTCGCCATCACCGCGCCATCTCTCTCCCGCTTCATGCTCCCCTTCAAGCTACACACTGCACCAATGGTCAGTACCAGAACCCTCACTGCACTCAAGGTGCCAGCATCGTGCACAAATCAAGGCGGGATACATGTAGACATACATCGCTTCCCCGCGTGCACAACCTCGCACTCGACCAGCACCGTCTCGCCCACCGGGATCGGGCGCAGGTACGTCACGTTCAGCGTCCTGCTCACGCCGGCGAAGACCCAGAACCCCGGTGCCGCGATGGGGGGCAGGGCGCTGAGGGGGTCAGGAACGTCAGCTTTGGCCGCGGCGAGAAAGGGTACCGTTCGGGGAGGGGAAGGAGGAACACCGGGATGGGGACATCTGGGCTCACCAGGTGGTAGCGAGGTCGAAGATGGTCGCCGTGCAGCCGCCGTGGAGGTTGCCGAGTCGGTTGCAGTGGGTGGGCTGCACTGTGTATCGGAAGAGGACACGGCCGGTTGGGTGGGCGGAGGCGGAGATGAGTTTGAGGTCGTTGCGGAAGAGGTGGGCGGCCCAGCCCTGGGACTGGGGTTAAGAGTTAGCTCCTGCTGGAGTGTAGAAGTGTGTGAAGAGAGCTGCAGGCGGGTAACATGATTCTGACTGTGCATGTAAAGAAAGGTACAAACGCAGGGCGGAAGGAATGCCGGATGTCGACTCGTTATGAGTCTCAACAGAAGCAGTACTGATATCACTTAATGGCTTGCAATCTCGATGCTCCAGGACAACAAGCCCAAGAGCGAAAGTAAACGTATAAACAATAACAAATAAAACAAACAACAAGAATCAACACGAGGAGGAGACCTACCCCATAAATCTCCTCGGCCATGGACCCTTCGAAAAGAGCTCGCACCTTGTCCTCCGCTGAGACATCGGCTCCGACTGGCACCCCAACCAAGTTTATTCCCTCGGCTACACCGGGCATCGTCACTTTGGGCTCTGCGTCAGGCATATTGTTGTTCTCGTGCATCGGGTATTGGGGGAAGAGATGCCATTGCGAAAGCTGGGATGTCGAGCACTGGGTACCTTACTTACCGAGACCGAAGTTGAACGCCGAGGTTGCTGATCCAAGCGAGCGATCACAGTAAGTAAGCGCCTTACGTCCTGAGGATCCCGGGCCCGCGTCGCATTGTTTACAAACCGCGTTGCCCTCAACACCAAAATATCGAACGAATCCAACCATTCGGATCAGCGCCCACGACTACGACGCCGCATCGCCAACATGAGGATCGTCGAGGTTATTATTGACGTACGGTCTGCCTCCGTTGCTGGGAACATCTGCTGATGTGGAACAGGGCTTCAAATCGTACGCTGTGCGGACAGTGATTTCGGGATGGTAAATAAACAATGGCAACGGACTTCCTGGCGGCGGGCTGACTGGAGGTAGGGACGAGTCTTTTAACTCCATTACCGGTCTGAACGGGAGTGGAAAGTCGAATATCCTGGACTCGATATGTTTTGTGCTGGGAATTACGAACATGACGACGGTCCGCGCCCAGAACCTGCAGGTCTGTCTCCCCTTCTCTTCCATCATGCGCCATACTGACGAAGCCGTACCAGGATCTCATTTACAAGCGCGGACAGGCTGGAGTCACGAAAGCCAGCGTGACGATCGTCTTCGACAACCGCGACAAGAAGAAGTCGCCCATCGGGTTCGAGGAATATGCGCAGATCAGCGTCACCCGGCAGATCGTGCTGGGAGGCACCAGCAAGTACCTCATCAACGGGCACCGCGCGCAGCAGCAGACGGTGCAGAACCTCTTCCAGTCCGTGCAGCTGAACATCAACAACCCCAATTTCCTGATCATGCAGGGCCGCATCACCAAGGTGCTGAATATGAAGGCCGTCGAGATCCTGGCCATGATCGAGGAGGCGGCGGGGACGCGCATGTTTGAGGATCGGAGGGACAAGGCATTCAAGACGATGGCGAAGAAGGAGATGAAGGTTACGGAGATCACGGAGCTGCTCAAGGATGAGATTGAGCCCAAGCTGGAGAAGTTGCGGACAGAGAAGCGGGCCTTTCTGGATTTCCAGCAGACGCAGAATGATCTCGAAAGGCTGACGAGGGTGGTGGTGGCGCATGACTACGTGAAGAACCAGGAGAGGCTGAAGCAATCTGCAGGGGATCTGGAGCTCAAGAAGCAGAGGCTGAAGGATCTGGAGGATAACGCTGTGAGGTTGAAAAATGAGATTGAGTATCTTGCCGAGGACGTGAAGAAGGTCAAGGCCCAGAGGGAAAAGGAGCTGAAGAAGGGAGGAAAGGCACAGGCGCTCGAGGCGGAGGTTAAGCAGCACTCGAATGAGATGGTGCGGTTGGCCACTGTGACAGATTTGAAGAGGTCGAGTTTGGCCGAGGAGAAGGAAAGAAAGTCGACCATTCAGAAGACTGTATCTGAGCTGGAGTCTTCGTTAAAACAGAAGACGACGGTCTACGAGAAGCTCCAGGCTCGGTATGATAAGGCGAAAGAGGAGCTGGAAAAGCAGAGCCAGGAGGCGGAGACGAAGGAGGAGCTGCTCCAGACCCTTCAGACTGGTGTTGCATCCAAAGAGGGGCAGGAAAGTGGATACCAAGGCCAACTACAAGATGCGCGGAATCGCGCAAGTGCTGCATCGACTGAGCAGGAACAAGCTAAATTGAAGACGACACATCTGGAGAAGCGTATCAAGGAGGAGGAACCGAGGGCGAAGAAGGCCAAGGAGCAGAATGCTGGCTTACTCAACGACCTCGAGGGATTACGGTCACAAGCTCAGAAACTCGAGAAGGAGCTGGGCAAGCTCGGTTTCGAGCCTGGACAAGAGGATGACATGTACAAGCAGCAATCGACTCTTCAGCAGACCATCCGGGCATTACGCGAGCAATCGGATGGCCTGAAGCGAAAGGTTGCCAACATCGATTTCAACTACGCTGATCCTACACCCAAATTCGACCGGTCAAAGGTCAAGGGCTTAGTTGCGTCTCTCTTTACTCTCGACAAAGAGCGGACAGACGCTGGGACTGCGCTTGAGATTTGTGCTGGTGGTCGCCTGTACAATGTCGTTGTCGATACTGAAGTCACTGGTACACAATTGCTTCAGAACGGCAAGCTCAGGAAGCGAGTGACGATTATTCCTCTGAACAAGATCGCTGCGTTCCGAGCCTCGGCCGAGAAGATTGGAGCTGCACAGAAAATTGCCCCGGGAAAGGTCGACCTCGCACTGTCACTTATCGGCTACGACCAAGAGGTCTCCACGGCAATGGACTACGTGTTTGGCAACACCCTGATCTGTGCCGATGCAGCTACGGCCAAGAGAGTGACTTTCGATCCGGCTGTTCGGATGAAGAGCATCACTCTAGAAGGAGATTCGTACGACCCATCTGGAACCCTGTCCGGTGGTAGCTCACCTAACTCCAGTGGCGTCCTGGTAACGCTCCAGAAACTCAACGAGCTGACTAAAGAGTTGGGCATGCAAGAGAGGACCCTGGCAGAACTCCAGGCTACCATGGCCCGGGAAAAGAAGAAGCTGGATCAGGCCAAGAAGATCAAGCAAGAGCTTGATCTCAAATCTCACGAGATCAAACTTACCGAGGAGCAAATTAGCGGCAACTCGTCTTCTTCCATCATCCAGGAAGTTGAGAACATGAAAGCCTCCATTATTCAGCTGAAGACGGATCTTGTGGAAGCCCAGAAGCGTCAGGACGAGGCGAACAAGGATATCAAGCGCATCGAGAAGGACATGAAGGATTTTGACAACAACAAGGACGCGAAGCTTGTCGAGCTGCAGAGCTCTCTGGATGCGCTTCGGAAAGCCTTGACCAAGAACTCGGCGTCGGTCAAAGTCTTGCAGAAGGAACTTCAAGGTGCGAGGCTGGACTCGGAGCAGGCCGGTGGTGATCTCGCCGCTGCCCAGGAGCAGCTTCAGGAGGTCGAGGTCACTCTGAATGGGTATGGTGAAGAGATTGCTGCGCTCGTGGCCGAAGAAGCTCAAGTGAAGGTATGTATGTCTACTATTTTCCAGGACTATTTAGGCTCACCATTGCAGGATACTCACGATATCGCTCAAGCGCATCTTGACGATGAACGAGCAAAGCTTACTGGCTTCGACGACGAACTCCGCTCCTTAGAAGAGGCTTCAAGATCTAAAGCATCTCGCATTACAGAAGAAGGTCTCGAGAAGCAGAAATTGGGTCACCAGATCGAAAAGTTCCACAGGGAGCAGCAAACTTCGGTTCAGACCGTCGCCCACATGGAGAAGGAGCACGAATGGATAGCTGATGAGAAGGACAACTTTGGCCGCACCGGCACACCCTACGACTTCAAAGGCCAAAACATCGCCGAGTGCAAAGCCACCCTACGAACCCTGACCGAGCGCTTCCAGGGCATGAAGAAGAAGATTAACCCCAAAGTCATGAACATGATCGACTCGGTGGAAAAGAAAGAGGTCGCGCTCAAGAACATGATGAAGACGGTCATCCGTGACAAGAAGAAGATTGAGGAGACCATCGTGACGCTGGACGAATACAAGAAGAAGGCCCTGCACAAGACGTGGACGAAGGTCAATGGGGACTTTGGGCAGATTTTTGCGGAGCTGCTGCCAGGCTCTTTTGCCAAACTCGATCCGCCGGAGGGCAAAACGATTAATGAAGGCTTGGAGGTCAAAGTGTCGCTTGGTTCGTTCCACCCCCCCACCCCCGGGCCCCAACTCTCCTTTGCCTCTACCTCTGACCCCGAGACATCCGAGCTTCATATTATTGCAAGCAGCTCGCCCCAATTCATGACAAAAACAAGCGTCTTGCTAACTCTAGCTCCGCAAAACAGGAAAGGTGTGGAAACAAAGCCTCACGGAGCTCTCGGGCGGTCAGCGGTCCCTCATTGCCATCTCGCTCATCATGGCGCTGCTGCAGTTTAAGCCGGCGCCGATGTACATCTTGGACGAGGTGGACGCGGCGCTGGATCTGTCGCATACGCAGAACATTGGGCGGCTGATCAAGAACCGGTTCAAGGGGAGCCAGTTCATCGTGGTCAGCCTGAAGGATGGGATGTTTCAGAATGCGAACCGCATCTTTCGGACGCGGTTCTCCGAGGGGACAAGTGTGGTGCAGGCGTTGACGGCAGCGGATTTCGACAAGTAGTAGGAAGGTGGTGGTGGTGGTGGTGGAAGTTGGGGTGAGGGAGAAGGGGGGAGAAAGGGTTGAGCTGGGTGATGCGTGCGTGCGTCGTGCATTGGGGTCATTATGGATTGATGGTGTTGCGGTGTTCGGGGAAAGGGAAATATGGGGGTTTGGTGGTCCTGTGCCTCTGTTGGGCGGCGGGTTGTTTTGGTCTGGTCCTATCTCAACGATTGTATGAAAATAATGAACACTTTGATACCTATCTATTTACACACCTATCTATCCATCCGCCACTATCATGATGGCCGTGCCGCACGCACGCGATCGATCGATCGGAGACAGGTACATATCACGATGAGGTGCATGCTGCTGTCTGTTTATTTACCTCACCGCATTTCGCATTCGATGAAAAGGAGGGCTACGATTCTTTACTTGTACTTGTACGAGGTGCCCTTTACGAACCTTCAGCTCTCTCTCCTGCGGCAAAGAAAGTTTGGAAAGCCGAAATTAGATCAAGGTGGCCTCTCGAAGAGATTTCCCTTTACCGGCGATCCGAACGAGCCTCTTCGTAATTCGACTACCACGCCGATCACGATTCATACTACTACTTGACGGGCATACCGATTAAGAACACTAAAAGGATCTGCGATAGAAATGAAACGGGGTAAGAGCGATAAAAGAAGGTTCAAAGCGATCTACGATATTGCGCTTTCGAAAAGGCCACCTAGCTGATTCCGGTTCGGCCTCGAATTATCTCAACAATCGACACCTGTATACTACGTTACTTACGCTGTAACTTGTTCTTGAAGTTTTTCTCCCGACGGAGATATATCTTTTTTGCGATCTATTTTATCCGTAAAGGAAAGGCATAATCGATACCGTAGCAAGCTACGCTATACCGACTTGAATTGCTTTTAAGGGTTATAAAGGTTATGCGATACCGCGGGATTAGAGACCCGAGGTTATTTGAAAAAAGCTTTTCCTTAACGTAGTTTTTATCTTCGATGGAATAAGTAGTACTTTGTATATGATTCTTTTACTTAGCACGTTGCCGTACCCTTTAGAAGGTCCTCAGGCGGCAGGCAAAGCTTGCCACCCGCCCGATGTTAACAAATACAACAATAACAACAACAACAACATTCGATGAAATGAGATGGAATAGGCCGACGCTATGCGGTGTGGTGCTGCGCCACTACAGAATGATGAACGTCCTCTTTTTGACCGGTAGATCTGCAGCCAGGGACTTTCCGGGATCCACGTCTCCACGTTAGAAGATATATTTATATACGGAGTAAACACATATATATTTCATCCGTATAAATATATCTGCTTGGCAGGTACGGCTCAACGCATCCCATCCCAACTTAGCGCTCAGCATCGTCTCAACGTCTTCTTTTTTTCTCCCTCCTTCCCAGCTTGAGTCGTTGTTTATTTCCGTAGGATATGTCTCGCTGAATCGGCTACCCATGATATCCCTCTTCCTTTGTAGAATAACTGATCGCGTGGATGCACGGTTTTATGGATGGTATCACCACTTCGAGATGTTACAACACCGACACCGACACCGACACCGACACCCCGACACCCCGACCCCAACCCCGACCCCGGCCCCGACCCCGGCCCCGACCCCGATCCCCCACTAGCGTCTTCTCCCAAAACAGTACCAACACCAAGCTACTGTACTTCAACTTCAGATTCAAACGTTGAACTTTATTTCTCCTTCCGGAGTCATCACCTACACTACTGTATTCTATCTGCCTCTTTTTTCAATCTTCATCTCCACCTTCACTTTCAATTCCCATACTCGCCTTCATCCGCACCCGTTCCCATACCCTCTTCACCCTTTTACCCGTACCTTCGCCCATATCATACAACCAGCACAACCAGCACAGCCAGCAACCAGCACAAGACTACGAACCCGCCAAGTGCCAACCATAGTTACTCTTATTCTCCTTCCGCCTTTTCTCGTCCTCCCTCTTCTCTATCTCCCTCCCGATTCTTTCGTTCCTTTGCAAGATTGCATCTCCTTCATGTACATCGTTTGGTAAGTAAAGTTTCGCTTGTCTCGCGGGCCCCGACCCCCAATCCCAATGCCAATCCACATCCTGGTCCAGAAATAAAGGAGAAGGACGATAAGTACTGACAATCTCCCGCGACCGCAGCAGCAGCAGCAGCAGCAGTAGCAGCACATAGATAGCACAGCACGTTGTGTCCATTGACGACTTCCACCCATCCCCCCAACATGTCTGCCCTTCTCGAACAATACCGCGTGCTCCTCGAAGAATACTACGAAACCTACTCCCAACAACTGCTTGCGAAGATACCTGTCATTTCCACCCAGACCTACGTCCTCACCGGGCTCGCCATCTGCATACCTCCCATAATCGCCCTGATCATCTACGAGCGAGAACAAGCCAGACTCCTCGCTGAGCAACCAAAGGGCTGCAGGAAACTTGGTCTGAAGATCGATTCCAACCTGCTCAATGAGTTCGACAAGAAGTTCTCCGAGGGCCGCCCCCCATCCACCGAGGAGACGTCAGCAGAGTGGTGGCGGCTGAAGAGCCTGTGGATCTACCCCGTCAAGAGCTGCAGAGGTGTAGAGCTGAACAGAGGGACCGTGATTGCGACCGGCATGGAGTACGACCGCCAATTCACGTTTGCTCAGCTCAAGAGCCCCGTCCCCGTCAACGCTGCCACCCCCGAGAAGGAAAAGGCCGCGGCACACAAGTGGGAGTTCATTACGCAGAGACAGTTTCCTCTGTTGGCCCAGGTACGGACTGAGATGTGGGTTCCGGATCAGTCAGTGGACACGTACACGCCGCACGCCGAGGACGTCGAGTCAGGAGGTGTCATTATTATGAGTTTCCCATACCAAGAGGCTGGATGGAGAGGTGTGGTTGCGAAGTGGGGAGCCTCTTTCAAGGGTACGGTTCCTGAGAAGCAGTTCCGTATCCCCTTCGATCCATCTCCAGTGCAGATCGAGAAGGCAGGCTACTCGTTTGAGAAGATGACTATCTGGAAGGAAACCGTCACCGCGCTGAACCTGGAGATCGAGATCCCTGAGGAGCTGAGATATTACCTTGGTATTAGCAACAAGCTGGGCCTCTTCAGAGTCGACAGCTCCAAGCCGCGGGAGGTGTTCAGAAATGCTCCAACGAAAGAGGAGTTGGGATACCAGCCTGTGACTGGTTTCCAAGACGCCGTAAGTTCTCCCCGAATAGACGCCCCCTCGTGGTCAAGCAAGGCTGATAATCATAACAGTACCCCATTCACCTTATCAACCTGGCCAGCGTTCGCGACGTCGAGCGCCAGATGCCCAAAGTCAAGGGTGCCCCTCGTTTGTCCGCCGCCCGCTTCCGCGCCAATCTGATCATCACTGGTCCTGAAGCCTACCACGAAGACACCTGGAGACGAATCAAGATCGGTTTCTACGAGTACGACGTATCGTGCCGCACCGCCCGCTGCAAGATGCCCAATGTGGACCAGGTCACCGGCGAACGACACGCCAGCGAGCCCGACCAGACGCTGCGCAGCTTCCGCGCCGTAGACGCCGGGACCGGCCCAAACATCGGCTGTCTGGGCGTGCAAATGGTTCCGATTTCGAAGGAGAGCGCGCTTCGCGTCGGAGACGAGATCACAGTCCTGGAAGTTGGTGAGCACGAATACGTCAAGCAATGATGGGGTTCGCGACAAGTCCGAGGCCCTGCGTGTGAGAAAAGTGAACGAACAGGTTTTTGATTTTTTTTTTTTTGGTGAACGGAACGAAAAAGATACCCGGACCGGTTCTCCGAGATGAGCGAGATTTGGCATAACGTGGCGGGCACAGGGGAAGGGAGAGGGAGAGGAGTTTAAATCAATCAACGAGCGACGGAAGAAAATACTAGGCACTTGGCCTCTACCAACTTTTGTAATAGGGGATTTGGCGAAGATGAGCGAACTGTGGGCCTGGGACTGAGCCCCGCTGTTGTTGTTTATAGCTTCTTCTGTTTCCTTCTTTTCATCGTTTCTGCTTCTCCTGTCTGTATCTTCTTCTCCTTCCCGTTTCCGCTGTACGCTGTACGCTGTACGCTGTACGATGGATGTGTATTGGGTTCCTATAGCTATCACACGACATTACCTTGAGTCTCTTTTTCCTCTTCTTCTTCTTCCTCATACTCTCCTTCTTCATCCTCGTCTTTAATCAATTTGATGTGTATGTATGTATGTATGTGTATGTAATGTGTGTATGTATGTACATCATGGTGAGGGGGGGTGGGTTCTTTGTGAATACGCAAAAGAAATTTTTTTAAAAAAGGCCAAGAGTGGTTTTAGATATGTACTTTTTTGAGGGGGAGAGGGGGGGGGGTTGTATCATATTATAGTAGGTCTTGTTATATATATATATATATAATCGGATGAGCGACCGAGCAAGCGAGTGACTCTGCGCGACTTGATCTCCGGAGCTACAGCGGTGAAGTGAAGTGAAGTGAAGTGAAGTGAAGTGCTGTCTGTAACCCCTCGCTTGCTACTTACTGTACTGTACAGTACTAGGTACCTAGGTACCTACTCCACAGCCCACCATCTCCTAACCCGCTCGCGCAATCAGCTACGTAGTACCGTAGCTGAGCCTGAAGCACGGAACTGTATCCTGGTAGTACATACATACAGTCAGTAGGTAGGTAGGTAAGGTAGGTAGGTAGGTAGGTACTAGGTACAGTACCTAGAATCTCGAAGACGAAGCAGCCTTCACGGCGGATCGGGGAGTAGTACCGGTAGTAGTAGTAGTACTTTTACTTTTACTTTACTAGTAGTACTGTAGTACTGTAGTAGTAGTACTTTTGTGGTGGTTACGGTACGGTACGGTACGGTACTAGTAAGTACAGTCAGGGTTAGGGTTGGGGTTGGGGTTGTTGCGCGATGGGGTGGGTTGGGGATTGGTGGTGGGCTGGGGAGTAGGTAGCGGTAAGTAAGGTAAGTAGCTATAGTATAGTAGGTATAGTAGCTATAGTATAGTAGCTAGTATGGGTTGCAAGCAAGGGTTGCATGGGTTCACCGCTGTACAGGTACTAGTACCTACCCTCTGTAGAGTACGGTACGGTACCGGTAATTGAGTTGAATTGAGAGAGTTACCTACCTTACTGTACTTAAGTATAATTAACCCCACCCCATCTTATCCCCCCCCCCACCGCCCCTTTTTTTTTGGGTTATTGGTTTTTGTAGAAGATCTTGGGCTGTGTTTAGATGTTGGTGTGATTACTCTTTGCGAAGAACTTTTGATGGATGCGGATGCGGATGAGGGAAGAGATAGGTAGATAGATAGATGGATCTATGTGGTTACGTTTGCGGTCTTTTTTGTAGATGTGGTGATTTTAATAGGTAGATGTCTGAATTCAAAAGGGGTGGCTAGGTAGGTAGGTAGGTAGGTAGGTAGGTAAGAGGACCTAGCTACTTACTAATCGTCGGCTCGCTTAGGTGGGCCTCCTTTCAGCCTTTCAGTCTTAGTCGGTATAAGCGACTGCGGATCGGAAGCGAGTGCGGATTTTTCGAATGTGTTAGAAATTTTTGAATACTATAGCAATTAATTACTATTACAACTTAAAATTATTTATATAAATAATTAATCTGCGATTATATCTTCTTTCGAAACATTCGAAATCGTATCATTTGATAAAACATTTGACTATCGATTGTTATTTTCAAAGTCTGATTCGTTTTTTACTTTACGCAACGAATCGTTTGAATCTCTACTATTATAAAATTGAAACTATCGCTATCGATATTAATATTAGAAAAAAGAAAAACATCTTGCTTTAAAAAAGGGTCTTTAATAGTATCGGTTATAATTATTAAATCATCGTTATCGTAAGAAAGTTCGGGTTAAGAAAGAGTTGGTCGAGGAATACTTTTTTTACGAGGCCGCAAAATTTGACTTTTAAGAAGTTGTTGCATCTATCAAATCTCTTTCGAATCGAGAATTAAAATGAGCATTGTATTGTCGTCTTTAATAATTAAGCTTATAGAAAAGCGTTTTCGTATAATACTTTTACGCCCGCGCTTAACTATGCGATTCCTTTACGATATTTAATATCTTTTTCTTCTTTTTAAATCTTATCGACGCGTTATTATTTTATAGCAGATTCAAAATTTTCTTTACTTTACTGCTTAATAGCAAGCTTGTTATCGATTAATAATACGATTTTAAATGTTTCGGAAAAAGATATGCTCGTAAATTAATTATTTATATAAATATTCTTTAATTAATTATAATAGTAATTGTTATAATATATAAGAATTTCTAATACATTCGAAAAATCCGCACTCGCTTCCGATCCGCAGTCGCTTATACCGACTAAGACTGAAAGGCTGAAAGGAGGCCCACTTAAGCGAGCCGACGATTACGTACTAACCTACGTATGTGGTAGTATGATGTTATGATGTTGCGTTCTTCGTCTCTAGGTTGGGTAGGCGGTTGAGAGAAAGAATTTTGAAGTTGTACGCGGGAAGGAGATGGGATGAGAGGTGGAGAGGGGTGAGGGAAGGGGAGGGAGATAAGGCGAGGGGAGGTAAGATGGACGAATCGGTACGTAGTATTTTTTATCTCTTCACCTCGTTTCTTCTGTTTATCTTTTGTAGAGATGTAGAGGAGTGGAATTTCGATTCGGGTTTGGATTTTGAGTTGAATTCGGATTGAGTTTGTGTTTTGAGTTTGAGTATGAGTTGAGTTTGACTTTGACTTTGAGTTGATTGTGAGGGTTTTTTTTTTTTGCCCTGGTGAGAGTGAGAGTGAGAGTGAGTGAGTGACAGGGGGGAAGTGTGTGAAGAAAGGGGGGAGGGGAGGGGAGGGGTTACGGTTACTGTAATCTGTAGAGCAAATTTTTCATATTCAATCATTTATATTTCGGTACTTTTACTTTGAAGAAAAAGAAAAAAAAAAGAGGAAAAGGACGAGCGGGGAAATATGAAATATATATAAAAAGGTTCTTGATCGTTGAATCACATTAATTTTATATATACGATCCACTCATCTCCTCACTCGTCTATTACTGGGCAGCTACGATTCTTTACCTATGCGATACGAGGTGTAAGCAGCATCTACATCTACATCTTGCCGCCAGCAGCGAGCAAAAGAAAAGCGTTCAACGACGAACGGTATCCCTCTCACGAGCCTCCAGCCCTTTCTTGCGGCAGCGAGTCTGGAGAGCCGAAATCGAATCATCGACCAGCGGCGCCTTTCGAAGAGATTTTTTTTTTTTCTTTCACCGGCGCTTCCGAACCTCCCTCCCCTCCTTTCCTTTCTCGCGAAACACCCACCACGCCGACTACGATCTATCCGTGACGGGCATCCCGACTGGCAAGATGAGGAGGATTTGCGATGTCAAAGGAACGAGCGTAGCAAATGAAATACGAGAGGCTTGATTTCGAAGAAGCGAAAAACACGATGTTGCGCTCTCGATAAGAGCGCTTCGCAAATACACCCGCCGGCTTTACATACAGGCTACGAACGCGAGCCTTTGCAGCTTTACGATTGAAAAACCAAAAAAAAAACCAAAAAAAAAAACCAAAAAAAAACCGGATGTTCATACTTACACGGATCGAGGCCGCTCGTAAGGCCACACGTATTCGATAGTTACCGAGAGACAACTCGGTGCAGACTACTTCATATTGCCCTTCATATTGCTTCACAAGGAGTTCGCGAGACCGCGGGATCAGAGACCCAAGGCTATCCAAAAGAGAGCCCTTCCCCAACGCGGATTTCATTCTCCATTGGACAGTGCGTTGTACAACGATTCCTCTCCTGAGCACGGCGTCGCCGCACCTGGTAAGCGGTCCTAGGGCGGCTACCCGCCCGACGGTAGTAAGTACCGGTACAAGAACAACAACGACTCGTTTGTTTCTCTACTACTCGTTTGTTTCTCTACTTATCCTACCCCCATGTAAACGACCTAAACTAAGCTCGTACCATACATATCGTATGATAACTAACACAGCAGAGATTCAAACCCCAACATTCAGACTTGAAGACAGGCCTATTCACCTCGGGGCAAATACATATACATATAATTTAATTTAATTTAATTTTTTTTTTTTTTAAGAAAAAAATAAGGATACGGAAAAAGCAGAATCCTATCCCGTACCGTACCGTACCATTAATCCATATATCGATTCAAGACGAAGACGAAGACGAAGACGAAGACAAAGACGAAGAAGAAGAAGACGAAGAAGAAGAGCTCGTCTCATTCCGTGATGAGGAAAACTTTTATACATCTCGTATTTACATCTGCTGCTTGCTGCTGCAAACGCCCTAGCTAGCCGCGTTGCGCTTGCGTACAGAGGGAGAGGGGGAGAGAGAGAGAGAGAGAGAGAGAGAGGATGGAAGTAAGTTGGTTGGTTGAGTAGGGAGGATGCTGATTGATTGATTGTATTTGGACTGGCTGGATTCATGTGGAGGATCTTGGCTCCAGGCTGTCCTGGCGGGCGATGATTTGATTAATAAACCACATTAGTCACGAGGGAGGTTTTGATTCCGATTTTTAGCTTGATTTGCGAGGTAGAGATAGATGATAAAGTACAACTATATTTTTAGCAACGCTGATGTTGAGCTTGAGATTGCTTGGAAGTTGCAGGCTCTAGACATGGGTTTCGCTTGTTTGTTTATCGGTTATTCTATTTATCCCATAGGCGACTATCAAATACATAGACCCCACCTTGCTTCATTCATTTCTGCGAAGCAACCGACCCCCCCCCCCACCCCCCTCACCGATCTTACGTCCCCCATCAACCAGTCTGCTCGACGAAACTAGCTACAGCCTCAAATGGCCTCAAGAATAACACCGCACCCCCTTCCCCCTCCATCACACCCCCATATGTACTCGTCAGCACGCCGCCCTCCTTCATCCGCATCCCGGCCGGCATCTTCCACTCCACAACCACATCCTTAAAATTACACACCACCGCGACCTTCTCGTCCCCGTACCGCCTCAGATACGCAAACACATCCTCATGGCCCTCCCCTGCCCCCTCGCCCAGCAGCGCAAAGTCACCGTAGATGAATACGTCCCGGTGCGACTTTCGGAGCGCGAGCAGCGAGGCCCAGTACGAGAAGACGGAGCCCGGGACGTGCAGCTGCGACTCGGCGTTGATGTCGACGTAGCTCGGGTTCTCGAGCTGCCAGGGCGTGCTGGACGGCAGGGTGAAACCCGCGTGGGGAGCCGATGACCACTGCATGGGCGTGCGAGCGTTGTCGCGGGACTTGAGCGCGATTTGCTGCTTCAAGAGGCGGTGGAGCTCGGGGTCGTTTGGGTGGTCTCTCATCATTCTGCATTTATCGAGTCTCTATCAGTAAATCTGCTGTGTTGTGTGTTGGGGAGGGGCGGATGGATAGAGGAAAGGACGTACTCCCGCCATGGGTTCAACGTCTCGAGGTCGCGGTACTCGGATATGGGTCTGTCGAGCGGGAGGTTGGTCATGCCGAGTTCTTGGCCCTGGTAGATGAATAAGGTGCCGCTCTGGAGCGCGAGGAAGGTGGCGAACATCTTTGCGCAAACGACGCGGTTGGAGGGGTGATCGGAGCCCCAGCGGGAGACGCTGCGGCTTCTATAGGGAACACAGGTAGTCAGCAGTAGTCTGTTGTGTCAGGGGAAAGTCAAGAGAAGGAGAAAGCACTTGGAAGGCCACGAGATGTTGAAGGCGGAGACGAATATTGATAGAACTTGAGATAAGAAAAACCGGGCTTCCCCGTACCTACTGGTCGTGGTTTTCGAGGTAGAGGGCATTCCAGCCGTCGTTTTCAATCTAAAGAAATGGGTCGTCAGTCTTAGGATGGTTGTAAGGATTCAGGAGAAGGGTAGATGGAGGATGAGAAATTTGGGTACAGCAGATTTGGGCATTTTGTTACCTACCATGAAAGTTTGCCATCTATTGACGATGTATTTGAGCTCCGACATCTTCCAATCTCGAGGGGAAAACTTTCCACGGTCTCCTTGGTCCATGTTGACTCTGGGCAGCGTTAGACGGGTCATTCTTTAAGAAAAAATCTTAGTTATAACACTCACATCTCGAACTGGAAAATCATGTTCAGTTGGCCGCGGTCAAACCCAACTGCATCCAAAATATCTTTTGGGTCCTCCACGCCAGGCATTTCACCAACCGAAAAAGCATCGTACTCTTTCAAAATCGTACCCAGAGCGAGCAGAAATTCATGGAGGCGGGGGCCGCAAGCAAAATACTTAATTCCAGATTGCCAGGGGCTATCTGGATTTGTAATCGGTGCATCTGGAAGCTCGGGGACTTTGCTGATGAAGTTGATGACATCCATTCTGTGCCATCCTGTGAGCTTTAATGATACTCTCCTGGTGAGCACGAACTGACCTGAACCCATCAACTCCCTTGTCCAGCCAGAATCTCATGATATCATGAACTGCGTCTCTGACCTTAGGATTCTCCCAGTTCAGATCTGGCTGCTCGGGTGCAAAGAGATGCAGATAGTACTCGTCAGATGGTTCATCGTACTCCCACGCACTACCTGGGAAATCGATTAGTCGAGATTGGAGGAGTGAAGGCGTCTAGAACTTCCTACCTCCCCATGCCGCTGCCCAATTATTGGGTGGCTGTCTCTTCCCTTCAGGATCATATCTTGGTTTCTTCCACCTGGATGATCGGGAGGTCAGCAAACGTTGGCGTGAGTGTGTCGAGGATAGTCTCGAGAACAGAGTACTCGTGCGGTAACTGCAAACAGGAGGATGTCCTTACATGTAGAAGTCCCGATATGGACTATCTTTCGAAGATTTGGCCTCCTGAAACCATTTGTGCTAAACCAGCTGCGGTCAGCCTCATCCATATATCCCCGACAGACTTCAAAGAGCGGCCCACCTGATTACTCGTATGATTAACCACCAAATCCATCAAAAGTTTCATGCCCCTCTCATGACATCCCTTGATGAGTGCATCCACATCCTCCAGCGTCCCATACGGCGCGTGGATGTCTCTGTAATCAGAAATGTCGTATCCCATATCCACTTGCGGGGATTTATAAATCGGGCATACCCAGACAATGTCGATGCCGAGAGCTTTGATATAGTCCAGCTTGGATGTGATACCGGGGATATCGCCGAGGCCGTCGCCGTTGGAGTCTAGGAAAGAGGCGGGGTAGATCTGGTACACGGAGGACTCTTTCCACCAGGCTCGCTTGGGAGAGGAAATCGGGGGAGACATTGTTGTTTGGTGAGTAGGGAAGATTGGTGAGAAATGAGAAATTAAGAAATAAGAAGTAGGAATTGAGGAGCGAGAAGTGAGAAGTGCAGATGAGGTCTGGGTTCGTTGTGCAGTTTGCGGACGGTCGCAGGTCACTTAGTCATGGAAGAGAGTCCTGAGGTCACAATGCCCAGATGGGAATGGAGGTTGTTGCTAATTTGTAACTGGCTCGCTTAATTGAGGGGCACCGAGGTTGTTTGTTTTCTTGACCGCTACGATTCTCGCTGGATTTGTCGACACATTATTGTCCTGTTGCTGTTGCTGTTGTGTTGCTACATGACCGATTCTATCACAAGAGCATTTCGCAGTCACTCACTCACTCACTGTGGTCTTGCATACGAGACTCGGATATCGCTCTTTGCAACTCTGGCGAGAGGGCAAAGTTTCAAATTTCAGCATACTGTGATACCCTCTTGTAATTTTCTGGTCTCTGCATTCTGCTTTAGAAAGCAGCTCTGTGCAGGATGTCACACAGATGATATGTATTCTGTTTCAAGCCGGCTGGGTAGGTACAGTTCTAACGATGTTATAATGCATAAACACATAAACCCCTTTTTCGCACCAAAACCAAGGATCAACACCTCGAAAAAAAAATCACGTTTGCCATAATTTCTCAATCCCACCTTCGTGAACCTATTTAATTGGACCATCAAACTCAAATCTGCTGATGGAACAGAACTAGATGCATAAGACAGGAGCTGAAATCGGCCCCCCCCCTTTTTTTTCTTTTCTATCCTTTCCAAGATTTGCGGTGTCAACTCTAAATATTAAGCGAAAGCTAAGTTTTTATACTTTCTGCTTTAGTGTACTCTATTGAATGATGATATAGAACAAAACCGTCTTATAGTTATGAGCTATTCGGATTTGTTAAAAGGTTCACAATTTTTGCTCACCTTTTAAAGCTTATGATTGTACAGAGTTGAGGCTCTCGAATAGTCAAACTTTGGTGTGAAAAGAGCGTTTATGCATTATTTGTTCTAGGTCACTGTAACCCTAATGAGTTTGAATCCAACTTGCTCATCAAGCGTCACATCACTCCGGTTCACCAAAGCGCTGTCAGGCTCGTCTCTTAAACATGTTCCTGGCTTCATATCTTCAATTCGTCGTTTTCCATCAAGGAATGTACCCAGGCTACGCAGTAGCGACCGAATATAGACATGAAAAAAGAACGCCACCCCAGCTGCACAGCAGCAGACCAACTCCTATCCCATATACCCATCTCCGATATTCCAAAAGGAGTGTTTATTTGCATGATACCTTGCATGCACCCTTGGAGCTGACCTTCTTTGAGCTTCCTCCCTTCTCCTTGGTAACGCCAATGTACTCCTGGCAAGGAGTGCCACCGCCACACGATCCCTGGACGCTAGCAGTATCTCCGTACTATGTATCAATCAGTCACTACCCATATGGCTGTCGTACCAGCGCGAGTTCGGGATGCTTACGTTGGAGTTGATACCCACAATCTCCTTGACACCGGTAGCCTTGAGGCCAGTGATGACAACCTTTCGGGGTCCTCCGTTCTTGGTGCAGTTTCCGCATGAGCGGTAAACTTTTCCGGCCTTGCTGACGGTGAAGTTCTTGATGGTGACTGTACCTCGTCCATTGTGTTGGACTACCTTGTCATCGGCGTTCTGAGCACCACCTCCCGAGATGGTGACGCTTCCCGTGCCGAGAAGAGAGATGGCATCTAGATAAAGTCCACCGATCAGCACATATACACATGGAGAAGCAGGAGAGAAGAAGGGGAGACACACCCTCGCACACATCCCTGAACCACACATTGGTAATGGTGCAAGCAGCCTTGCAATGGATGCCCTCGCGCTGCTTGGCTCCGATGATAACGTTCGAGATCGATGCTCCATTCTCGAGAATGAACACCGCGTCACCACTGCCGTTCTCGCCATTGCCACACTTAATACCACGGTCGAACTCCTTCATGCCACCATCGAAATTTCCAGAGACGACCTGGGCTTTGGGTAGCTTGGTGTAGCCTTTCGCCGCTGGGATAGAGAGCTTAGCGTTAGCCACGCTACCGGTAGCGAGGAGGCCGAGGAAGAAGCTGAGGGTTGGCAATTGCATGTTGTTGTTTTGCTGTGTTGTGTGTCTGTGTTGCTTGTATTGAAGAAAAAGAATGTAGAATACAATGAAGTGAAATCAAAATGAATATAATGTTAAAAAGAATATAACCTTGGAAAGAATGTAATGTTGGAAAGAATGTAATGTTGGAAAGAATGTAATTCTGGGAAGAATCAAGTGAGAGTGAAGAGAATGTGTGGAGGGCATCACGCACACCTTTTGTATCTCGACTTCAGCACCCCTGGCGACGTTTCTCCTAGTATTATCACTCGAAGTTCTCCGCCCTGCTGCTCACCTGCATACGATGAATTATTGGCGTGTTGTATCCATAAGACTACAAGACCAGTCAAGCCCAGCAAGCAATCTGGAGAGTACTGCCGCCCAGCTTGAATTCTGCGCCGTCAGTATGAGCGAAGGAAATCGAGATCTTTCACTTTACCCAGAGATCTATACTGAAACCAGTAATGATGCGTCCCCAACCTAAGGCTTCAGTCTTATGTTTATTGGGGTGTACACTTCGCAGAATCACTTCCGGCCCCCCTTTCATTTCTTAATGAAAATGACGTCCAGTGAGTTTTACGCGTGAAATCCAGTCTCGTATCAGTGGTGGAGGCTTCCAGCAAAAGCCAAGAGTACATTCTGATCGGTTTCGGGGCCTATGCTTCCCGGGAAGAGTCGAAACAAGACATGCGGAGTTGAGGATATGTTTTCGTTTGATCTGTTGGACACTTGGACGTTGCCGAATAAACAAGCTCGCTTGGATGAGATTAAAGCATGGCGTCATCTCATAATTTGGACCGTGCTTGTGCGTATCAAAAGGTCAGAACTAAAGCAGCTCCAGACTCGAGAGAGCCGCTTCATGCTACCCAGTACTCTCCCCCCCATGAAGAAATGTCGAAAGTATAATTTTGCAAGAGATCTCTTACCAGGGCTTAAACCAATCAACTTGTAAGGATTCAGCTTTGAAAAGTATCTTTGAGCCAGTATTTAGTCTATACAGTGGAGTTGGCAGGGCTTTGAGCCATTAAGAAACCACCGCTCTATGATTTATGGGCCTAAACTGGGTCCGACATTTATTATGGGGGGGGGGAGAGTATTGGTTGTGCACCTAGCCCGGCTACAAAATCTTCTTAACGATAGACACAAGTAACGCTTTGTGGATATAAGGATTCCCCTTAATTAGCGGTATTACTATGTGCGTAGTAATCTCCGATTTTAGGGTTTTTTACAAGCCTGCCGTAGCCTCCACAGTTGTTTACCTTATTTTATCTATCCAATGCTTACTTGAAAGACTTGGGAAGACTTGGGAAGACTTGGGAGGACTTGGGAGGACTTGGAGGCTCTTGGAGGGACTTTGGTATTACCCGAAAACGAAAACGCGAGTATAGGCTTGATAGGTTCATGCGATCCTCGCCACTGATCCACTACTTAATAAATCGACTTTTGGGGAGAGTATGGATGTAATAGTTATTAAGCAGACAAAATGAAAAATTGCTTTATCTGCGTTGAAATCAAAAAGCCCAGTTCAGTAAAAGGTCTTCGTTTATCTCTTCGTCCACGAGCCTTCTTGATCTGATTTACAGTTCTTGTCTTCTGCTCTCGACCAACTTATTGTGGTACTACGTATATACGGTCAACGGCAACCGAGAAGCGCGCGCGAGTCGCGGCAGCCTACTTTATTTCTTCAATAAGGACTCCTACCCACTTGGATGCTTCACGGGTAAAGATCGGAGTCGAGCTCAGACGTGAAGTGGGCTCACAAAATTGAATTGATCGGCTGCTAAATCGGCTAAGTACAGACTTTCCAGAGACTTTAACAAAAAACTTAATTCGATCTACTACTGTACTACGTAGTACTACGTACTACGTCGCAGGCGTAAGTATTACCCCTCGAGGGTAGGGAAAACAGGGGGTTTAAAGTGGAAACTAAACTTTTAAGGCACCCTCGAGGGGTAATACTTAGGCCTGTACCGTGGTATGTCGATAGCTAATCGTCCTTGCTTGACTTTTTACTTGCGGGATTTGTTACCGAGAGCCCGCAGGTAAAAAGTCAGTGCACTGACGATTAGCTCACCTTTCAGGATAATGCGGTGCTCAACTCGATTCGCCACTGCTCCGCGTTACTGGTTTCTCGTTACTAGTAGCTATGGCTCCAGCACTTGACTATAGCACTTAACTCTGACCGGAGACCAGGACTATAGACTTACCATTCTGGCCTGTCCATAGACTCCACAATCTCGAATGGCTTCAGGAGTGGAAACGATGAGAGAAATTGAGGCGCACTCCCAAACGATCGTGCTGAGTGATTCGCATCTTTGAGTCATCCACTCTACAATCTCGACCGACTTCTGGGACAAAGTACGTAGTTCAAACAGAGGATTTGTCGTTTTTGTGATTGTTGTCCAAATTGACATAATAAGTCATAATTTCTAAGGATGAAATCTATGATATTGCTTAAGACTCCAAATGTGATTTACACCTTGTAAACAGAGGCGCTCATCCCAATCGTAGCTAGTAGCGCAAATCTGCTTTTGTCCCAGCTTCCACCGTAACAGATATCAAAGTTGTCCCCGAACTCCGATTCGTACCAGCCAGCTATGGAAGCTCTCAAGTCCTCCAGTGAAGAAATTACCAAGCAGATTATTGGGCAGTTTGCCAGGTTCTTTAGATCCACTTTGCTCCGCGCCAGATACCACTAACCAAAGAGTCAAATACTGGTTTTGGACTTCAAACCACCTTGGTCCAACAGGTTTTAGAAGTTGAAAACGCTAAGTAAAATTCGTTTTTTAAAATCCCCTATACAAAAATTTCAACTTTCCAACTCCTCCAAAAAGGGACACTTTGACTCTCGAAAAACCAAATTTTAGAATTTATAACACCGTTAAGCTTTCCCACGTAGCTTTTTTGATTAGGTTTCGCGCCGCCTTTCGTTTTTTTCGTAGAATTATTCACAAAATTAATGATAAAAGCTAACTATCGATGTCCAAATCGAATACTTAATTTGCTTTAACTTTAAACGCCTAAAATAAATCAAAGAAGCTCACGGGATAATCATGTCGTAGCTATTGAGAAACAAGCTTAGCTTTATCGAGTCTTCCGCTTCTTCGTCTCAACTTTTAAACTTCGATCACCTTTACAATTGTTTATGCGAAAAAAAGTTTGGTTAAAATCTCGTGACAGAGCGAGGTTTTAAAACCTCGTAACCAAACGAGTGAGATCGAGTTTCTAAATACTGTAAATACTGCAAATACCGGGTTTCAAAACCGAGGTTTTGGCTCCTCGATTGTATCTGGCGTGGACCAAAGTGGCTCTTAGACTGAACCATGGAATATAGGGACCCATAGTGCCGAAAAAGATAGAGAAAACGAGTTAAGATTTCCCGCAAATCCTCAAAGCAATACATTCTTCCAAGCGGTGGAGGTGAGAGAACATCTACGACATTAGGGTTCCAAGTGACACTAGGCTTACTGGCAATGCATTCGGAACGAGATGGGTACATGAAAGCCGCCTGATGCTTGGGGGTTACTCAAATTTGTGTAAGAAGCGATTATCGAAATCCTGATATCGCGAAGGAATGGCTGAAGAAATTGCGAGAAGAAGGGGATCGTGGTTTTGGAATCCTCCCATCGCATATCCTTTTACGATTCTGGCATCCACAGGCATTTTTTGTCATCCGGATGTGGTCGATGGCATGGCCAAGCTCGCGATTTTATGAATTCGCACCCTGCTGAATACTTCATGGGAGCCAGAGTGGCCTATTACATTGCAAACCTGGGCTTCTTGGGTACATTCAAGAGCCACTCAGTCCTTTGAAGGTTGCTGAGGGAGGGGTGACTTGTCATTCGGGGATCTCTTCGTCGGGCATGAGTTCTTCGCTATGGTCCTGCCTCCTGAGACTGAGCCCCAAGCCTCCATAGCGATAAGTGAGCTGGATGAATCGATCAAAGTTGCCCAATGCTGCTGTCCGGATTTCGAAGTCTACAGTTCCAGCCACGCTTTCAGGGGTCCGGCCTGATAGAATCAAGAGTGTAGAAGATGTCGATTCTAGTATGAGAGAGCTGAGAATATGCTGTGGGAGTAGCCAAGAGGCCAATCCCGATACAGGAATAGGGACGAAACCCAATATTCCAACACGGCCTAGGCGAGGAGATAGGCTACTCATCGACTCCATCATGCCCCCGATGGCGCGGCTTCAAGACCCTGGCACTGAAGGAATTCAGCTTGCTCCCATAGTTTGCCGACCGAACTAAGGAGCCATAGCATACGGGGAAGCGTTGCAAGCTTCCGCCGAAATTTCAGAATCTGCGAGCGAGATTTGCGTCAATTGGTTTCAACTATCCCATAAATTCTTCTGTCAATCTTCAGCAAACACGCTTCATTCCTTTGCAAAATTCCAGACTCACGAAGATTCTACATTGATGGTGTTCACCAGTCCCTTCGCAAATGCGCCAGTCAGATTCATAACAATCGCCGTATCCAACCCATCCACGATAGCTCCTCGAGTTCGCCACGGAGAACCCTCATCGCATGTTTTAGAAATCGCCTTGAGTCCGTCCTTTCCCTAGATGCGGTTCTCAGACTTCCCAGAATCTCCTCTGCAAGTACCCGCATCGGCTTGTGATCGCTCCTGGTTGCGGCCTCCAGTCGGGATTGGGTACTGAATAGTCTGAAAAACTAGCGTCGATCGGGGCAGTAAGAGTCGAGGCAGCTTCTTCCAAGACCACCATGAGAAGTACAACGATCTTGGCCGTGAAGAGAGCGGCAAAGAAGCGGCGACGCGAAGTGATTTCAGGCCAAGTCTCGGCATCAACCTCGTGATTCTGGAGTGCCTTGTGAAGCTGCCCTTTCCTTTCTCGTCGTCCAAATCCATTACAATCTCGTCGATCCGGGGGACGCGATAATCACTTTCTTTCGACCGGCCTAAAGTTTGTTGGCTACTAGGCTCTGCGCGGGAGGATATTCTTCTAGTTGCAGAATCTGGTTTCTCGTCGCCAGGCGTCCTTTCAAAACTTGTGGATCTGAAACATCTTCGAATGGCTATTATTTTCCAAGAATATGTTGTCTCTAAGTTTGTTTTCTCTCTTTCCTTCCCGAAACGGCCTTGCGGGCCTTTCCTCGGTGCCCTTCTTGGCGACCGATCTTGTAACACTCGGGAATCAAAGAACGCTTGCGAGGGATCATCGAAAAAGCACTCAATCTACATCCCTTGACCCGTGACGTCTAGAATATTTCCAAAGACTAATTAACAGGGTGATATGGAAAAGCGAGCTTGCTAGGTGCTCGTCGTGTCATTATGTAGCTTCTCGCTTAAGAAGCCCCTTTCCGCACTGGACAGAAAATTGTTTACAAAACAAGCACTGCAGACCAACGCCTATGCCTGCCTGCTACTGGTTGCCACCCTCACAGACACATAACATATATATATATATGTTTTCCAAAAAAATATAAATATATAATCGTCGGTCTCCTTAAATTTTAATTCGAAAGAATTGACCGACTTGCTGTAGCAAGTCGGCACCACCAAGGCGGGACAGAAACGGTATACCACTTATTAAACAATAACTATTAATGCAAAAAAGAAAAAAAAAATCTTTATATGCTAAGAAAATATTGCTTTACAAACGTAAACTAAAATTATAAAGATGTATTCATTTGTGGTAATCTAATATATTAAAATGTAATGAAAAAATAGTCAAAAACTGTCCCAAATAATTCAAATTTACTTGTTTATTACAAATATCTTAACAACCATAACCTTAATTCAAAAAAACGTCACATAGATCGAAAATAAATGATTTAATATATTATATTACTAAAGTTATTAATTATTAAATCAAAGTTGGTAGTGATGCACGTATTGTTTTAATAGGTTTGAATAAAAGTCCGATTTTCGTGTTCCTCGCTCATTCTAGTATATACGCGGCAATTCTAATATATACGCATTACTAAAATCGAAAAGTACACATCAAAAGTACAATTTTTACTACTTTAACTTGACACAATAAAGGAATAATAATTTGTAATTCAGATTCGATTAGTTGATTAATATCAAAATCAATACGTTGCATCTTTTTATACAAAAATAATTACGATATATTAATTGGTTGATTTTCTATTCATTATAAAGAAGCAAATTTTACTGTCCCGCCTTGGTGGTGCCGACTTGCTGCCGACTTGCTACAGCAAGTCGGTCAATTCTTTCGTATTAAATTCAAGGAAACCGACGATTAAATGTAGATATATATATTTTATTTTTTTATTTTTTTTGGTTCATTTTTTTGGTTGCTACAATGCTAGGTATAGTGTAAGGTGAGAGCAGGGTGCACGGACCAATGCTTAGTGCACGGACCTCAGACTTGGCACGCTCCCACTACAACCTCGCCCCCAATTCCTAGTCCCAGAAAATCAAGTCAATCAACCACACAACCTCAGAAGCTTCCTCGTGACCCTCAACTAGTACTATCATCAGATTACTGCTAGCAAATTTAATTTAATTTTTTTTTCATCAAAAGTGTATCATTTACTTCGTCTCTGCTTCGTCCACTTCTTCCGTTTTGGCTAATTCCAGGGCCCATTTGCTCCTCGCTAATATTTTTTCTCCATACGCCCAAAACAAAAACGGGATAAGACCCATCACAGCCGCAACAAGTCCAAGAAGACTACTGGCCCACGAGATGCTGAGTCTGGTGTACATCGGCACAGCGGCAAACGGAAGCCCAGCTCTCACGAACTGCCGTGTAAGGATCGACGCTGCATTTGCCGATGAGGCGAATGATGCATAGTTGTCCACCAAGTAGTTCAGGAGGAAGCTGATCGTCAAGATATATCCCAGCCCGTACGAGATCCCAGACAGGGCGGGTACGATCCAGTGGACTGTGGCGCGCGATGTCCAAGCACTCCACAAGAGGCTCAGCACGATGAATGGTCCAGCAATGCAGGCTAGTGGGAAGCGCTTTGCGCCGTGATGCCTGGTCCAGGCTCTGTCTTGCCGTGAAGCACGCTCGTAGTAGGTCTCGAAGACGTACTGCGCTGGTACAGTTAGGAGCACGCCGATGCCAAAGCTGAGGAGAATGAGACCTTCTTCGCCTGTGTTGAAGTCGTATACGCCTGAAGCCGTCACTTACAAGTTTTAGGCTGAGGATGAGTTGACCAACCTATGAATATTAGAGGATAAGATTGGAGAAATATATAGAAGATCCTATATTGAAATGCGATATATAGGCAAGAAAGGAAGACGAGGGGTTCTCTGCAGAGCATGATCAACGGCCGGATCGGCACCTTAGTTACCATCTCGCCCAGAGCAATCTCTTTGTCCTCAGAGGGCCCACGCGGGATAGACGTGCAATTTTCTTTTCGGATCTCTTTGGCCCGCCAATCTAAAATCACAAGATGATTTGTCTCCGGGATGAGCCAGAGTGCTGCCAAAAAGAAAACGCCGCCATGAGCGAGCCGTATCCAAAACGACAAGCGCCAGTTAAACAGAGCTACCCACTAAACAAGAGAAAGGTTAGCGACATGATTTCAAGAATAGATCATGGAAAAAATAAGAGTGGTAATCTGAGGTTGCATTGAAATGCGAGCGTCGTTAGGCCTTGACCATGACACGCCTGATATAATTGGTCCTAGGACGGACCCAATTTTGGTAGCTATGTTATACCAAAGGAGAGAATAACCTCGCAGTATATCATCTCCATAAATATCCGCACAGATTTTAATATCATTCGTCAGATGAAATATTAACATTCACTTTAGCTGGTCGATCTTTACCCGCTGGCAGTGCTCAGGGACCCCGCAGCAAAAAAGCCGTTCAGCAACCTGAAGACATTGAACGCCGACCAGCTCGGTGCAAGGGCACAGGCCATCATCTAGACAGCAAAGGAGAAGGCGGTCACCAAGGTGACCGGTCTGCTGCCATAATGCTCGCTCAAGGGTGCAAGCACAGTGTTGCCGATGGCGTAACCTACCAAGTAGATAGACACGGCAAGGACTCTGAAGCCGTTACAATCTTCCACCTTAAAGCTCGCGATGGTCGATCTGATTCCCCCGCTTGCGAGAGAAGTTCAGTTCGTGGCACAGATTACGAGGTTGAACGCGACGGCCAGAATGAGTATCTTGCGAGCTTGCGGCCAGTTCTGAGGATCCAAAGACGGGTCGTCGTCTTCCAAGGGAAGGGGATTCTCAGGAACTGGTGAGGGATCTCGGACGCTGTCGGCCTTCTCTATCTCCTCCAGTACGGGCATGTCGTCCTTTTACATTGCCTTGAAATGCGGGTCGATGAAACTGCCAGCTGAGAGAGACCCACCATCTTCATGTCTTTGTCTCTAATTATCTATTATCATGGTGGCGCACGATCCGTTACTTTGACTTTAGCTCATCATCGCTAACTCGGCAAGTGCGCTTCGCAGCGGCGATATAAGGTGGGAGCTAGTGAGGCTCGGGAAAAGCGTAGTAGGAACAGTGACATGCAGCTAGGAATTGCTTGACAATTAAGACAAATAGACGAATAGATGTTGTCCGAAGTCATCTTTGCTCGCAAGTTGCCGTTTCCTCAAGGAACTGCGACTAGACCGACATCCATTTGACCTGGCCGATGATTGGCTACTTAGAACGTCACCACTATTTTGGTATTGACGCAGCCCCCAATTTCTATCAGTCTTCAAGTAGCGTTCGCATAGAATCCCAAATAATACTGAAGAATAAGCTCGGTATTGGTCCGATGCGCGTGAAAAATAAAACACCCCCCCTTTTCCATCTCGCTTACGATCCGAAAAAATATTGTTTACGAAACACGATGAAGCGCGCACAGTCCGATATCTCATCACTATGTTGCACTCAGAACTATGCTTAGTGCTTTTTGGGTTCGGTTTCGCTTTAAAATGCTCTGTATCACAAATTAAACAAATCGCTGGTTGTCAGTAGCAGTCGTAACGTCATGAGCACGTGACGAATTCACCTGGTGGTCGAGAGAAGAAGGAGAGCGTGTGTCGTGACCTCTGGCAATTCCGATTGAAAATAGATGTGTAGATTCTTCATCATGTCGTATTACCGCAAGAGTAATCAGGTCAAATATTGGGGTCCCTTGATATATCAACCTATTTCATCAACGCCGGCCCATTGCAAGCCTGAGTAATTGTGTCACTCAAGGACGTCTAATAGTTCGTATCCGGATCCCAACTAGGGCTGTACTTTCAACCGAGGAACTGATTGAACAGTTACCTCTTTTGGCCTTTCCAACATAGTTCAAGCCACCAACAATTGACCCGACTTACGCCATATTGTCAGAATAACCATAAAGCTCTGAAAGACTTCGAGGATCAACTGGTGGCAAACGCCAGATCAATCAGCAAAGCGCTGAGGTTGTCCGGGAAGTCTTGGCGTAGGACGGAGTAAGAGAAGCAAGCGACGTTGTCGTCTTGAAACGAAGTATGCCGCAGAGGAGGTGGCAAGATTCGGGAAGGGATTGGATAATTTATCAGACTCAGACTGCATAAAAAGGGAATTGTATGGTCTCTCAATTTTGTACTACGACGTTGAGGCCAAGAAAGAAGCTGAGTTTGCTGATGTTGCCTCCGGGCTTTGGGTTGTTCGGGTCAGCAGCGTACCTAATTCCGACGTCAATGAAAACCCCAGGAGCGGTGTATTAATTGGATGTTTGGCGGTGGCACTTCAAGTAATCAAATCAATTCGAAGAAGAGAGTGTGGTGATCCACTCACCCAGCTTTCTGGCACCCATTCTTATCTTTATTTGAGCCTGCCCGGCTCTCCACTCGCATCGACGACAGATATCTTGAATTTATGCCCGCTGAGATACACAGTAGGCTCTTGTATAGAGCGATTATTACTTGACATGAAATTAATCGCGAAGTTTTACCCTGGTGGCACCGCAACGACGGTAGTATATTGTTATTGATTGATTCCTGCCGCACAGCTTCAAAGCAAGAGCGAAAATTATCGATAGTGTATTGGTTTTCGGTGCCCCTGACAGCGGTGAAGTTCTCGAGCTTGGTAAGGATCAAAGAGTTGGCATCGTCGTTGTTGTAGTAGATATCGTTGCGCCCGATAAACGTGTCTTCCTACACCGAGTCAGTTGATGCGCACTTCTTAGAAACGCCAATGTATCTTCAAACTAACCTTGTGAGCGCATATACAGAAGCCAAGCCGGATATCCAATATACGCATCCTCAAAATCTTGAAGAGTAGAAAGTACTTTGAGCGCAGAATTTTCTGGTGGCTAGGGCCTGCGTATAGCAGGAGTCAATGTCTGCCAGCAGCCTCTCTTTGTCCAGATCAGAAGTAAAGTTCAAAACAGGCAGATGAGTACCTCACCGAATAAAGGATAAGGTATATTACAGGGATGTAGATTCCTTGTTAAGGAACGCGTTCAACGAGGTGTCGCGCTCCTTCCAGATCGAAGGTTGGCAAAGCGCGAACAGTGCGGAGAACTTGTCGGAGTACCAGGCAGCCTGCCACTTGAACACACCCGTCAGACTTCCGTGAATACTCTATTTTTCAAATAACGGAACATATTCAAACCATTGCGTTCATGCAGATCATGCAGATCATGCCACGAAAGCTACGATTTGATGCCATCAGATATTGTCAGCTAGCTTGCCATTCAAGTAATGGCTGCTGAAGCTTTCATGATAACTGGCTCCAGAACTGGGGGTATCTACTTAGCTTAAGACATCCCGAGATTAAAGTGATTCTCAGAGGAGAACAAAGAAATGAGGAACCGCCCTATCAGATTTCATTGTCAAAGGTCTTGACTATGGAACCCGGTTCCAGCATCTAGATAGAAACAACTAATAACTTCACCATCCATAAGGCCCATCTTTGTTAATCTGCAGATTAAGAATGAGTGAATTTCAATGAAATTTGGTTTTAATTCACTTTTCTAGACTTTAGATAACGAGAAGTAAAAGCCAGCCTTGATGCTACTTTCATCTTTGTTAGGCTGAGCGCTTCACTGTCAAGAATTGTAGCTACAATTTTCCTTTCCACTGTCTAGACAAGCATTAAAAACCCAGAAAATCTAATATTCACCGTGGTAACTATGTGCTATTCACTGCACTGTCTGTTCCATTCATGGACTTTCGGGATTCACTGGTCGAGCTTAGCCCGAATGGGTCTAGCGTGACTGTCTAGCGTAGTTCTGTTTACATACTCGGTCTTCCGAATTCACGTCGCGAGAAAATATGACTTCTACTTAAAGAGCGCGCACCCCCCGAAGAAGCTGCTCTCACACTCATAATGGCATCTCCCACCTCGCCCTCCTCCTCGCCATTGTACACAATGGACACCTCAAGTTCGATCCTCGTTCTGCTACTCTGCTCGCTGATGGTTATTCAGTTCGGCCGCAACAACTTCTGGGGCCCCGCCATCCTGTGTCTGATCTATCTGATGGGGAGCTCCGTATCACCACGAGAGTGGGGATCTCTGTACCTTGCTCTCATGTTGTAAGTCTATCCCGATACCTGATCTACGCGTCGGTCTGACCTCTCTCTAGCGTCTGGGGATGGGTCGACCACTTCGTGAACAAGTACTACTCTTCCCGATACCAACCTGCACCCATCCAAAAGAACCCAAAGTACACTCCCAACGACGTCTCCGTGGTTGTGCGCACCCTCAAACCACCAGTGGTCTTCCCTCAGTGCCTCAAATTATGGTTGGACAACAACCCACTAGAGATTCTCATCTGCACTACCAAGGATTACCTCCATGAAGTCGAGAACCTTGTCCACGAGACTCTCATCGGCAGAGATGATCGCGCAAAGGTGCGTGTCATTGTTTCGGAGAAGGGAGGCAGAAAACAACTACTGGCAGGAGTCATGGCGGCCGAGGGAAGAATCATTGCAACCTCTGACAACCACATCAAATGGCCTGCGAAGTACCTGATCCATATGTTGCCCTGTTTCGAGGATGACAAAGTTGCTGCCGCCGGTCCTTCGATCAAGGTAGAGATTCCTGCCCACCGCCACGACTCAATCACTCCATGGGAAGTTGCCGCTGTTAAGCTTGCTGCTCGCGGTCCTGGTTCTGGCAAGGCAATGTATGCTGCAGCAAAGTGGTGTGTAAGTATTAGACCTGCCCTAACGCCTCTTTGCGAGGTGCCTTCATTGACTCGAGATCTATAGTGGATCCTGGCAGGAACTACAGGTGTTTATCGAGCTTCCGTCCTCCAAACTCCCGAGTTTGCTCAAGAATATCTCAATGATTACTGGTGCGGTGTCAATCTCGATGTTGGCGAAGATACCTTCATATCCCGATGTAAGTAGCTGCAGAGGTGTGCTGAGATTCCCTGGGGGCATGTATGCTAACATCGTCGATTCAGGGATCCTCAAGCAAGATCTGACCATCGCTATCCAATGGATGAACGAGACCGATGTCACCCGTACCGTCAAGCGCACCGGCTCCGATTTCTGGCAGCAGCTTCTCCGATGGGAGAGAAGCACCCTCCAGTCCTTCTGCCGTACCATCCTGCACGTCCCGCAGTTCCAGAAGTAAGTGTTCTCTCAACGTCAAACTCCCATTCTGGGTTGGGGCTCCCTTTGAAAAGAAGCTAACCTCTGCGTAGTCACTTCCTCGTCAAGTTCCGCACATACGAGCGCGTCCTCAAATTCCCACTGACCCTCTTCCACCTCATCGCCTGGCCATTCTCCCTCTACCAGCACGCCTGGGCAACCCTGCTCCTCCTCGCCTACTACGTCTTCTACAAGGTCCGCGACTACCAGGCCTTCGTTGCGAGCCACCCACACATGCGCAAGCACGCCCTGGCCGCTGTCCTCATGGACTTCTCGCCTCTGGTCGTTGGTGGCTGGGCTTTGGCGACTCTTTCCGATAACAGCTGGGACGTCGGCGATGGCAGAGCACGCGTTGCGGCCGGTGAGGTTGTTGCCAAGTAACGCGAGACTGCTCGGTTTGGAAACGGCTTTCTATTTTCCACGGGATCGGGGATCGGAGGATTGCGATTTGGCCACTACTGTTTGTAGCTAGGCAGACTTCCTTTTAGAGAATCAGACAAATGATTTCACGAGACTGCAAAATCGATTTCTGAAGAAGAGAGAAGGGGAAAAAGTGACTTCCGACTGACCTCAACTTCAACTAACAGATCACCGCTAGCAAATCAACCCCTCCATTTTTTTTCAGCTGCTGCGAACCATGCAAACTATTTCACGGAAGAGAGGAGGATGGATGTCGGACCCTTCCCCTCCACCCTCTAAAAGAAAAAGCTGACCTGAGAAGCGCAACACACAGCTATGAGTAGTCAGTCAATCAACAAACGAAGAGAATCAGACAGAACCAGACAGAACACGATCGAGTTTTCTCCTTTAATTTTTGTCCACTTTCAATTCATCGACAGAGAATATCGAGATGCCAGGCTTATTTTAAAGAGGTGAGAGTGTATTTTCCAGCTACGTGACGGCGGCCGGACCAGGGGAGGGCTATTGGTCCACGGGATCGTATGATGATGATTTCACCGGGACGGTTTTTTTTTTTTCGTTCAGCTGATCGAATGGAAGATTCGAATTCAGGCTACGACATTAGCATTCCGCTTTCACATGCCGTGGATACCCGTCCTGATGGATTCGTCAGGGAGAGGACTTCAGCTTCGGCTTCGGCTTTGGCCTAGAGGGATGGTGAGATTGCGGTTCCTTTCATCAAAGAACGTCGGATAATCATATCAGGGGGGGTCTCGAGCTTGCTAGGAGGACGAGAAAGAAGAGGGAGGGAGAGAGAGAGTACATAGGGGTGACGAACGTGTGTGGATCTGGCCTTGGTGTCCTACGCGGGATCTCTCGGCTCTCACTCACCTTCCGGCATATATATCTGGGACCGACAGACGGATCGATAGAAATCCGTTGGCAGAACCTGGATCTTCCCGTTTTCCATTGTGCCTTGAGCAACTTGGGATGCTTGAGCGGCTTTCTCGACCATGCGAAGGTGTGGGTGTTTCACAGCAGCAAGATGATCGGGTCTTCGCGGCTGGCTACCTTCTCGGCTCACAATACCGACTGACACGTATGCAAGAGGTTTTTGCGGACGGATGGATGGGGGTCCTGTTTGGGCTGTACCTGTAGAGGAAAGTCAGGCAACCGGTTGCAAGACCTCCAACCACCCGGATTCTCATGTCGCTTGTCACGGGATCATCCCCTCCCTCACTTACATCTCTGGTGTCGAGATCAGACAATGCAGCGGAAATACGCGGAGGGTCCGGCTGAAGGAGCTACTCTGCCCCTCCCACGGGTCCGAGTCCCGGTCCTTCCCGAATGGGAACTCACCGACTGGGGCCGACTGGTTTCCGCAGCGCTAGAAGAAGGAGAAGAACAAGACGGATTCGAGAGCATGGGGCACTACAAAGAGGTGCGCGGAAATGTCGGCGAGCTTGTCAAGCAGATGCTAGGTCTCCTCCGTATGTATGACCGGCCAGCAGAGATGGTCTCGCTGCGGCACAACTTCGGCGAGCGTACCGACCGGCAGGTGGAGCTTGGGAGACCCGAGGTAACGAGTGGACTAGATGTTAGTTGTCTTTGTGACTCTGGCCGATCAGCGACTTATGCCATGGTGGGAGACATCTATCTCACAGACGCTTGGTCACGCGGGACACTCCTACATACTATAGCGGCGGTCTCTCCGCGCGAGCCGGCCGAGACAGGATTTTAATAGGTAGTCGAGGACGATCTACCATCAGAGTTCGATTATGATTACGATTACGATTACAGACGACTCCATCGGGCCACTGGCGATCTCTTCCGGGTATCCCGGTAATTGATTATCCGAGATGTATGATGTACGATGTCAGCATTGCGGCGAGAAGAGACATATAGATAGATTGACAGATGGATAGATGGATGAATAGATGAACGCCTCCCATCGTCTTGCCTCTTCACGTAACGTGACAAAGTACCGTGCCGTCCGGGCCGTCACCAGCTTTGCTGAACTCGGCCATCAACTCGCCGGCGGCGGGAGCCAAGCGGTCGATAAGCGCGAGAGATTCACTCGTCCACAGTCACATCCTTCGGGCGAAACGGCAACTTCGGCTATGGGATCATGATGCTGGAATCAGGCGACCGCAGCCATAGCGTTGCCAGAGTGCAGAGCGCCACGTCCTTCCAAAGCGTTTACGAAAGCAGAGAAGGGCCCATCCGTCTCCCCTACGCTGTCTTGGATGAAGTTCGGCTTATGAGGCCAATACATGTTGGGATCTATTTGCCCGTTTTCAACTCTGCATGCCAATCCACATTCGTAAATGCGGGAAAGAGAAGTTCCTGGAGCTCAACAGTCTCTCTTCATCGTGGGCTTTTTCTCGGTGTGGAATCAGAAGTGAAAAGGGGCTCGGCGAGATGAGACCTGTCGGGGTTGAAAAGAACAGGAAGGGAAGATGGATACGCTGCTGCCTTCATGTATACGAGGACTCTCTGTCCAGCGCGATCCGACTCAAACGAGATCTCTGTTATGAATTTGACTCGTGAAGTCGCATACGTATCCAGATATAGGGTACTGCTACGACCGTATCACGGCTTCCTTGCACCATCCCCCACACGTCTGATCTCTCTCATCCTAGACATCAAAAAGAAAAACCAAGCAAGCTAGCTGATCATTCAACTTCATCCTTCCCAGGATGGAAAGGGTCGGTATTAGGTCAGCCAAGCCTTCAGACGATCAAGAGATGGAAATTTTTCGCCACATCTTGATGCAACACGATCGCCTCGGATCCCGAGACAGTCGGATCAGCTCAGTATAATATCCTGACTTCCTGATCTGACCCTGAGCCTGAGCCTGTGAGGATGCTATTCAAGACGAGACGGACTGCTAACAACAGCATTGTGAAACCGCCGCCGAAGTCTTAGGCGCGCAACCATCCGTGCGCAGCAAAGCTCGATGTGAAACCCTTTCGCTCGTTCATGCATGCTTGAGTCTACCGAGACTGGAAAGAGCAAGCTACCTAGCTCAAGAATGGTGGTGATTACGGAACTCGCACTCGAACTGTATAGTAGCGGGTATCATCATTCGCTACGAGCTCTACCGTACGCTCTTTCCGGTACGCCGGTACGGCGATCTGATGCCGATTTCACAGGACCACTCTTCTGATCACCTGACCAGGGTGGTTCGAAAGCGGTTTCTGTGTATCTGTTGTCCATATTCAAATTTGGCGATACACAATCGGTCTGTGAATTCTGACCTGACAAATGAACTCGCCGCTATATTGTGTAGAGAATGTCTTGTCCCTTTAGCATCCTTTCAATCATTATTTAGTTGGCTCGGTGCCGTGAAGATAAAATATTATGTTGTTAGCTATTTAGCAAAAGGCTTTGCTATTCCATTAGCAGCGATCAAAGACCCGAGGCTATCTGAAAGAGAGCTTTTCCCTAACGTGGTTTTGACTCTCGATTAAATAACATTTTATATATAGTTCTTTGATTTACCACGTCGTCGCACCTTATAAGAGGCCCTAAGGTCCAAGCGTTGCGTTTTAGATACCCGCCCGACGTTAATAAAAAAGGTAACAACAACAACTTTTCATTTTCTACTACGTCGCAGGCGTAAGTATTACCCCTCGAGGGTACGGAAAACAGGGGTTTTAAAGTGGAAACTAGACTTTGGAGGCACCCTCGAGGGGTAATACTTAGGCCTGTACCGTGGTATGTGCAATCGCTTCCCCGCCCTCCGAGCTAACTCTGATCTTAACCAAGTCCTGACCTTACCTAGCCGATCGTTAAATAAACCTGAAGTGAACGATCCACGAGCCGAGCCTTAACGCTGCAGTTCAAGCCCAGGCACACGATCAGATGATGCGTAAAGTCTCTTTCCACTCTCTGAGCATTCTGCTGACGGGATGAATAAGCTACAAATCAAAGCCAGCCTGTGCTACAGGATACTTGCTCTAGCAATGAAGTCTCTGTACGGAACCGGCTTCCAGGCAGACTTGGAGGCAGACAACCAGCAGGCCGCCAACCAAGCGGACAAAGAGTTTTCTTGTACGCCAGGATCGTTGGGCACTTCCTAGCCCGCGGTTGTCATCGCAGACTTCGTAATCATCTTGTTGTCGGAATTTGTATGGTCAATACAGCATGATATATTAAACAGGTCATGTGACTACGCGTTCTCGGGCGATTGATAAAGTAGGCAGGCTGGCAGGCTGAAGCCACTGCGTGCACGGTAAACCTATCAAACTATACCAGCGACACCATATAGTCAGTAAATGCCTGGAACACGATAAGTTTGGATCTTAACGGACAGGGAGCTAGTTGTAACCCGGATCACCGCTCCTAAACACTACGTCGAAACCCAATCAGCAAGGCCATCTCGCAATATCCCGCACCGTCGAGTGATATCGGATGCCTCGAACATATCCACAGCCCTCAGTGCCATGTCCGTCGATCCGTCGGCATATAGGGAGCGAAGCGGTAGTGCTTTAGAGACGAATCCGGCTCCTCTCGAGTTCGCACGGATACTGTGGTCCTCAGGATCAGGGAAAAAGCGCAAGATGACCATCAACCTAGCTCTTTTCTTTCATTGCTCAGCTTGCCTTTGAGGACTTTTCGATCGCATCTTCGTATCCTCCATTGTCGTAGGAACTTGGGAGGCGTTTGACGAAGGGAAGGTGCAAGGGAGACCTGGCTACCAGTCGCCCGAACCCCGTACATACATATATAAGAATCCGTTTACTTTCTACAGCTGATATATTCTCAATGGTCAAACATTTATTTACCGTGCATGCATATATGTATGCACAAATGCATTTGCTGAGACTGAACTGACTGACTGGAAATGAATCAGTTAGCTAGTTAGTTGCTTTGGGAGAGCGGAGAGATGATCTTGTTGGGTGGTTTTTTTTTTCTTTTCTTTTTTATAGTCTAGGAGAGTGAGAGTGAGAGTGAGAGTGAGAGTGAGAGTGAGAGTGAGAGTGAGAGTGACGTCCGCTTGGTACTATGTTGACATACTACCGGTATGATGATATTGATATTGACATTTCCCTCGCTTCTTCTCGGCAAAAGGGTTTGAACATGTTTGATATGTGGGCCGGGGAGGGCGGGTAGGTACTTATTTATAAAGGGGGATCGCGCTGAGAAAAGGACATCATTCTGTTCCATTTGTGCGTGTTGAACGAACCACAGCATAAGCAAGCGCTGGGCGGACTTCCTTGGCTGTAAGCTTGTCTACGGAGGAAGCTTCTCTCTTTTGAGATATCTGTTATTGTGCTAGCAGTTTCATGGGTATATACCGTGTGTGAACGAGGAGGGGCTCTTCTCAGATCTCATCTCGTGGGCAAGGGGCTAGGAAGTGCATACAGACAGACGAAAGGCTAAAGCGTGATACAACCACGCAGATCTCCGCATCGCAGAATGGTCATGTCATTGAATTGAAAGCTGGACACTAACTCCATCTCGATTACTGTGTAAAACAAAAATGAGGAGATATACAGGTACAGATTTTGATCAGCGCGATACATGTGACTCGGCTGCAGCGCTTCTTCCCCGCGTCAAAAGTAGCTTCAAGCGCGTCTCCCTTGCTTCCCCTACAACCTCGAAACATAAAGAGGCGTTCGCTCTCCAGTCTTCTATCCAAATCTATTGCCATCTCTAGATCCCGTGTCGACGACCCTTCTCGATTGCAGCCATAGCTGTCTCATCAAGGGGGCAAAAATCCAATCGTCGCCAGTCTCTCCAAGAAATGTACCCAAACCGAAACTCCCCAAACATTCCCACGGCCATCATTCCCATTTTTCCGAATCATGGATTTTTTTTCTTCGGAGGTATGTACGGTTTCTGGCCGTCCCACGGATTCACGCGTAGTTCCTCTATCATAGCTAGGACCGCGGCGTTCTCAGCTTCCTCCTCGTCCCTCTTCTTCTGGTCCTCCTCCTCCCGCTTCTTCCGGATTTCGTCATTCATTCTGGTAGACTCGCCATCATCGGGTATCTCTATGCTCACGTCTCGATCAGGTGGCTGGAGAAAGCCCTTCGCGTCAGCCTCTACAATGGCCTCGAAGAACTTCCTGCTCATGATCTCGTATCCCGCCCTACTTGGGTGCATGTGGTCCCAGGCCAGATTCTCAATATGGACGCCGTCGGCATCGCCCATCTCGACCAGGACCACAGGCTTTCCCTCGCGCTTCAGGACCTGGAACACCCTCCTCAACTGGGTGTTACAGGTACCCACCCGATCTTGCCCACCCCATTTCTTTGTCTCCGTCGTCGGCATCAGCGTACCCATTACCAGCGTTGCTCTGGGTGACGCCTCGAAGACGTGCTCCGCAACCGCGTAGTAGCGTTTATACAGTTCCGGCAGGCTCGCATTCTGGAAATTGTCGTTCGACCCGGCATACAGGATGACGATGTTCGGCTTGTACAGAGGAAGGGATTTGGCCGCATGACCGTATATCTGATCCAATCGCACTCCCGGATATGCCTCGACGTCGTTGTCTACTATGTTCCCAGTTCGGGCGGCGCCCACAAAGTTCACCGGGTTTCCTGCACGCACCAGTCGCTGCCGAAGGGTTCTCCGCCATCCCGTCTGATCGAAGCTCTCTGCGCCGAAGACGGTCGAGGCCCCGAGGCCCATGATCCGGAGCGGGATACCGTTCGCCAGGGGCGCTTCGAAGCCCGGTCGTTTGTAGCCGGTGTATTTCGTGGGGGCTTCCCATGGTTCCGACCATGGGCTCTCGTGGAACTGGAACAAGGAGAAGACTGCTCTTTCACTTTAGCAGCTGTGCGATGCGATGCGATGCGATGGGTGGTGGAGAGCGACGCGGATGAGTATCCGTACTGCATCTTGACTTACGTAGAACAGTGGACAGGACCAGGAAGAGAAAGCTGCTGGCCCTCAGGACAAAGGCGGGCGGGTTCAGTATCATGATGGCGGTTGGCTTACGGAACAAGTGTGGAAATCGTTCCCATCTTAGGCGGAAGAAAAGCGGTTCGAAGCTGGCGCCACAGGCAAAATTGATGCTGCGCCGCTAAGACCCCCCGAGGGCCGAGACCCCTATCTCATTTCGTATGTAGTAGTTAGTAAATCAGCAACGATCGGCAGCCACCCCAGATTTCGGGACGGATACGAACGTCTAATATTACTATGTACGGAACCACTACTAGTACTAGTACTGGTACCAGTACTGTAAGTACCTAGTACTGTACAGTATTATTCTACGTACAGTAGCGGGGGCCGCATATCTGCAGCGCGGGCATCTGCACTGCAGCTCATCAGCCCTACCAGCTTCGGGAGTCGGGTCATGCCTGCTAGAGAGAGGTTGACTAATTCAAGAGCGTACGGAGTATATTTGGACACGGCCGTGTTTGAGTCAAGGAGAAAACTGATGTTACAGCCAGCAAGCATCGATCCGCAAACTTCTGCTATACATACAACTTCAAATTAAAATGTAATAAACTTCTGCTAGCCGCTATAAGCCCCTATATTGACCTTCGGAATCGGCCGAATCGGTCTCCAAACCAAGACTTGGCTGCCATCTCGCTTACTTCATCCAGGTCGCGAGGTCGCCCCCTTTTTTCTTTGTCAAGCAGCGATCTGATCACGTGCAGGTCACGCATCGCCTTGTGCTTGGCACGGTAAATCTTGTCGCGAGCGGAAGAAGCTTGCACCACAGCAGAAAAGAGCCATCAGCATGAATTACCGGGCACTTCTCGGTGTCGATTTTTCCAACAGGGGGACCGACGATGCCACCTCCCCCGAAATAGAAATCCAGGTCATTGTGGAAAATGCTGTACGTACCTATGCTTGTGCGCGGTACAGACGCCAGATGAGTTGGGCGAGTGGCGAGCCGAGCCGTAGGACACTTCATCTGAGTACCTATCTTATATTTTTCTCTTGAAGTGAGTGGAAGGTGGAGCAAGAGAGGAAGAGAAACCTCACCCCCTCTGTACGCTCAGGGTTGTACGGACATTGGTTGACGTGTGACAGCTCCATGTTCCAGCAATGGGATCTACCCAAATATCAGCTATGTGGAGAAGGGGGTCGACTTTGAGAGCAAGACGAATAGAGGAGGAAGATCAAGCGGTTGAGAAGGATCACTTGGACTTCCATCGGCTAATGAATCCAGGTTTCACTCGTAACGACGGTTGATATGAGCGAGCAAGCAGCATAAACCAGCCCGGCTCCTGTTCCATTTCGGTCAAGAGCGCAAATGCGCCCCCGCCTTCCCCCATTTTATATGAGATAGCCGCCCAATATACAAGTCATTACCACGTATCATCTACCGCTCCGCTCCATTCGACTTACACTCTTAGATATTTGGCGGGGAATGTCCAGAGTCCCCGCTTATGCCATCTGGGACTCCCTCGCCTTTGCCTTCTCGCTGGCACCCTTGAACATGGTCGACAGGTCGCCGACTGGAAGCTGGATGGGGAAGTCCAGAGTGGCGAGCATGATAGCGAATAGCAGGTACCAACCCGCCACACAAGTGACGAACAGGCATGCGCCAGCCGCGATCTCCAACCTGCCAGCGAGGGCGGCCTTCGACGGATCCGCCTGGGCAATGCTGTTGGCGAGTTGCCAGTAGGTACCTGCGAGCAGTGGATATGCCAATGTGAGCGTGAAGAACATGACGACGAAGATGAAGTTGGTGCGCAGCGCGCAGACGAGGTAGATGAAGCAGAGGACGCCCATGGAGACGAGGAGGAAGGCGTAGGACGCGGTGAATCCGACCGTCTGGAGGCCGGCGGCTGGGTTGGTGGGATCGGGCGAGAATGCTGCATAGGCGCCGTAGAATGGTTGCAGCGTTGCTGCGAAGGAGAGCCAGAAGGCCCCGAAGGACATGAAGACGACGAACGGGAAGGTGTTGCCGAGAATGAATTCTAGGATCCCGCCGACGAGCATGAGGACACCCCCAAAGAAGTAGTAAGCGCCGCTGAGACGATCAGTAAGAGTGGGAAAGAAGAAGAAGAAGAAGAAGAAGTTTGAATGTTACTTACGTTGTTGCGGCACCGCTGCCGCCTGCACCCCTCCAGCCCATAAGAGCTGCTGACAGAGGAGATAGGCATATCAGGAAACCGATCAATGCGCTAAGCAGCCGTCATTATCGGCAAAATTTGGTCGGTAGTAGACGAGGTACTCACACTGGTGTTGGATTGCCAAATGTCTTCCGCAGATCACCCTTGACAGCATTTTGAGGCGAGAGATAAATCTTCTCGAACAGCTCAGCAGAGATGGAGATACTTCCCGCCGTCCCGATTCTATGCAGTGCGTCTCCCTGACTCATATTAGTGTCGTTCAGGTGGCTGGCACCCGCTCCGTTTTTTCCATTCTGGTAGCCAGTGTTGGAGCCGTAGTCCTTTTCGATCGGATCGCCGTTGACGCTAGCACGCGCCTGAGCGTTGTCGTATTCTGTTGCCATCTTGATTGAGAATTACGGGAATGCTATCTGAACTTTTGGAAAGGCGGCGAGGAGATCAGATCCCAGGTGCAGTCGATATGGGAAACGGTGATTGATGCCAACAACTAATCGGGGAGCTCAAGGGCCTATGTATACTCGTCAAAGCACCACACTTACCTCCACACCTCCGCACTTTCGGCTCCCCGGATCTGGGAAAGGCAGTTTTTAGTTAATCGGAGATCTGATGACCTTAGCAGTAGGATGGAGTTACCACAGCATCCCTGATCTCAAGCCGTCTCGAATGGTGCGGGCGGCGGGGAAACTCGAGGCCAGTGCGGACTTTGAGTGATTCTCGGAAACTCTCTACCCTCGGCTCCGGTTGATTGGATTTAATTGCCTTTTGCTACTTAAGGGCCAAAAGTTGCGACGTCAAGTCCCACTCGTATATCCTTCCAGTTCGACTCTCTCTCGGTAAGTTACCAGAAAGGCGTTTCCCAGCTATACAATACCCTCGACATCCGAAGTATTACGTTGGCATTCGCGTTCAAAATGTGCGCTTGTGCTCAACTACCATATCATGATCGAAAAGGACTTGTCACTTCAACCTACATCGACAATCTGGTCGACTAAGCTTACTACAATTGCACCGTGTCGATGGTACAATCAATCAATCAATGACTCGCCTCGGTATAGAAGAACGGAATTCGCGGGCCAGTTTCTGATCAGCTGCTGCACGGTACGATACGATACGCTTCTGAAGTTTGTCGCTGCATACATACGGAGATACATACCGATCGATGGGCGAAGGTTTTGCGGCCATGGCTCGGGATCTGGATCTGCTAGCCGAGAATGCGGGGGAAGCTACTTAAGAAAAGCCATGACAAGGCCATGGCGGGTGCGGCACTGGGGGCTTTCCGACAAGAATCAACCATTGAATTGTTTTGCTTACAGAAGTAGAGAGATATACCCGAGAGCGCGAGGTCTAGTTGTAGTTGTAGCATAGTGTATTGTATTGAGATTGCAAACCGGTTTTGCTTTTGGCGCAGCGCGTACATGGGCAGATCTTGCATCTGGTCTATCAAGTCGGAGGAGAAAACCTCATGATATGTACATATTTGATATGCTATCACCACTCTTCCATATCTATATTACATCAAGCGGTCTTTTCCGGAAAGCCCGGACGCTGTTGCGAAGCAGAAGGTATAGCGGAGTCCGTGCGAACCACACTTTCGCCGCTCGCGCGAAGAACATCTCAAATCGAGGAAAATGGCGCACAAGGAAGAATACCGAGTAGAAGACACCACCTGGTTTTCAATGCTTCAACCACACCAGTTTGCAACTGCTTGATTCTGTCAGACCACTCCGCTGCACTAACCAACCCATCTACCCATCTGATACAGCCGGCCAGCTTACCTACCTACCTACCGGTACCTACCTACCTACCTACCTGCCTACGAATCAAGGACGCTTCGTATTCAAGCTAGACATCTTCTCACCGGCGCGGTAGATGAGGGCCCTGGTTTTTTTTTTCTTTTCGTATCCGGAATGAGAGATGTTGGATGCTGGGTTTTGATTTGTGGTGGTTATGTCTGGAGGGGGTGGAGATGGGAGAGGAAATGAGGTTGGTAGGGAGGAGAGAGGAGGGGAGAGGAAGGGAGAGGAGGAGAGATGCGATTGATTAATGTATATATAATGGGAAGGGAAGGGAAAGTAAAGCAGAAAAGAACAAGAGGAGAAGAGAAGCATCTGCATCTGCATCTGGATTGGATTGTAGAAGATCCTCACAAGCAAGCAAGCAAGCAAGCAAACTACCCTAAAAAGCGTCTCTCGTAAGGAAAATACGGAAGCAAAAAAAATAAGGAATCGCATGGGCTGTTTGCAAAATATTACCGATGATACCGAGTGAGTGAGCGGGTGGGTGAGCTGGTGGGTGATGGACTCGAAAGGATCCAAGGAAATCGAGTATGGTGAGCGCTTGGATACCCCGTAAGGAAGCTTGATCGATGATGGGATGGGATGGGATGGGATGGGATGGGATAGAGCCGAGCTCCAGGCTGGTTGATGTTTGGGAAGGTGGGGAGCACGGAGTAGCTGCTAGGTAGGTACTGTACGTACCTTACTTACTTGTTTTCTTGCGCGGGACGGTACGGGGTTGATACGCGACGGTCTGAGGGAAAAAAAAAAAGAAGAAAAAAAAGGTAGTAGTAGCAAACGGCCGGTGGGTGGGTGAGCTTCGAGGAAGGAAGGTATTGGGTTAGGGTAGGTGGTACTTGAATTCGTGACCGTGATGGAATATGTGGTTGCGGGTTTTACGGATGGGTATGAATATGAAAAGCGGGATTAACTAAGTGATGATAGCGCTTGCTATTGCTTTAGTATTTGATCCTTGTCGAGAGACAACTCGATTCGATGCAAATTGTTTGAAATGCTTTTAGGGGGTGGGGTTTCTCAAGAGTTTGCGATATTGAGGGATTAGAAACTTGAGGCTTGGGGGAAGGGGGGGGGGGATATTTCAAAGAAAGAGAGAGAGGGTTTCTTTGAGGTGGTTTTTGGGTACGATTGGATTGGTTGGAAATTTTGTGGATGGTTCTTTTAGGTACTTGGTCCGTCGCTGTCTCCTACGGGAGGGAGGTCTTGGGGTTTAAGTATTGAGTTGTGGATACCCGCTCGATGTAAATAGTAGTAGTAGTAGTAGTACTTTCCGTTTCGCCCCAGTCTCGGTAGACATCCCCCACTATTCCAAGCTCTCGGTAAAGCCCCCCTTTTTTTCCGAGCCGAGTCGATCACTTAGGCCCCGAATCTGCCGAGCTCGTGACATGGTTACGGATAGCGCGTCTTGTGAAGCATCCTTCATATAGCAAAATCCATCTTCATCAATTAAATATATATAAAAAGATTTTTCAAGAAATTTTTTGGAAACCTCCCCTTCCCCCCTACGTTCTTTACTCGCTCTCAGGCCAACTAACGCTGGATGTTCAGAGCCGGGGGCTTACATCAGGGAATCCATACTTTTTGTTTCTCCTTCTTCAAACAATTGAGAACTCGCTCGGAATGAAAGGCTTTGGAATGCGGCGCTGCGACATGGAATAACAGTACGGAAAATTCTCAAGCTTTAGTTAGACCTCTACAGGCTTTTTGCTGTATGAGCATGTACCCCGGAGGAATCTACAGAGCGAGCTAAGCAAACCGTATGGTGTAGCTGTGAGACCTAGAAGGAAAGTACCTACTGATATCCCTTCGGCCTTCGGGCTTACGGAGTATACTTTGTACAGAAATCTGACGACCGAATATTGATGGCGACAACACCTTGCGCATTGACCCCTGTGGAATAAAGCATAGCTCTCAAGACTTTCCGTCACTTCAGTGAATCCATAAATCTATATCAGTATCTGGAACTCCTTCCCATCCATCCATCTGCCTGTCCAACAGAGTGCCCGCAATAACAAATGCCAGTGCTACAAAGGTAAACAAACCCAACAAGACTTCTATCCCCGCAATACATCGAGGGATACGCTTCCAAATCGCCACTCGTTTCCACCATGCCAAAACTCCCATCCTCTATTCGGCTGCTGGTGCTGGCTCAGCACTCGCGGTCGAGGTTGCGCTTTTACCCTCTGCCAGCCTCAGGACCCCCATCAGCTGATCCGCGCCCGCAGGCCACAAGTGATCTCCCACCTGACGCTGGACATCCCCCTTCAGGATCTGCGCCGTCGTCGGTCTCGCGCCGTAGAAAACATCGTTGTCCTCAGTCTTCTGCTTGATGCTCGTTCCATCCAGCGCGACCGAGCCGTAGAGACCGTTCGACTTGGTATACGTCCATACCGGCTTCACTACAGAGGGGGAAAGAATACCGTGTCAGTACGTGCTACTCCAGCCAATCTCAAAGTAAATTTCTTGGGAATAAGCGAAGCGCCCGGAGGGAGAACAACAGCAACAGCAACAACAACAACAACACTTACTGTCAGCAGTTCCTCCAATGGGCCCCACCGAGAGGGCAATCTCGCCGCCGAGCTTCAACTCGTTGCCGGAGAAGAGCTTCACCGCGTCCTCGGTGTTGAGGACGCACACGCACTCGTACATGTCGATGCCCGCCACGAATCCCACGCCGCCCGACCGCACGCTGAATGCCGACGGCGGCGACCACGATCCGTCCGGGAGGCGGGCCAGGACGACGCCAGAGCCGACGGAGCCGGAGAGCCCGAAGCCGGCACGGACGGAGGAGAAGATGGCGACGCCTTTCGCGTTCGACATGACCACCTTCGGGATCTTCTCCTTGCCTGTGATGGGGAGGAAGGTAAGCGTTCGATGCTCTCTGTCCGGGCCATATGATACGCGTGTTGTGTGTGTGTGTGTGTACTTACTGACGAAACTATTGAGGATTTGAGCTGCCTTGTCACACTCCTTCTGGACGGCTTGAACGGAACGACCCATGCTTGCTGCTGCTGCTGCTGCTGATGATGATTTTGCGTCGGTAAAAGAAAAGGGTGCGCTTCAGTGAGGCTATATATGCGATGGAGTAAGTGGCCAGAAGAAGGAGTAGCTCTGAGAACCGATATGTATTGTATACGTCTCGTTAGCTGCTTAATGGATCGATAGACAACGAGGACTTGGGCTTTGGAAGAGATGAGATGAGGAGGTACCGTCGGCTCCAGGACATTCTTATATACATCGCAATCACCGCCGACGTCTCAGCAAGAAGAGCCATGGTCCGCATCCCAAGATACGCATTCGCATACTCCGTACTCCGTACAGTTCAGTCCACTCCAAGCCACGCATCTCAAGAAGGATCCTGGGAATACGAGCTACGCGAACGCGGACTTACAGGTCCTTTCCTTGTATTGACGTTTCTTCCAGAAGCGAGAAGGCCCGCGGCAGTGGGCTGTGTACGAAGCGAAGGCGTGCCGAAAGTTGGTGACGTATCCCCGTACATCGGATCGAAAGTTAATGCCGGCTCGCTTAAGTGCGCCTCCTCCTTACATCCTTCCAGTCTTCGTCGGCGTAAGCGAATGGCGGATCGAAAGCGAACTGCGGATTTTTCTCCTTGACTACTAAATTATTATATACAAAATACAATTCACAACATCCCCTTTTGATTTATAACCGCGCAATTGGATTCTGTAGTTAGTTACAAGCCGAAAACGCATTCATTTGAAAAAGCCTCTTGAAAAAAATTGATAGAAATGCTGCGTTCAACTAAGTAGTCTTAATGCAGTTAAAGATCTTGCGACGCGTTTCTAACGCGCTATAATATTTTTATCCGAATACTTTCAAGAGACTTGGAAAACTGCCGCGCGTATATACGACCTTGGTAAGCTTACTCAAAGCTGAGCGCGTGCGTAAAGGAACTATACGAGAACGCCTTGCTGCAGGCTTGATTATTAAAGATAACGATTTAATACTTACTTTAATTCTCAATTCGAAAGAGATTTAACAATTGCAACAACCTTTTGAGCGTCGGTTTTTGCGGCTTTGTAAAATGTATTCCTCGACCAACTCTTTCTTATTTTAAATCTTTTCTCGGTGGCGATGATCGAGTAATTATAACCGATACTATGAAAGACTTTTTTCGTAGCAAGACTTATTTCTTTTTTTTATATCAATATTAACAGCCATAACTTCAATTTTGATAGTAATAAAGATTCAAACGAATTATTACGTAAAGTAAAAGACGAATCAGATTTTAACGTAAAATAGTAATCGATAGTTACAGATTTTACCGGATGATACGAGTTTGGATTTTTCGGACAAAGATATACTTGTAGATCGACTAATGACATGAATATTTTATAGTCATAATAGCAATTACTATAGTACAGAATAATTTCCAATCTGCACGAAAAATCCGTATTCGCTTCCGATCCGCAATCCTTTCCGCCGACCAAGACTGAAAGGATGTAAAGAAAAGGCCCACCTAAGCGAGCCGACGACGAAGTCGAGCCCGAGATCTAAGCAAAAGCATCTCTGATGCTTTCCGTACGCATTACATCGCAATCGATGTACCTATACACCATCGTGAGGCCGGCAGCAAGTTCTCCATACCATTTCGCGATACTAGGATAACGTCTCGAGCCCGAAACTTCAAAACGAGGTCGCTTGGTTCTCGCCAGCGGCATCGCTGTGCCAACAGAGGTGAGTAAGCTTGCTTGCTTGCTTGCCTAACCGAGCGCGCGACCCATTATTATTGCTTATCCCTTTTGTCGCTCTCTCTTCTTCACTGTACGGTACCGGTATTCCAACTACCTACCTTTGCTCCACCGAAGATCAAGCGCCGCTCGCTTCTGCCTCCTGCTCACCACCGGCTTGGAAGGGATCAGCAGGCCATCCGCCTTTCAGCCTGCGCAAAATCCTCACGTCAATTTGCTTGATGTTGTTTTTTTACCATGCGTAGATCAACAGGTGTAGGTGAGACGGGATGATCTGCAGGACTTTCCGTAGTTGGGACACCATACCCACGTCCGCCTTCGACCTCTGCGGATTACAAAAGTGTATATGAAAGCGGAATTAACGATTATTGCATAAGCTCAAGCGGCTACAATTAAGCGCAAGGCAGCCTTACTCTCACTATTGCTCTTTTTTCCTTTCCTTTTCTTTTCCATGCATAAAAGATACCCTGCACTGCGCTTCAATCGTTTTACTTATTCCACGGTGATATAGCGGTGTAGTCTTCCATCCATTTATCTATCTATCTATATATATATGTCAAGATCACAAACATTCTCGCCGTCAAAAAGACCGGGGAACTTGAAAAATCTTTAAAGTTAGACTATTAGCAAAGGGAAGACCTAGATAGCCCGTCTTTCAGCTCCGTGACTGCTTGCCAGTCTCTATGATACCAAGACCGTTCATTCATTGCGCGGGGGACCAAGCCCACGATCCCCCGCGTCAGGCTCGAGCTTACATTCATCATCTAGTACCTGTACCGCTTTCATCAGGTTTCAGCCCGAGAGAAGAAGGGAGATCATGGGCCGGCGGGGTAGGAAATTTTGCTTAGGAAGGTCCCTACGAGAAATAGGGGGCAGGGGGGGGGGGTTTTGAACTTTCCCACGACATCTTTTTTTCTCTCTCCCTTTTTTCCCCCTAGAAGATCACCAAACCCACCAACCGTGATTGCCCCGTCCGTGTATCGTTAAAGTATACGTCTAAAACACCTACTCCGCAATTTGGAAGTGCATATAAAGGTATCGATAACTGAAGCTGAGCGAATGACGTCTCCTTCAAACATTTACCTCTACAAAGATCGCTCGCGAGTCGTCGAAATTTCTTCACCATCCTTACTTAGCAAGGGGCGAAGGGGCGGTTGATTAACTGTGCGCCTCCCTCATGGTACACGCGCTCCTCCTCTTTTTTTTTTGGGTAGCATGTTGAACCGTATCGAGGACAAGGTTCGAATGGAACCGGTATACTTCTGTATGCAATCATGGGTAAGGTAAACATGCCGAGCAGGTAGTAAGGAACAGAGGTAGATCCCGCGTCTCCAAACCGAGCTGAAAGCAGACCCGCACCCAATTTACATTCGGAGTGTTGAACGAGAAAGCGTCGATATGAGACTTTCGTTCCGATTGATCCCTTCCTAAACCCACAACACGAACACATCACGACTTCTCCGCAGCGGCGACCCCCTCGTACAGCCGTATGGTTAGCTAGTATACTGCAATCAGATAAAGAGGCAGAGAGTGACGGGTAAGTGATCAGGAGGGAAATATGTGCACGGATGAAGTAGATAATCAAAGTTCAACAATACAAGGAAGTTGTCTACCTGTACAGCTCTGCTCTGCTCGACTCTTTCTTCTCAATTCCGATTTCGAGCCTCTCCTCTCTGTACCACTGCACCTATCAAAGACCCCTGAACTTCATGCTCACTAAACCTTGACCGATCATACACGCCCCCTCCCGTCCTACAGCCTACTTAGCAGCCAGCCCCAACTCTCGATAGAACGCCTCCGTACTTGGCTTCCTCCCCAAGAAGTCCTCCAGCGTCTTCATCTCATCCTGACTGCCCCCCTTCTCAAGCACCATATGTCTGTACCGTCTCCCCTCCGTCTTGCTCATCGGATCCTTCTTGAACACTGAGTGGAACATATCCGCCGAATAGACCTGAGAGCTCAAATACCCATAGTAACCTGCATCATACCCACTAATGAGATGGCCAAAGATAGCTTGGCCGTTGCCCCAGTCAGAATCCATGCCCAGAGCTTGAGGGCCCTTGAGACCAGAGATATCTTTGCGAAGAGCGTTGTACATGGAGGATAGCTCGAAGGCTTCGGCATCTGCGTGGGAGGACGGTGTATGGACCGCCATGTCGAATATGCCGAAGTGGAGTTGGCGGAGATTGAACAGGGCGCCGTTGACGTGCTTGAGGGAGATTTGCTTCTCAATGAGATCATCTGGGATCTGTTCACCGGTCTCGTAATGGTTGCTAAGACTCTTGAGCTGCGAGGGGGTCCAGCACCAGTTCTCGAGCATTTGCGAGGGAGCTTCGACAAAATCACGGACGACCGATGTGCCGTGGAAACGGGAGTACTTTGTACGGCTAGCGAGATCGTGAATGCCGTGACCGAGTTCATGGAAGAGGGTTACCACCTCGTCGTGTTTGAGGAGAGAAGGCTTAGTGGGTGTTGGCTTGGAGAAGTTGCATACCAGAGCAGTAGCTGGGTAGCGACGGGTGCCGTTAGGGTAGAGAAAGCCAGGTTGGAGGTTGAAATTGGCAGCGTGGCCGTACTTGCCAGGGCGTGGGTGGAGGTCAAGGTAAAGATATCCGACGAAACCATTGCCTTCACTCTCGTCATCCCAGACGCTGAAGATTTTGACGTCTGCGTGCCAGTACGTGTCTTGAGCATTGCCAGTCGTGGCAAGCTTTGCCTTGTCTTCTTCTACGATCTCGACGAATACGAATCCGAAGAGCTCCTCGAAAATCTTGAGCATGCCGTCCACAGTCGATCGTAGCGGGAAGTATTCTGCAATCTTCTGCTCGTCGATAGAAAACTCCTTCTCGATCATCATACGATTATAGAAGCGAGTGTCCCAGAGAAAGTAGTTTTTTCCCAGCTTGGAAGAATCGAGTCCTCTAGCTTTCAGATCCGCTTTCTTTAGCTCCAGGAGATGTTCAATTTCCTTTACACCACCAGGAGTGAGTTGATGTCTCAGATCATCCAGGAAATCGTTGACTGTCTTGGGTGTCTTGGCCATCTTATCATCGATGCGGAAAGAAGCCCAATCAGGGTATCCCAGAAGTCTAGCAGCTTCGTCACGGAGGATGATAGCTTCCTTGAAGAGAGGGACGTTCCCGTTGCACTGAACCTATTAGCCTACGAGATGCCACGAGGAAAAAATGCACTGACCTTGTTCTCATTTTCGATGAAAATTTTCTGTCTCGTCTTCGCATCAAGCGCAAACTTCAACGTGGGGAACAGATCCGGATACTTGAACGTAAAACGCAACTTCCCCTCGTTTTCGCCAGTCCCCTTTTCGAATCCAACCAATACATCCTCGGGGACGCCCTCAAGTTCTTCTCTCGTGAACCAGATACCGCCATTCTCCTCGTTGAGGTTCTTCTGAAACTCGATCGCAATCTGCCATACTCAGCCATGCCCGGGTACAACAGACACAAAAGAAGGGGGTCTCAAGACACACCATGCTCAGCCTCTTCTTAATCTCCTTGAAGCGATCCCTCTTAACTCCACTCTCGATCCCCAATCCATTCTGCACATAACTCCTGCGTTCATTCTCTAGCAACTTCAAACTCTCTCCATCTAAGCCACTCGCCTCCCCATCTTTCTTCGCCTTCTCCCACGCCGCATCAATCAGCTTAAACACGTCCTCGCGCATACCAGCCTCGATACTGAAGTCGTCCATGATCTCCTCGGCCTTGGACGAAGCATCGCGGAGCGCGGCATCGGTGCTCGTCGCTTGATAGAAGGCGAGGATGCGACTCTCGAGCGCAAAGATATCTTCTTCCTAGTAATTGGCTGCTTAGCAATGTTCACGTCGAAACACGGTCCCAGTCCCCTACCTGCGCAATCCGCAACATGGTATTTTCAAAGTTTGCCGTCTCAGGGGTGACTTTCTCTACGATGTCATCCAGTAGCTTTCTCGTCTTGTCACACAGCCTCTTCGCATCGTCGACCAAGCTGCTGGCCGTAGCCGTGAACAACGGCGGCGGTTGAGGGGGGGTACGGTACTTGGAGGGCGCCATCGTGGAGTTTGTCAATGGGCGGGCACCCCCAGTCTTGTGCGGCGAGAGAGCAGAGAGGGGATTGTAGACAGGTGGGCGGATTTGGGCCAAGAGACCTGTTGGTCGACGGACGGGGGTCAGTAGGTGACTGGCTGAGGGGTGGATGTTTGGGGCGTGGAAAAGGGAAAGGGAAAGGGTATGGAAATGGAAATGGAAATGGAAATGGAAATGGAATGGCAAATGGGGGCAGAGGGAAGAAGTACTGCTGAGTCGAGGCCCGATGCGAGAGGATGAGGATGCCAGAATGAAGAAGATGGCCGAGAAGAGCAGAAGGCAGAGAGCTGTAAGCTTCCAGCTGCCGGGGCGGGTGAGCTTTGGAGCCAGGGTGGAAAGGGCGTCGTGGATACGAGCGATTGGAGTCTAATGAATGGTATTGAGAGGAAATAACGTGGAGAGTTGTGGATGGCAGAGATCGTATGGAGTTACGGGTATTGATGGTGATGGTGATGGTGATGGTGATGGAAGGGTCCACGTTTCAATCCAAGCTGGAGCTGAAGCTTTAAAGGACGTACTGTAAGCGGGCACTTGCCAATGCAGAAGGAAGGCTGAAACAGACACTGAATGCAATATTAATAGCAGTAGCAAAGAGGTAGCATTCAGTTGATCTATCTAAGTAACGATATCCATTCATTATAGTGATATTCGACTTTCATGTTTCTGTTATGCATATCAAAGCAAAAGTAGCTGATTCGGAGTTACTGATCTAGGTACTTACCTACCTTATCTATACTACCGGTACCTGTGCATGACATCCAGCTGCAGCCAAGCAACCCATCCAACCCCAGATCTCAGCCTCGCCAAAACCATTTCTCCCTCCAAACATCCACAACATCCACAATATCAACACCACCACCAACAGCCACGCTCCCACCATCCCAGGCCTCACCTCGACCGATACCACCGACCCAAAAGAAAGGAGAGAAGCAGTCTGGATGGCGCTCCCTAAAATCAATACCTATCAGTGAGCCCAAGTTGCTACCATACCATCCCACACCACACCCAGCCTTGTGAGCCTGCAGCTCATGAGATATTTCCCTCCCATATCAAACAAACAGCCTCACAGACCGATCATTCCATGTCCCTCAATACAGCTCCCCTAATATAGCTCCCTTCGCTGACTTTCCCCCCCTTTACCCACCCAGCTGCCTCTGCACCACCCTCCTTCTCGCAACAACCCACACGCTCTCCCACCTCCCGCGCCGCTCCTCCCCCCAATCCCCATCCACCACATCCGCCTCCTCCGACACAGCCTTGATCCTCCCCCTCCCTCCCCTCCCCTCCTCCTCTTCACCCAATCCCAATCCCAATCCCACAGACGACAACCCCCTCCCGCCCCAAGGCCACAGCATCCTCCTCGCCCTCTCCCCGGACCGAAAACTCACCATCGTCCGCCGAGAGGACGGCTTCGAGAAGCGGCTCCTCTACCGCTGCGCCCGCTGCCGGCTGGTCGTTGGCTACGAGGTCGTGCACAACCAGCACCAAAAGGTCGCCGCCAACCAGAACACCACCACCAACAGCAAGAAACCCATCAATAGTCATCCCCCACACCCAGATCACACCCCCATGGACATCGACACGGAGAGCACGAGCACGAGCACGGGGGATCCCACCAAGACCAACACCAACACCACCGCAACCGCAACCGGGAACGATCAGAAAGGAAAGCAGAGGCAGGAGGATGATGATATAGATGCGGATGCGGATGCGGATGTAGATGCGGATGCAGATATAGATGCGCACGCGCCACCATATCAAGGCAAGATCCTCTATCTCCTACCCGCCGGGCTAATGAGTACGGAGGTCATGGTGAGCGATGCGGGTGCGGGCATGAGGGCGAGGGTAGGCGGAGGTGGAGGAGGCGGGGAGGATCTGGGTATAGGTGGTGTCGGTGGTGTCGGAAGGGGCGCTGTGGCTGCTTTTGAGTAGGTTGAGTATGTAGAGCAGTGAGGAGGGTAGGTTAATTTGATCGGGAGGCTGGAGTCAGAGAAAGAGAGAGATCGACATCTGGGGCATAGTTGGGCAGGTAGGTGCCTTTGGCATGGATTGTGGTTGCTTAGCGAAACGGCGCCACGGAACTGAAAGCCCTATCTTGCTCACACATACATGCAAGAGAGGTCTTGAGAAACAGAGTCGAGAGAGACACACGCTCGATGCAAACCACACTTGCATTCAGTCCTATCCACTCCACCAAAAAAGTATTCCCGTGCCCGCCCCTGCCAGGCTAATCTCAAAATGCAAATGCAATTCCATACAAGAAAGACATGAACCCTTAGCATTAACGCCATTCCTTGCCCCCTTTCCTTTCTCCGGTGAAAGCTCGCGCAGCCCTATCCATGCCGTGGCTGCGTATATCTCGTACAAGAAGTATGCTTTCTCCTATCCTATCTAACCATCTCCATGCGCCTGTTCATAGAAGCGTCTAGTTGGCGAGGATCGTACGGACGAGATCTATTGCATGGCCTGTCAGCCAGAATCCCATGACCCCTTCGTTCAAATCTGACGCAGGGGCAGCGTGTGGACGTACCAGTGTAGTTGATCTCCCCACTACTTGTATCCACAGCCTTCAACAGCTCATCCACCTCCTCGTCGCTCATCTTCTCCCCCAGATTCGTCAGGATGTAGCGCAGCTGGCCGACGCCAATGAAGCCCGTCATATCCTTGTCGAAGACCTGGAACCCGCGGCAGTACTCCTCCGGCTCGCCCGGGTCGCGGAATCCGCCGGGGCGGTTGAGCATCTTGGAGAAAGCCTCGAAGTCGACTTTCGCGCGCATCGCATCGTCAGCACACACCTCCTCAAGCGTACTTCTCAAGTGTTGCCGGTAGGAAGGCAGGGAAGGGAGGCAGTGATAGGAGGAACGAAAAATACGTACAGTCACCACCAACCCCCTTCTCCAACTCCCGGATCTCCGCCAGCGTCGGGTTCTGGCCGCACGCTCTCAGTAAGTCGCCCAGTGACTCGGTCTGCACGCGCTGGTTGCCGCGCTTATCGAAGAGCGCGAATGCTTCCTTGTAGTTGGTAGAGGCCTGGATATCGTAGGTGCCGTGGTTAGCTGCCATTTCGTTCCTGTATCTGTATATCCTCTTCTCTAATCTAATCTCTGCTCTGCTCTGCTAAATCTTCTGATCCTCCTGTCGCCGTATACTGTTCCTATAACCAGGGGAAGCACTACAGATGCGTCGGGAGGATGTGCTGCTGTTGATAGATGGCCTGCCGATAATTCCCGGTCCTTTCGTTTCGCGGCGTCGGTTGATTGATTGATAGAGCGAGCAAAGCGAGCCCAGCCAAGCAGGAGTAAAAGGGTGCTCGAGTAAATGCAGGCCTAAGATGCAGTATCCGATGCGAACCGTGTGTATTCTCTTTCTTATCCTGGTGCTGCGTATGATGGAGTTGCGTATGTTGTGTTGGTGTTGTTGTATCGTGTTGTAAACAGTAGAGTCGAGAGCCCCTTTACAGCAGAACAAAAACAGAGCAGGAGAGCAGATCAACAAAGGGCCCACAGGGTTGTCGTGGTCGCGGCTGCCCATCCCATCCCCTCATTTGCCCTCTCTTCAGTCCAGTCCCAATTAAACTGTTTTGGCGCCTGCCCGGAGCCCTCCCCCCTTTCCGAAAACAATGCAATGGAAAGGAACGAAAGAAAAGAAGGTGCGCTTACCATGTTGGTTTGTACTGTATGGTATGTATTGTAGATATTGGGATACGTAGAAGGTACGGAGGAGGAATGAAGTGGAGATTATGTATTTGAAGAGAGTTGGATGTTGATGTTGGATGTGAAAAGGAGATGCGCCGCTTACAGGCAGGTCGGAAATGCACGTCCCTCGGGGTAGGCAAGTGTGGTTGGCATCGCAACGGTGGAGGGGGTGTATGGAGTAAGCGAATAAGTATTTACAATACTTCGTTTAACAATTTGGTTGATTCAAGGCTCAGGATTTGGTTGGAAGGGAAAGACGTTCGAGGATTATCAAACGCAAAAGCCCTTCCGTAGCAGTTCTTTGTTCCAAGGTGATGGAGCAAGCCCCGAGTGTTGTTTACTTTGCTTCATCTCGCTGTAACTTACATCTTATGACCTATGAAACCTACGATCCTTATTACGTCGAAGCATCCAGGGAGGCTATTTGGTCGGCGGTTAATCACTCTCTTTTCCTTAGAGCATCCAGGATCCTACTCTCAGTTCAAAAAGGGTCTCACGTCGACTCCCCAGGGCCAAATCCTCCTATCTCTACCTACCCTTAACCTACCGGCAAAAGTACACCTCCTACCTCCTCCTGGCCAGCAAAATAATACTCCCCCACTCGTTCTCAACCTCCAAATATCTCCACCTCTTCCCCATCTCCTCCCAACTACTCTCCACCCTCCTCATCTCATCAAACATTCTATCCACCACATCCCCTCCCCTCCCAATCACCGTGTTCCTCCTCTTCTCCCTTTTCCCCTCCCTCACCCTCACCTCCCGATAATTGACAAACGCACTAAACGTCCTCACATACCCCTCCAACTCTCCCAGCGTCAACCTCTTCTGCATCAACACCTCCCCCTTCCCCTTCCCCTTCCCCTTCCCCTCCATACTCGGCTCATACTCAATCCTCTCTACATCCTCCCAACCCGACTCCGGCGGCACAATACCCCGGTACAAATCACGTAGTATGCTCCGCCCAGGCTGCTCCCAGTACGGGCCCATATGATCCTCCCCATAACAATACTCATCCAGCACTCTCGTCGCCTTCGGAAAATCCACCAAGTAATTATCCTTGTACCCCCAAAACGCCAGCGTGCCTCCTTTCCTCACCGTACGGCTCAGTTCCGGCCAGGCTCTGCCAAAGTCGAACCAGTGCGCCGCCTGGCCCGCGACGACCATGTCCAGTGAGCCGTCTGCTACGAACGAGAGATCTTCGGCGGAAGCTTGCCGGTAAGATATGTTCGTGTACTTTTCCTGCGGGGTGGAGGACTGGGCTTGGGAGATCATGGAGGCGGACGGGTCGGTGCCGAGGACCGTTGTGAAGGAAGGGGATAGTTCCCTGGAGATCAAGCCATGCCCGCAGCCTAGGTCAAGGAGTGTGCCTTTCGTAGCATTTGGAGAGGCGTTGTGGAAGGCTAGGACTTTCTGGAAGAGCTGGCGAGGGTAGCTGGGTCGGAATGTTGCGTAGGAGAGGGCGTTGAACGTAGACTTGCTATAGGGAAGGGGGTTTAGCTTGGGTCTGAATGTGCGTATAGGAGGGGGAGGAGAGGGAGGGAGACTTGCGTGAAAGTCGCCATGATGCTACCTATCCCTCTTCCTCCTGGGTATGAACAGGAGATCGGGAGATAGGTAACAGGAAGCGTGTATCAATAACTGGTGGCCTCGCTCTTCCAGCAGCTGCGTTTTTGCGCCGACGAGCGAAAGACGAGCGTAGGACAAGCTAATGGCCAGATGTCAGCTTCCGAAGTTCAGAGGAGTAATTGAGATATCACATTAATCAGTTAAACTATCAGAGTAATGAGATTCCCGTCAATATGGGTACAAAGAGTTCATCAGTTGAGATGTTGACGCCGTATCATGCAGAACAATAAGATGCCGGATTTTTTTCAGCCTTTCCCGATCACCTCGGCTTATCAGCCTTCTCTTGGCATCGTCTACGTATTTACATGAGCCAACGTCAAGTACGAAAATATTTCTTCTGTGTAGGAAAGAAAAAAACCCCCTTTATACCTTGACATGGAAGGATAGTCCGTTGATTTTAAACAATCCCAGTGTCATATACACAGTGCACAACCCTACCGCATCTAGCTCGAAAGTAAACAACGCTTGACTTCCGACCTTTCCTTCGTTGCTTATACAGCGAAGTAGCCTCTAGCATGTAGGTTGGACTCTTCGAGGATATTGTTTGCCTATCCCTTTGTTTCGTCTGGGTTTTTTACGTTCGATCCCAGCGGGGCAAGATACCAACCATACGATTCTATGTTCGTTTGATCTCCAAGATAGCCCAGTGTAGAAAGGGGTTCCCAGCTCACGAGGCCTTGTTCGCTAGCTCGCGAGGCCTACCCCACCAGTATATAAACCTCGCCAATAAGTGTTCGTATTTTGAGACGCGCGAGACGTGACCCCCACTATGTGTTGACGCCTAGAAATTCATCATCTTTGGTTCAACCGTACTCTCCAACATATACAGTTGATACAGCTTCCCTGGCAAGTTTCTTCAAGATGGCAACAGAAGCAGCAGCTCGGGCATTCTTCTCGGCACCTCAATTTGCAGTCGTAGGCGCATCTAGCGACCCTACAAAGTTTGGACACAAAAGTAACTAGAGCTATACATTCTCTATCTCTACCATCCATCTCTATATATGCTAAGAACCCACCCAGTCTTCACTTGGTATACGCACCACAACCTCCCCGTCACACCCATCAACCCGTCCTCTCCGGAGATCAAAGCCTTCCCGCCCTACCCCGCGCTCGACATAAAATCCTACCCAACGCTCCCCAACCTCTCGGCCCTCCCCAACCCAGCACAAACATCAGTCTCCATCATCACCCCTCCCAAAGTCACTATCAAAGTACTGGAAGAGGCGAAGAAGCTAGGTGTGCAGGGTGTATGGCTGCAGCCGGGAAGCTTTGATGATGAGGTTTTGAAGTACGCTATGAAGGAGTTCAAGGCGGCTGTTGGGGGCGATGGGGGGAGAGGACACGAGGGGTGGTGCGTGCTTGTTGATGGGGAGAAGGCCGCGAAGGAAGCGGGGAAGAGCCTTAAGTTGTGAGAGAATGGAGAGATGAGAGCTGGGGAATGGCTGCTGGCCCGGGGGCATGTATCCAGCAGTGGAAAAGTATGCCGCGCTTGAGAGTCTGGAGGGAAGAAGTTTTCGACTTGCAGATTCCATTGCTTGCTTGAATCGCTTTTCTTCTTTCACTTCCTGCTAAAATCCCCAAAGGAGTGTTTGTCACTCGTACTGGCTGTGGTGACCCAAGTGGACCAAGCCAGCACTATTCTTCAGTTCTCCGCCGGAGAGGCGGCGAGGCTTGAATCGGAACTTTGCTCTGCCTTTCTGATGATTTTGCTACAATATGGACTCATCAGATGACAGAGGGGTGTTCCTTGCACATGAATCATTGGTCCGAGTGGATCTGAGGAATCCCTCCATATAATGCTTCCACAGAATACTGTCATGCCACCTCGAGATGAAAATCTCCATACAGAGTGCTCTGGAGAAGCTGGCACTCAAAAGACGTCAAAATTGCCCGAATGAAAAATGTACGACATGGTGAGCAAGAGCGTTCATCGGGTTGCATAATATCTAGTCACCGCATTCAGCCTGGTTACCTGCTTTCCCAAATCACTTTCAGAGTTCAGTGCCATCTCCGTGTCTTTCTCCGGTTGTTATCTCCTCTCGATCTGTTTCGTGTCTATGACTGTCTTTCGATTACCACAGTGCGAGCCTTGTGAGAATGCTATCTTGCTGTTTGGCAAGCTAACTTCCACGAAGGTCTTAGAAAATTTACTCATTACGTGGGTAACATTAATGACAACTGCTTTTCTTTAGCCAAAGATCTGTCGACTAAAGTCGAAATCAATACTCAGACAGCTGCTGTTTGATGGTAGTACTCAGTGTAACCGCTCTATTGTTTACCTAAACTCGCTTCAACCCCTCCCTCGCCCAAGTCTGACACTCTCGAGATATTTGCTCACGGGCCGAGTATCCTTAATGCTGAGAAGGAAGAGTACTTGCGTGTACCATCGTATTCACCATCCTTCTTCCCGCGGCAACCTATACCTCCAGGCATCGTGTGCAACATCAACAAGGCGTCGTTACGTGTGTAACAGAGCTATCACTCCTACGATCTGCCTACCACCACTTGTGGCGTCTCCCGAATCCTTCCTACTATGTTGAAATAGAAAATTTGCCCAAACCTACGCCTACAGTCGTAAATGACAACTCTATGAGTGAGTATTGGGGTATGCACTCATCATTGGACAATCAAGCGACTCCATGAAGAACTTCTCACGCAAGCACCAAGGCTGATATCCCGTGTGCACTCACGCCAATCACGCCACTAACGCCACTGATCCTTCCCCAGACTTGGCGGACTCTCTCATTTGCTTGGGAATTTGCACTTAATTTGTCTCCCATGATGACATTAGACTCCTGTCTTGTCTCGCTAAAAATAAATCGGCGGAGCCTTGCTCCGCTGATGGTGATGATATTTCAAAAGCTTCAACTTTGATTTATTGTAGCTTTGACCCGGAAGTATGAGACAGTTTACAAGACCAATTATGCAAGAGTTAGATGATGATTGGCTGAGAAATTCGTACGCGACCAATACAGAACAATCCAACCATGCACTAGACCACGGCTGGACCGATGTCAACACTGCTCTCGCTTAACAGATGCGGACCACACTTCTCAGCTACAAAGCTACGAGGCCCTCACTCGTATTTAGCCCGGGCGCTGCAGTGATCACGAAGCTATCGTGAGATCCTACAACTCAGCCGCAAGTCTGCCTCTATGTACCTCTCCATAATATTCCGCATCACGCTCGTATCGAGGTTACCGACATGGACGTTGTCGACATCATCGGCCAGCCTCGCAACAGCATAGCCGTGGTCTGGATTTAGATCCTCGTGTAGAGGATGGCAAGTGATCATTCTCAGATCATCACTCAACTCAGCTCGAAGCAAAGCTGCCGAGCCTGGTTCCTCTGTGCCTCGAGACTGTATGTATATATAAGACCCTAGAACCTATTTCATCTCTATCATTCAGCACCAGCAGTCACTCACAGCTTCCTCAGTCATATCAACAAACATCCTTAACTACCTATCAAGAAATCAACAGCATACCCGTTACTCCCCAACAAACACCAAAAAAATGCAACTCACCACCATCCTCCGCCTCGCTTCCGGGCTCGCAGCTGCAGCTCTCACCCAGGCCACTCCTCTCATCCCCCGCCTCTCCCTCCTCCCCACCGCCGAGATCACCTTCCACGGCGCCGCCGACGCCCAATACACCCTCACAGTCCCCCTCACCGGCTCCCCAATCTACACCTACAACCCGCTCTCCATCTCCTCCATCTCCTCACCCAGCATCAACATCGCCACCAACTGCGTGCTCTCCACCCCAGACTACCCCCCCGCACTCGTCGCTGGCGCCCCAGGCACCTGGATCCTCGGACCCCCCCAGACCGTCATCTCCCTCTCCTGCAGCATCTCCGGCAACAGCAGGAGGTATCTCCCTCCCCCACCACCACCACCGGCAGCCAGCATCCTGATCGAGTTCCAGGGCGCGGACCCGGACCAGGGTGCCTTCTACTCCGTCGTGGTCCCGCTAGATGGGACTGTCGTGCAGACGGATAACGCGCTGAGCGTCAGCACGCTGGTCGCGGGCTTCGATGCCCTGGCTGCGAATTGCGTGTTTGGGTATGCGGATGGGGAGGCGGCGTTGGCGAGGGTGGCGGTGGATCGATGGGCTGTTGGGCCGCCGCAGGGTATTATTGAGGTGTCGTGCCGGGCGTGAGTTCTAGCTAGCTAGGTGCGCGTTCTTGAAGTTTGGGTGTTTGTTGATGGGGGAGAGAAAGAGGAGGAGGGGGGCGGGGAGGAAGGGAGGGTGTACGGGGTGTGGGAGATTTAATTGATTGTTTGCGTTTCTATGGATGCGTTGAGAGGTTTGTTGACATGGAGGGGAGGGGAGAGGGCTTTTATTAGGGACTTTCTTTGATTCTATCTTTTTTTGATTCTATCTTTCTTTTTTCTTTTTCATCATCAGACTAGAACTATCAGACTAGAACTAAACAACAGCGTTGCGTCACCTACCACAGAGATCATCTGTTGCTTCCTCGTGCCTGTCATTATCACTGATATTCAACCCTCTCCATCCTGGTCCGAGTCTTCGCCTCTTAGATGTAAGACGCCTCGATCAAGTACCCAACCGTAAACTGAACACCGTCAGCTCCGCCTCCCATGTTATGCGGGACTGGGAGGGTGGTGTAGGCCACAACATACCTTTGAATGTCTCAAGATCGCATCCCACATGATTGTCGCGTAGGTGTCGCTGGCAGAATGGATGTAGGGGGAACCCGTGTCCATGGCCTCATCGCAGACGTATGAGGAGGCTGATTCTCAGTGGGTCAGCTACATCTAATATCTAGAATTCTGTACCGGATGGATGGATGCGTGCGCGCGCACCCGCGGGCCGGGGGGCGGGGGTGGGGGGCGAAACTTACGGAATCCATTGCTGTATCCCGAAGCGTGGTCGGAGCATCCGTAGCCGCAGGTGTCGGTGGTGGAAGCCAGACCCGTGTACTGCGTGACAATCCTGCGGACGTAGGCCACGAGAGAGGCGTCGCTGTAGTCGCTGTAGACGCTGACTCGTCCGGAGGGAGAGTACCCAGCCATGTCTGATAAGAAGAAGCCCTTTTTGTCAGCTCTGTTCGAACTATTTCCCAACCATCACATATTTTCCTTCGGCCTCTCTCGGACTCTGTCTCTGGAAGTCAAGACAGGGGGGAGGAGGTATTGGCAATCACCTACCTTGGCACACGAAACCCAAGACGGTCTTTCCAGCCGAGGCGTAGCTGGAGAAGATGGCTTGCGAGCCTAGAAGTCCACCCTCCTCCCCGCCGTAGAAATGGAACTCGATCGTGTTCTTGGGCTTGAAGCCGGAAGCGGCAATGACCCGGAGTGCTTCCATAAGGACGACGACGCCAGAGCCGTTGTCGTCTGCGCCGGGGGCGCGGCCTGCAGTCGTACTTCCGACCGAGTCGTAGTGAGCACCTATGATTACTGCGAGTGCATTATTAGTATGTTGTGTGAGAAGTAGGCAAGGGGAGAAGAGAAATTAAAGGGGTCATACTCAGGTTTGTGCTTGTCCCAGGAACCGTGACAATGATCGATGGCTGGGCGAAAGAATGGGTAAAGGTCGTCACGGTGATTGCCGCGTTGGTCGATGCGAGGCTCCTCACTTGAGTGAGAAGCCAGGTACCTGCTTGTGTACCGTATGTAGAGCGGTAGTAGCGGTTGAAGAAGCTGGGCCATGTCAGCGTTGCGTTTTGAGACAAGAGCTATTTCTGACATACTTGGTCAGGGTTGTCAACCAGCTCTTAGGCCCCGTATTAGAGAGTTTCGCAATCAGGGCGTTGGCCTCGGTCATATGTGAGAGGGCAGGGTAGGTGACTGCTTGAGCCCGAAAGAGACCTTCCGATGGCTCGGTAGAAAGACGGCGGAGAGTAGTCTCGTTCTATTATCGCGAGTCAGCCAAGTTCGTCCTCGTTCTTTTGCAAGGGAGAGGTGTACCTTGATATCAGTGATGTCGATGAACTTGATGTTCTTCGCCACATAGTTTCTGATCTTCATATCCTCGGTGATCCAAGTGCCCGGATCAGCCTCTGAAGTCTTGATCAGGCGAAGGTTTCCATCATTGGGAACTCTTGCGTCGGTTGGTGGCAACGCAGCCACTACCGACAGCGAGGTAATGAGAACCGCAAGGATCGAAGAGAGAAACATTGTGAACAAAGACCAAGGAACGAATGAATGAAAAAATGATTGACTTGGGAGAGAAAAGAATACAAGACGGCGGCTACCTGTCTATATATGAGTGAGTCCCTGCACTATAGCTACACCAATCAACTATAGATGGATGATCCAGATATTAACTGATCAGCTTTCACTGAACCTGTACTGGTCTACCGCGCACCTTCCCAATCTATTCAGCTCGGGTGCCATCTATGTTCCATGGTCAACAAAGCTCGGCACTTACTCGAGTAAGGCGAATGAGATCTTAGCATTGGATCCATTGCAGGGCCAAGAGTCTTAAGCCCCTCTAAGCTTTCCACCCACCTTCTTGAATTGGGTTGACCGCAATGGGATTGGAATTCAAATTCCTCGGTACTGGCAGCATCTTATCTTTACTGGCTCGATAAGTGTGAACGGCAGGGCCCATTGGATGCGGACAGGCCCGCTTCGCTTGCATGTTGTGATGCCAAGGACCTGAGATGTGGCTGAATGTTCGGATGTGTTGTGAACTGCTTGATGCAGTCTAGCGCGACCTTCGCCACCCCAGAGAAGGTTTATTTAAAGTCGATAGCGAAGCTTTTGGACAAGACGGATGAACTTCTTGGTCTAGTGCTTATAGGCGACTACAATGTTTGGATCAGGACTCAGGTAGAAATTCGCTTGCGCTTGACCAAATACAGCTAGCCAGCCACGCTCAACGCTGCTAGAAGTAGAAGAAGCCGATGATCTCCCATGCCTCAAGCGAATATTGTGGAGTAGTTGCATGCTGTTATGTGTCGTGGATTTCTCAAAAGACGCTTCTGCCAAGGCGCGAACTGGGCTGCAGGGCGGGCGTACCGAAATGATTGAATTATGCGAGACTTTACGAGTTGCGCGGGCTATTAACACGCAGGTCCTCTCTAGGCTCTAGGCGAGTTCTCGGAATAAAATAGTAAGAGGAATGCTTTTCGGAAACATTGTGGTCCTGAAATGCTTACAATCAAACCCACCCCATTACTCACTCCCATCCTATCCCATGGATAATCCGGTGTACAGGGGAGCGAATAGAAGAAGATAAATATACATGTGTATGTCCATAAGTGGCGAAGAGCATATGTTCTCCTCAAGACCTTGGTCACAGCCTTCTTACGTCCTACGCTTTTTGGACCTGGTGGGCTTCCCCTCTTCCTCTCCATCGTCATTGGAAGCTCGCTTGGTACCGCCACCTTCGATGAGTTTGACCAGTCCGTCTTCATCAATAGTCGTGATACCCAGACTCTCGATCTTCTCCAACCTGCGTTCTAAAAGTCAGTGTGCCGCAGTAGTATCTCTAGACGCGAAACTTACTTGACTGGACCCGCGTCGTTCCCAACCACCACGTACGACGTCTTCTTGCTCAAACTCGACGCAACCTTCCCCCCATAATTGACCACCAGCTTCTCAGCATTCTTCCTACCAAGCGTGGGCGGAACACCAGTGACACAGATGGAGAGGCCCTCCAACGCCCTTCCTACCCCGCCAAGCAGGGCCTTGTAGTTACTCGGCAACTCAGACTCATGGACTGAGCTCTTTGGCTTCTTCGAATTAGCGGCTCTCTGCTCAACAGGCGTCTTTGTCTTCTTCGGTGCAACGACCTTCTCCTGCTTGCTCTCCTTTTTGACTGCCTTGGCTTTGGCTGGCTTCTTCTCCGCCTGCGCGATCACGGGATCCACGATAATGCTTCCTCCGATCAGGGTCTGGAATTCGACTCTAAGACTGTTGAGACCGTCTTCTTTGCCTTCGCTGAGGCGCGCGTTGGCCGACTCGACAGAGGCGTGGACGGAATCGATGGAAGTACCGTTGAGGACAATGTACACACCCGCGGCGGTAGAGCTCGCGCTGGCGGCCTTCTTGGGCGGCATCTTCGCTGCGATCTGGGGGCTTTTGTGGATATTCTGAGGTTTTGAGCAGGTCAAAGTGTGCGTTGCACCAATCTGGTTGTTGAGATTCATAGCAGCTAACGTGACTACTTCGTACGAGGCAAGTGGCACAGTTGTACTGTCCAAATTTATCCTAGCGCGTCTATCACAGAATTGGTGCGATATCACATGAGGGCCTTCGCCAAATGTCTGCTTTTATTCGCATTCTTAAATCGTTTCTCCCATGATTTTCTTGCTTGCACTTTCTTCACCATTTTCAGAATCCTCAAAATGTCAATGGATTTGAAGAGCGGAATCGGCGGATTTAAATTAGCCAGCTTATCACCAGGGACTGGTGACGGTCAAAGATATTTTCACGCAAAGATAAGGAAATAACTCGATGGTCAGGTAGGATTTTCCTTCGAATCCACGACACGCGCACCCAAAGTTTTTTTGTCTCACTTTTATCTAAAAGATTCTGACCATACCAAGCGTTTTGAACTAATCAATCCGACAATCCATATATGCATAATTCAAATGGAGATCTGGTCTACCAAGCTTCTAGCGCTTTCTCCTTTCAGGAGCACTTGAAAAGATCGTCCAGAATATGTGGTTTCGGCATTACAGAAAACATCGTCAGTTTCGACATCTCAGACCCCCTATCGACCGGGGATATCATGGCAGCTGAACAAACGTCTTGCCATTCAGTATTTTCGATTCGCTGTCACTTTGCCTTACGAGCTTAAACTGAGTCTGCGAGTTTGCAGATGTATACATTTATTGCGGGATTCTCCACCTCCAAAGCTTCCTCTCCTGCGGTGCAACTATCTCATGAATTCAGGGCCCAGGTGAACTATTGATTGGGATGGTGCGGCCGGGTTCGTACTATTTAACAAGAGGAGGGGGTGTAAAATATTCAATAGGTGCATATCTGTTAAGATCAACTGACCTGTCACATACAATCGGTCCTCCTGGTGTTGCTCGAAAGTAGGCTGACGGCTGAGACGCTAATTATGACGACAAAAGTAGAGGCACGAAAAAGAATACGCGCAGTGCACTATGCGGCTACTACTAGGAGAGCAAGAAACTCAAGTTTCATTCCTGTTCGCATTCATCCAGCAAAAAAAATAAGAGAAAAATAGGTGAAGATATATCTGCATCGAGGCAATGGTCAACAACTATGTGCATGACTTTGTACGTCGAAGGCTATCCGGGTATTCAGGGGCTCGCTTGAGCGCGGGGTATGTTTACTCACGCATTAACCTCTCAAGAACGTCACGAGTCGATTATCTTGGATCCTACTCGGATGGACTTGTCTGAAAATCTACATAGCTAGCGCCAGCCTGTCATCTGCGGATGTATAAGTCGAAACCAGGATCCGAAACAGACCGAAGACCGTTTCCGCTTCGTCTGGTTTCAGGCACAGCACCACGTCCTGGTCAAATATCCTCATGCGATGCCGCGATGCACAGAATTCCCCGTCCTCCTACCAATAATATGCTGTTCTCTCAAGGTCGTCTCAAATCGCTGGGAGAGTTTGTTCCCGAAAGAGGGATTTGGACGATGCGACAATATTTGGGTGATATGCCACAACCTGTCGTCTGATCCGTAGTCCCGGGCATGGAGATCTCTGCCCTAGTCTGATCTGAATTTAGATGGGCGAGCCTTGCGTGGCTGAAGTGTTGTATTGCCGGGCTTACATGATATATGATTGATGTCCTGCCTCCCAGCCACGGAGAGGGATACTGTATGGATGCGCTTCAGTATCCACGCCTTCATTTAACTACTCCTACTTCTTGAATCTCTGATAGTCTTTGACTCCTATCACATTCATTCGTTCGTATACATTCATTCCTTTGAAATTGTGTCTTTTTGTTGCGAGTCCACGTTATAGAATCCAAGTTATATTTTCAGTCTCTTGATCTGAATTGCAGACCGAGAAAAAACACGACTATCGAAAAACCACCTTACGATTATTTCAAATTTGAAAGACTAGATTAGCAGTATTGAGGGAGCATACGAAAAGATGGATTCACGACTCGGACTGCCACAGCAGGCTCTCAGCAAGAATGAAGTCAAGGCTTCGTTCCAAGGACAGAGCGCAAATGAGGAGTTCGACTTCGATGCAAAAATCGAAAGGGAAACAGTCCGGAAACCATCGGGTTCAGTTACGGTCACGGAGGGAGGACTACAAATCAGGGCAGCAGCTGATGTGATAATGGATCCAAAACCAAGCAATTTGCCCGAGGATCCTTTGGTACGACCAGACCTAATATTTTCAGGTCAACTACTGACCAGATCATAGAACTGGCCCAGATGGAAAAAGGAAGCTGCTTTCGGCACCTTGATGATAGGAACCGCCGTTGTTGGTATCCTGAAGACCATGTTGGTCACTGTTAACTCTGTTGTCGCAATCGAATCAAGCGTCGACTATGTAGCGGCTGCAGCACTTACGGGGGCCCCTTTAATGTTCGGCGCGCTCGCTGGATTGATGAGTCAGATGTCGAGCCAGCTCTTTGGCAAGCGAGGAATATACATTGGAAGCGCTGTTCTTATTCTGGTGGGCGCGCTCTGGAATATGCATGTCTACAACATTTACGCACAATTTATGGTGTCTCGCATCTTCCAGGGCATTGGATGGGGTATGTTCGAGGCGTTGATCTCAAGCTCAATCGCGGACTTGTTCTTCGTAAGTCCCGAGTCATTGTAATATCGGGGTTTTTTTTTTTTTTTTTTTCTTTCTCACTTTTACTGACGGAGGATATTAGGTTCATGAACGAGGTACGAGAGTCAACATTCATAATGTCGTTTCCATTTCGTTCACATGGGGCACCCCAATCGTGGGTGGATACGTTTCTCAATCAGTAGGCGGTTACCGCAACCAACTCATGATCGCCAGCATCTTACAAGCTATCTCTATCCTCTTACTTATCTTCGCCTCACCTGAGACGACGTTCGACAGAGCATCGTCCCAGCCGCCTAGCGTTGACATTGCGCCATCAAAATCAAGCTTCAAGCAATACCTCGACACACTTAAATTTACCAACCCGCACAGCATCAGCAAGTTCGACGTAAACGCCGCCCTCCAACCTCTGAAGGCCTTGATCGCACCAAGCACAATTCTGACTACGCTTCTTACTGCTCCGCTCCTGGGCTCGGCTTTTGGGATCGCCAATTCGCTATCGCTAATGTTCTCTACTATGCCGACCCTCTTGTTCCCAACCAGACTCGGATGCCTCTTCGTTCTACCACTCATATTCTCGCTTCTAGCTTACTCCCTCGGCGCCTTCCTCACCTATGTGCGCATCAAGCCTCCGTACCATCTCGGCGACTCGCCCGCGAAGACTCTCACAGTCGCAGCCCCTGGACTGTTGATCGGCGTCTCGGGCCTCCTGGCATTCGGAATGTGCATCTCGACAGAGCTGATGCCAGAGGTCGCCGGTAACAGTACCGCATTTGAGATCAAGGTTGCCGGGATGGAGATCTCTCTGCAGGCCGTCGCGGCCGCATTCGGCATGATGGTCGGCGGTGCAGTCATGCTGGAATACTCGGGCGCGACCTACCTTTCGACTTTCGCCAGCCCGAACAGGCCTGGGGATAGCGAGCTAGCTGGTGCGCACCATGTCCTGCAGGAACTCGTGGTTGGCATCTGGGTTATTGGGTTCCCGATGTGGATCTCGGGTGATGGGGTGATGGGTGGACTCGAAAATACTGCGACTGCGATTGGCGTTCTGGTGGCTGTCATCGGTGGCTCTGTGGTAGTCGTGCTGTCCATCAAAGGAGACGTATTGAGAAATATCGATATTGGGGTGCTTAGAAGGGGACCAGAATCAGGTAATGGTGATGGTAGAATTTAGAGATGGAGGAGCAGGGAAAGTTTTATTTAAGATCGAGCTAGAATGGCAAGTACGCTCTGGCTCGATATCGAGATTGGGATTCCCGAGTGATGATCGCGCCGGGTAGCGGTACAGTCTAACAAACAATTAACATTTTACCTTCAAAGTCATCGTGCATGCGCTGAACTGGGTCACATGTTTACCCAAGATCCACCTGGTAACATGCTAGTTCACTTCAGTGTTACAGCCAGCACCTGAGGGCTAGCTACCATTTAGTTGAGAGTTTATTTAGGCTAGGATTATAAAAGATTCTTAATACGATGAGCGGGATTACCTCTCAGCAGAACCCGCGAACCATCTGCTTCTTCCACGTTTGTAAACAACGGGGTAAGCTAAGCGAGTGTTCACTGGCCTTCGATCCACTGACGGTCTAGATTATTTCGAATACAAGATCCGGGAAACACTGCTTTTTTTTTTCCACCGCTTGTGGATATCTGTCCACATTCTTTTTTTTCTTTCGCATGCAGTTCGTGACATATGAATTAGGGTATCGAGTCGATTATTTCTTACATGCCCTGTTTACGAGTAAGAGGTCTTCCGAGTAATCATGTCTACAGGGCTCCTAGACATCTCTGTCACACACTAATCACTAATCTATTCTGACCACGGGACTGATAGCTCTGAGAAACTTATCTTCGAGTAAACATGCTTCGCTCAGGCCGGATGTTTGCTGCTCGCTTATTCTGGCCAGCCTCAAACGCGCTCCTTCCTCGATAAGCGCCTGGAAAGCTCAAGATCTTCGTCTCCAAGACAATTTCTTCGCGTCAAAAAGCTCATAATCTTCTTCTCATCATACAGGTCGAGGCCAAAAAGGCTAGCCGCCCTTGAGAGTCTGGCCGAGAGTCTGGCAAGCTCTTGGAACAGCTCAAGAAGAAGAATAGCTGGGAGTGTGACTTGGTGCATACGAACCTTTTAAGGAGTTAGACTTGCCGAGGTCATAAAACTTTAGGCTTTCCCTTAGGCGATTAAAGAAAGGTACGTAGTACATATGGATTCGCTGCTCCCGTCTCGGCTCCACTCTTTTCGGCTACTCCACATAACGGAAGAAAGCGAGGCCACGCAAGAAAACGCCACTAGGAGTAGAATCGGAACCTTGAAATCTCAGAAGGGGAGAGACGCGGCCTATATTCCCCTCGCCCCGAAAGGATGTCGCGCAGTATTTCTTCATCGCGAGGGGGAAACTGATACTCACGTATTGAACCGGCTGTACGTAGCGTTTTCCGATTGTGAAATTACCAATGTTCATACTGGTTTGCTTTTCCCGTGAATCAAAGAAGTCCTCGAGCCGCTCACATTGAAGTACGATCTCGCCCTCTACGGATGTATCCTTCGCTTTATCAAGCAACCCCTCTCTACTATACAAGTTTTGGAGCTTTTTCCCGAATAAACGAGGAACTCTCCTCGTACCGTGGATCTCGTAGCCAATGCCAGCTTTGAGGGCCTCTGGCAAAGAGGATGGGTATTTGCGGGCCACAGGTCAACCACCCATCCGGCGGGAACTCGGGCATCTCGTCTCAGGCCACACATGTAACTAGTCCAAAAGCCTTTCATGATCAGCTAAAAGAGTTCTGGGAAGTCCCAGCCCTAGTTCCCCACGTCAAACAAGAACATGGCAAAAGTCTTCTACAAAGACGAGACCGCACGTCAAGATCTCGCCGAGTTGAAGAACATAGACGCAAATTGGATCTTGGGAGAGAGGTGTCATGGATTTGGGTAAGGTGATGATGACGACGTTGATGTTGATTAGAGTCCTGGCGAGCTTGTAAAGATTCCTGTGCTCTTTTTTTGTTATATCTATCGTGATCACCGCGAAAGATTAATCAATAGGTACGGCCTACACCCGAATCCTTCGTGCCGAGCATACAACAGAACCAGATCTGAGCCTGTTTTTCCCAGGCTTGTGTTGTTAGGAGAAATGTGTATTAGCAATAGCAAGTTTCAGTAGCTAGCTTGAGGGTCAAGGACAAGAGCCGGAATCTTCAGAGAAAGGTGGAGGAAGAGTTCACGATCGAAATATGACCGGACGTTGCAAGCAAAGACCGGAGGGTGCCTCAAGTACCTCGAGCATTCTCGCGTAGGATCCTCGATTTCCAACGTGAGGGTAGTTTAAAGGTGATGATTGTTTTATTTTCTTTACATTTCCGGTCTGGCCGGTAATAGTCCGATTCCAAATCATATCGTTTCATGCGGCGCCGTATCGTGAGATACACATCTCGGGTGTCACTTCATGCTCCCAAGTCATCCAGTTTAAAGCCGTCCCCGTCCACTCAGTCACGCTTGCCCATTCCCCAACCATTCCCAACTCCATAACCTCCTAACGGCGTAGCTCCACCCATTCCCCTCCCTTTCAGTCTTTTCGGCAGCACAACTCCTAGGAACCACACAGCACTGCCCAAGGCACCAGCTCCAGCACTCAACAAACAGTAGAAGAACGTGCTCGCGTAGAAATGTCCACCCATGCCCGCCCACTCCACCTTCCCATTGTCAGTCGGCAGATGCGGTGTTGGGAACCACCGAACGCTAAATTGCAGCGGTAAAGGATCCCCAATCACCAGCTTCTTTGTTAGCGCCGCCGGCCCCGTCATGTGCGATAGCGGGCTCGTGCTATAAGCCGCCCCGGAATCGATTACGCCGCTATCATGATGGTGCAGGTGGTGTTTGGGGGTCGAATGGATGAGGATGTTGAGATGTGTGGATACGTGCAGATGTGATAGCTGCAAGGTCCCGGCGAGAGCAAAGATCAAGGGCACGTATTCTTGTTGAAATTCAGTGGGCAGTTTCGAAGCGGGTATGCCTCCGGGGTGTATGTGAGCTGGGGGCCGGGAGGGGATTCGGCAGGAGAGAGGAGCGTCGTTGTGGATGTAGAATTCGAGGAGGTGGAAGAACGGATCTGTGATCATAGGAATCGTGCAGTTGAGTTCTGCGAGCAAAGTAGTGATTAGTTGTGTGAAGCCTTGGATACCTAGAAAAACCTACCGTCTTCAATCCCGTATTGTAACTCCAGTGGTTTTCCCGTTTCGTTGCAGATAGGGAAAGGATTGTATTTCAGTTCATCTTGCGCATTTGATACGTGTTCTCCCGTTTCACTGTGACGAACAATTAGCCTGTGATCTTCTTGCTCGTCCCTCTCATCTCTGTTCAGCCTCGCCGCAGTCCCAATGCCCGGAGGACCAGATAGTTACTCACATAGAACGTTCCAAACAACTGACAGGAATCTTCGCACCATAATGGTAACTTGGCAACGGAATCTTGCTGTGCTCTTCTTGTGTCCTGACCCCTTGGGCCCCAAGCAAGACAGCTCCCACTCCCAGCAGCAACCTCCATCCCCGCGCCATGTTATCCTCTTTAATTCACCGTGTCCTGCTTCTCGTCGACTTGATGCAGGCTCCAAGAGCGAGGAGCTATCTGTACATTGTATTGGTCCGTGGTTGTTGTTACCGGCGCAAAGAAAATATGGAGATCTAATGGCGATCATACTGATCTACGACTAGAGCTTAATTTTCTCTAGCGCGACTTGGAATCACGTGTGATCGTCTGTTGACTTCAAGGTTCGCTACCCCTTTTTCCCACGCGTTTGAAAGCCACCTTCTCAGTCCTTTAGAGATATAGAACTCACAGCAGTGACAACTGTTTAACTTCCTGCACTCGATCGATTTCCTTTATCCGACCCATTGATGTGTGGCACGCTGGCCAACCCATACATTTGTTATATTTGCTACTAAATAAATTCATTGCGAAGATACTTATAGGTCTACCATGCGTTATCTCACTAAAGGGCTTGAAGGGGATCCAAAGAATCCAAGTGCTACAGTCTCTGGTCTATTTAGCTGGCCTATACCCTCTCGTTAAAGAGGCCAAGGAGCATTTTGCAAGTGTTTCCATCCCACGGTGTCGTGGCAACATCATACCCGAATTTTTCCATCAGGTCAGGCTTCTAAAGTTCAGACGAGGATAGGAAAAGTGCATACTGGTCTGACTTCAGGTCTTTCGTCAATTCATCTTCCAATTGTCTGAGCCGCTCGAGACACAGGGTCGTCGCCAAAGCTGATGAATCGGATTCCGATCTGCTCTCTATCCTTGCTCAAGTCCTGGACTTTCCGCATGATGTTCATGGTCGGTATTTCCGGGTTGAATATATTGCTCATATCTCCTACGTTAGAAAATACAGTCTGAGTGGCTCCAGCTTCTTGGTCCTCCAGCTATTACGGTCCAAATTTCCCTTGCATCAAATATGTTTGGCAGTCCATATATGACCTCGGTACTTGCATTTCTAACGCGTTGCTTTTACGACTCTCTGAAGTACGCCACGGATGTGCAAGCTTTTCTTCCAGTTTTCGGCCTATCAAGGTGTTATAATGGACATCGAGCCCATTCTTGTCAGCATGATTGAATATGCAGGACAAGCCTTGAAAAATTAGTTACGTGGAGGAGTCGTCTATTAGGAACACCCATCTCGCATATCAGTATTTGGCTGGAATAGAGATTTGATCAGTCACATCCTGGTGGCGCCTGTTGAGAAAAGAGTAATAGAAGCCATGGATCGCTTACACTGAGCACATCGACCAAGGTCGTATGATCTGATGTCAACTTATCGAGAGCGAGGAGACAAGTGGCTTCGCTGTGCCGATGACATTGGTGCTTTGATTTTGGTGTGATATAGAAGCCCGCCTGGTCGATTTTATTGCTTTGTCCCTGTGTTTCCGTATCAGTCATGGCCACGATGAATCTCAGAGGTTTCTTAATATTACTCAAGTTACGGGGCTGGTTTTCTGACAACTCCGTCTATGCGAGGACCCATGGGATCGCCAGCTCTGTGACGATGTCCAAGACTCCCAGAGACGCCTCGTTTAATACAGGACTTATATGTGTTTTACGTGCTATTGGATGAATTCGGTATCTGAGATGCGCAATGTAATCCAAGTGGCATGGCAAGTAGATTATACCTTGGATATCTTTTTGTTTCGGGCGGGTATGAGAATGAACGATAGCGTAAAAGGGGAAGCACTTTGAGCCTGTGTTGATGTTGCCGTTGAACAGGCGGGTGTCTGGAGTCTTCATTCCATAGCCTATGCTATTCAGACCATAGTGGAGAGAGTTCGGGTCGCCCAGCACTCCGTCCCGTCTATCAGACTCCAGGTCGTGCCCGAAAAGAGATGGAAGCAGGCCTCAAGTCGAAGATAATCCGCCAAAGTAGGAGGGCTGTGGGAAGAACAGGTTCGGTACTTGAAGACGGCCCAGATCTAGGAGAAGGCTGGAATTCAAGTTTGGAATATGGATTCCGCGGTGTCTTTCTTGGATTCGGAATTCGCAGAGCATTTTCTTCGTGCCTCCAATTAATCGCACCTTGTTTTCGTCACTCGGACGGTGATTCAATTCGAAGAGTATGTCTTCCGTCAGATTGACAACACGATCTGTGACGAAATCTGCCCTGCTGTGACTTGTGAACCGCCTCAAGGGTTATGCACCTGCTATGGAAAGCTGTCGACCTCGACACCATGTTTTTGGCTGACTTCAATTCTTCTCTCCCTTTGTTACTCGATCACCCCGGACTCATTCTCTGCCATCCACCGAACAGCTTTGCTACAAGTACAGCAAATATCAATGTTCGGATTCACCCTGAGCTCGTTCTCTACGGCTCTATCGTCTAGGCTCGAGGTTTCTGGGGCATCTGAGCACAAGACTTTCAGACAACCATGTCTTAAGAAACCCGATTCCAGGTTGGTAACAAACTACATGTTTCGTTTTCATCAGCGTCACTAGCTGTCAATCCCTCTCTCAAAGACATCCTCCTTTTGAAGTGGCTGATTCCCAAGCCCATGATGGGTAGCGTGGGTTTCAGAAGCTCGATTGTTCAGAATTACTAAAGATAGTGATAGCTACATACAAAGTGGTGGGAGAAGCTCGTTTCCATAGCCTGACTGTCTGCCATTTTAAACTCTCAATCCCGAGGGGTGTAGCGAACTATTGCTGAGCGTGAGTATGCTCTCAGGCTTCATTCACATCTTGAAGCCACCCGCAGGTCCCCTAATGAATCTCGCTACTTGATCTCTGTTGGCACTAACTTACCTTTTGAATATTTGTAGCTTTTCAGATCCTTCCCTTTCAACTGTATGTATACTCCACAGTGTATTTATCACCTGAAGGAAATCCTTCCCTGGACCTTGCGGTATCTTCCGCCATGTGGTATCTTCCGCCGTGTGGTATCTTCCGCCGAAGGTGGCAACTGTCTCCTGAAGAGCTTTTTAAGCGGTCGTTGATCTGCATATTCCGATATGATGTTTTATTTTCGGCTCTTTCGAAGCTTCTATAGTACGCCATAACATTAAGGTGGCTTCAGATAGGACCGAAGACGGAGGGTTTATTATCGAAACAATTCTGCGCATCGCTTGTCGAGTTATTCCCGACGACGGAGTCTTTTACGTGTTCTTCTTGCAGTCGCTTATCACAGGTCAGTCTACATTTCCAAGATCTCATGGGTTCAATAGGGGGTACCTGCCTTCATTGTGCTCCTCCGATATGAGTTTGTTGTATGACGGATAGATGCTGATTAGCCCAAAGCTGGCGCTCCCACAGTCGCGTAATTTCTTGTTAGAGTGGTATAGTCTCTTCTAGTTCAATACGTATAGCTTCCACTGCTCTCTGCAGAAGGTGCTCGAGAATTTCGGATCGCTTGCAGTCGTTGGCAGGTTGGGAGGAGGGTCTGCTAGGTCAAATGGAAGAGCGGTGTCGTTCATAGACCTATTGTGTGTAGATTGCTTGAAATTGCTGCCCTTTCCCGCGTGCAGAAAGATTTAAAGCAAAGCAGCTTACTTGGATACCAACTCTCTTAGGGTCTTCGCTCTCTGCAAGACTCCTCCGATGATCGCCTTCAGTCCGGCTTAGTGGTTCCTCTCAAAATATGTAAGCACTCGGATCCAAGTGGACAAAAGCTCGAGTTGTCTCTGGAGTTCAATAGGCAGAATTGTCCAGGTTAAGCGTTTCAAGTACGCTTATAATCTCCACAAAGTCGAAGGATCGCGAGATGGCGGGTCAATCGGGTTGCTATGTATCGTTGCTCCATCGTAAGGAGGCTCGGTGCGCTGTTCCAATAGAGCTACTGCGGTAATGGTTATAGGATTCAAGGGACGTTGACATTCGCACAGAGCTGTCTCTTCACAGCGAGCTGCCAGTCGAACTGGAGAGGCTCATTGGGAGTTCACGTTAGGTGACTAAGGGCTAGGAGTCATTTCTCGAATCAGCGATGCGAGGGATGATAAGCACCCTAGCAAGCCACCTGCAGCCATAACTGCAATGCCTTTGAATTGATTTGAAGTGAGACACCTGTCCAGAATCCTGACTCCGTGTGAACTTGATAAACTACTTGGTAACTACCGTCTACGCGAGAAGATGCATTACTTCTGTTATGGCCTGTAAGTTAGCTACCGAGTGCTGCGAGTTTTTGGCAAACTCTTTATGTTGAAGATTTCTTGAAGGCCCGAGAGATGCACTTATTAGAAAACACTTCTACATAAAGAGTTACCTTCTTATAATAAGCAGCCGCAGTAGCGTCTTTGCATCCGAATGCTGTTTTTCAGACCATGGCCAGTCTGGATGCAGCCTGTTTATTCATCTAGCCCTACGGACAGATTTCAAACTGTAGCAAATCCGTATCTCTCTTTGCCGGGAGACCTTAAGACGGGACCATGAAGGGAGCTCGCCATCGAACCAACAGGGGCCGAAATCCTACAACCCATACTGCATTTGCGAATGCTCCTCAGATCTGAAGGTAGAGCATCGTCAAATCCCGACGCCCTCCCCCTCAGAAAACAGAACCAAAACATGCATAGTAGTATTACCTAGTGGTATTGATTTACGTCGGGCGGGTATCTAAGAATTTAATGCTTAGACCCTGGGGGCCTCTCTTAGGGTACGGCGACGTGCTGAGTAGAGAGCATATACGAGGTACTATCCAATCGACAATAAAAACCACGCTGGGGAAAAGCTTTCTTTCAACTAGCCCTGGGTTTCTGATCCCGCGGTATCGCAGACTCTTTGTAAGCCCTTCAAAAGCATTGTACAAAAATTTGTGCCGAGTTTTCTCGCGTCAACTATCGGATACGTGTTGCCCTACGAGTAGCCTCGATCCGTATAAGTACAAATATCGTTCCGTCATCGTAAAGCTATAAAGGCTCGCATTCATAGCTTTTGTACAAGAGCCGGTGTGTTTGCAGAATGCTCCTTCGAAAGCGCAATACCGTGTTTTCGATTAGTCGAAACGAGCCCTTCTTATCCCATCTCTTACACCCGTTCCTCTCCTATCGCAAATCCTCTTGGTATTTTCAGTCGGTATGCCCGTCAGGTATAGATCGTAGTCGGCGTAGTGTTCGAGAAAGAAGGAAGAGGGAGGTTCGGAACCGCCGGTAAGGAAAAATATCTTCGAGGAGACGTCGGATATCGATGATTTAAATTCGGCTCTCCAGACTCTCTGCCGCAAGAGAGACTTGAAGGTTCATAAGAGGTACCTCTTACAGGTAAAGAATCGTAGCCCCCCACCAAAACATAGATGTGCCTCCGTATGAAAACAAGAGATTGGGAAATACTTAACGCCACAACACCACGAGCTGCAGGCATGGCTCGGCTGTACACTTCAGCCTGACAGACCCCCCAAAGTCGAAGCAGCTACCGCACCAAGTTTCCTCAAAGCCCAAGCCCTCATGTATTGGCGAACTGGAGATTGGTGATAAGTGACTCGCTCACAAGCGCACAAATCACAACAACACATTAGGCGAAGGAGGATCAACCGACAGCCGTGAAACCGCGAAGAAACAAAGTTTCCCAACAGCCTTTAAGACTGAAAGGATGAAAGAAGACCCACCTAAGCGAGCCGAAGATTACAGACAGGAGTCATTAACCAGCTTTGCATGCGACCGATCGATCGAGTGTCCAGACGTAGAGGGGAGTTTACCAACGAGTCAAGCAAGGTCAGGCCTCTGCATACAGTACCGCTCGGGTAGCCAAAAGAAGGAAAAAGAAAAACCCTGCTCGAAAGCACGCCGCCAGCTTGGATTCGGAGAACTGAGTCATGGAGGAGAAATCCTGCCTTGATGAATCATACTCAGGGCTCGCTCGCTGCTCTCTCCGGAGCCGAATTATTGCCCTTAATTAGGTCAAGCCTGACTCGATGATCAGCGCCGGCGGCAAAGTGCTTCGAACGCGGCTGGAATGTTTCGATATTTGGCCAACTAAATAGCGCCTAGTTGCGTATTAGTCAAAGCTCACTGTCACGACCTCACTTGAGCATCTAGGCTTTTCATAGGGCACTAGCGGCCTAAAAACTTAGAGTTAGAGAAGCAGATATGATTGAATTAAAAATGGAAGCTTTGTCTTAGGATAGGGGTCCTAGGAGGCGCCGACATCATTAAGTAAACACGGATTTAAAAGGACAGAGATTAAGCGAATCCGCTCTAAAATTGTAACTCATCGATAATACCACACTGATCATAAAAGAAGACATGAGGGTCTTGGTGCGTTATTGATGGATTTATTTATGCTATATATAAATCTAATACAGATTGATTCTCCTTGTAAAGTGGTAAGACAGTTAAAGGTTAATATCTTTTAAAAATGACCCATTCTACTTTGTGACCACCACCTTAAGTAGGGGAAGGGCGCACACGAAAGTAGCTCTCACTACAGCACTATGAATTGCTTTCTAGGGCCTTCTTGTATGTAACTCCTTAGCTTAGCACGTCGCCGTACCCCATGGGAGGTCCTAGGGCGGCAGGCTTCGCCTGCTACCCGCCCGACGTAAATAAATACAACAACAACAACAACAACAACAACAACAACAACAACAACAACAACGACCACCACCTTAATTAGGGGGCTACGATTCTTTACTTGTAAGAGGTGCCCCTTACGAACCTTTAGCTTTATTTTCTGCGGCAGAGACAGTTTGAAGAGCCGAAATTGAATCAAGGTAGCCTTTTCGAAGAAAGTTTCTTTTACAAGCGGATCCGAAGGAGCCTTTTCTTACCTCGATCACTACGCCGACTACGATCTATATCTAACGGGCATATCGATTGAAGAGATCAAAAGGATTTGCGATTAAAAGCGAACGGATGAGTAAGATGGGAAAAAGATTTAAAACTATCTACGATATTGCGCTTTCGGAAACCACCTAGCTAACTCCGGTCCGGCCTCGCATTATCTCGAACTTATATCGATACCAATATACGTTACTTACGCTATAACTTACTTTCTTAGTTTTTCCTACGATATAAGATTCTACTTTTTTGCGATCTATTTTATATACTATAAGGGAAAAGCATAATCGATAGCAGCTGCGCTGCATTAACTTAAAATGGTTTTAAAAGGCTTATAAAAATTATGCGATACGGCGGGATCAAAGACCCGGGGCTATCTGAAAGAGAGATTTTCTTTAATATAGTTTTCATTTCCGATTGGATAATAATATGTACATAATTCTTCTACTTAGCACGTCGCCGTACCTATAAGAGGTCCCAGGGCGGTAGGCAATGCCTGCCACATGCCCGACGTTAATAAATACAACAACAACAATAACAACAATGACTACGGCCTCAAACGGCTTCCACTTGGAATTTTGCTTTGCGGCTCAAAATCGGCAGTCATAATATCACCACAGTCCTTGTTCGCCGTGACATAACGACCTCATAAGTTACAACGGCCAAAAGTCAAATTCCGCACATGGTTAAAAGCAGCTCCGTGGTTCCTTCTTCAATATCCATATCCCCGATCCATCCCAGATATCCATCTCCGTAATTCGCAAAGATAGCTGGGCTCTCATTATGGGTAGGGCTTGAAATATAGATGCGCTCGTCTGGTTCTGACCCCTTGAGATGAACTGTGCTCATGCTGTACTTCTTGGGAAGATCGCAGTGGGCACGACTCAAGAATCCTGGGTTCGCTCGGAAATTTAGGGTAAATCGCGCTAGATGTAGCCTGCGGCTTCCCATTTGAGAGACCAGGTATTTCTGAAGAAGTCATTCAAGGTTTCGGGTATACAAAGACAGCTGGCGTGGAATCCAATGATGACGGTTCCACCGGCAGTTGCGTACTCGACAAGCTTCTCTCGGACTGCAATGTATTCCTTGTTCATGAATTCTGCATCGGCAACAATGACAGCAACATAATCCTGTTGAGCGTTGCACATTTGCTGCATTGCACTACCAATATGCGTCACCTCCGATATGTTGGCGCGTGAGCGGAGCTTAGTAAGGACTGGCGCGTAATTAAAGTCGAAGAATGACATCTTTTTAAGAGAGATAAGGAGGATCGATGGTTTGGCGCCTCCTGGTACCGGTGTGGTTTTCAGATGTTGGTCCAATTCACGAAGGACCGTGTTGATGCGATCCTTGTCCCACATCCACTTCTTTTCTCCAGCCAATCCCTCGCGGTCCTTGTTGCTGGCTGTTGTTTCGAACCACTCGATCTTCTCCTTCTGGCTCTTGGTAGGATTCTCCGCATCATAAGCCTTCAGCAACTCGGCCCAGCCAGAGTAACCACCAACATCCTCTGCGCAGCCATGGCCTGCACCATCTAAGCAAACGAAATGAGACGTTGGAGCTGCTCGCCCCACAAGAGTCACGACATGCTCCCATCCATTAGTGAAGTCGTAGCGGTGAATCAGCGTCTGCTTGTCGGCCTCAATCTTAGTAAGAACTTTGTAGATAATAACATTGGCGCTATCACCGGCATATGTGTAGTCGCTATCCTCGATCGTGGCCAGATCGGTGTACTTGAAGCTCGGGGTATCACCATCAAAATGCATATGCACGACCTTGGTATTCCGTGCCTTCGTAGATCTCGAAATCGTAGAGATGATGAGTATTGGCCCAGCCAAAAGCGACCAACATGGCTTGGTGCAACGCGGCAAGTGTTGCATTGGAGGGACATGACAGTGTTCGAGTAAGTTTTGGATTACTGTAAATCGAGGGCATAGGTCAATCCTCAAGATATAGTTCTGCCGTTTGCACGAAGCCTTGTGCATGGGCCAATCCTCCTTCTGACACTGTGGACCTATTGAAGCATTTTCAGCAATGAGTCTGTTGCGGTATTGGATCAATGCCATTACCACAGTAGATCTGAGAAGTACAGCGTGAGCACTTCAACAGCTTGACAGCCGCTCTGCCGCAGGCATCGCATTTGGGCGTCTTGGTTATGGGTGTTGAAAGGAGAGAAGTAGGGCAACGGGACGCGGTTAAGCTTGGAAAAAGAAAGAGGGACGCTAAAGCCGCGTCAACACGTGATGCATGTAGTTCACATGACTTGTTGTTGATTTTGCATTGGCCTTTTCGTCTTATGGCGGCTACGTAAGAATGCTTGATATGAAGAGTGCTTGATATGACGAGTAGCCAGAGTAGTGAATCAGAACTGTTGAATGCTATTCCAAGCGGTCAAGATGCCTTTTGATCAAATCTTACCATTACACAAGTGATAGACAATGCGAAACCTTGGTGAATAAGTTGTAGGATTATTGGGCGCGGAGAGATTCGTATCACTTTGTTTTCCTTTAGGTGATGGATATCGCGCACTATATCTGTTATTACACGCAGAAAATTTCGGGAACTGAAGTGGTAAGAAGTGGATAGGACAAATAAGTAGAGGAGCAGTACAATGAGAAGTCGCTATGTCCCGAATCTGGTTATGGCATTCATTGCCGCAATAATTCTTCGCAATTAGCTTCTCTTGCTGCTCGACCCGACCTATCATACATACCAGAGCGCCGACAATACACATGAGTACTTTTCCCATGTTCTATGCTGACTTCGTCTGCCGTCCGCAAAACATCTGCTCCGGTTTTGAAGATAGTTTGGGATCCAAGACCTGGGGTGTAAAGGATGCTCTACACAGACAGCCCACGCTTCTCGCTCTCCGAGAAAAAGATGACCATCCGCCAGAGCTTCTTGACGAGTGCTTCGGCTTCCTCATCCAATGCCTGCAGAATATTAGCAAATGTCGACGGTTAGCTTGAGGGGGGGGAAGGGGGGGGCTTACACCCTCCAGCTGCTCCACAAGCTCTTGAGGCCTGCCCCTCGTCCTAATATGCTCCTCTACGACCTCCACCAGTAACTGCTCCTGCACTCCTAGGTACTCCACGATCTTCTTCTCCACAAATGGTCTTAGTTTTTCGACGATAACGCTATCGTCTACGAACTCCCACTTGACTTCCCAAGCCCAGAGACCTTCCTTTTCGGTTGGAATATCAGCTGCCAATTGACGGATAGCTTGATCTCTCTCTTCGTCCGATAATTGGGCCGATGAAGCAGAAGGATCGAACTTGATAGGGATGAGAGTGCGCTTCGAGGATTTGCCAGCGTCTTCTTCGTCTTCGAGCAGACCTTCGACTTCGTTGACTGTGCGTCTCGGCGGTTGGGCCTTTTCGTTCTGGACTTTCTGGGCGGCAGCACCAAGGGATAATTTGAACGGTTGTTGAGCGCGACCCGGCGCATCTCTGGATTGTAGTTCCTCGGCCGCACGATCCAAGAACGAATCAGCCATTCCGCGAGCGTGCTCCTTGTCTGCTGTGTCACGTAGCCTCTCTTTTTGTTCGGCTGCACGATCCCTGTCATCAGCAGCGGCTTCCCTGGCACGGAACAATGTACGGTTGCGCGTCCATACACTTCGATCTGCGTAATAATCCTCGACTTTACGAGTAGACTCAAGTTCGTCGTCCCAATTCTGTAGTCGCTGGGCCATCTTTTCCCTCTCGGAATTTTCCTTAGCAGCGTCTTCGTTCTCTCGCTCCTTCTCGCGTTCCACAGCAGCAGTTCGGGACCTCTCCCTGTTCAGCCAGCGGCGTTCGTGGTCAAGGTATATTTTCTCCTGATCCGCCTCCTTCTTGGCTACCCTCCTACGTTCGAGTTCTTCGTCACTAGCAGAATCGTCCTCTTCCTCTCGGTTAATCCAGGCATCTCCACTAGCGGCACCATTGATACCACTTCCATTTACAAAGGCTACACCCTTTTGATAGTCACGAGGGATTTGCGAGCCGAGTTTGGGACCAGATGGCGCGTTTAGTACACCGCGGGGCCCAAGAGGAATGTTGTTCGTACCAGCAGCAGGTCCAGCGGGTGTATTGGGGATTGGTGATGCGAGCCTCGAGGGTCGAGGGCCTCCATTGCGCAGTCGTTCTGCAGCCTCCATCTCCTCCTCTCGCTTCAGACGCTCCATATCTCTTCGCGTACTACGGTCTCTGAACGCCGCAATTTCTTGTGCAACAGTCTCGCGCATCTCAGCCGGAATGTCCGCAAGCTCATCGTCCACTGCCAGGGGGATATTGACAACCTCGACACCGTCCCCATTATCGTGCATCGCGCTGTCGTCCCCTTTCTCGTCCATCTTGACGTACATCGGTGGGTGGAATAAATCGTGAAGGGCAGCCTTCAACCCGGATCGCGCAGCCTCCAACCGTGCCTGCTCAGCTGCCGAGTCATCGGCTCGATTCGAAGACCAGTTTTCTAGGTATTTTAGCGAGTTGTCGTCCACGAAAACTAACAGCTTGCTCTTCTCAACCTCTTTGTCGGCGTCTTCCTCGTTTTTCGGGGCCCCATTGCTAGCGGGCTGTCTCTTCGTTGGTACCTCAATATCCTTCAGCACCTCCACAGCTGTAGCCAGAGTCTCTGCGTCCTCGAATTGCGCAAATCCAAAACTGCATTCTTTTCCATCCGCATCTGTAGCCCGATCCCATCTTCGTAGTCGTCCTGCTGTACTGAGAATGCGCTCGATACCGTCATTCCCTCCACATCCCTCTGTAATGCCCCCAACGAAGATAGTCCGGACGATCTCCTCCTTTGTAGGTGGCACCAAAGACATCATACTCTCCCTCAACGCCTGCCTCTGCGCATCCATACCCCTCTCGACACCCAAACCTGGCCGCCCACCAGCAGCGCTAGGTTCCTGGCCTTCCCTCCTACCTGCAGCGCCGGGTAACGGGGTCGAGGGTTTAGAGGGACCGGTGCCTAGGCGGATGACAGGCGCGGAGAAGTTGATATTTGGCATGTTGGGTGGTCCTTGGAAGCTAGCTGGGAGACCGCTGGGGCGACTCGATTGCGTCGCGTTTGCTTGCTGTACGCCTGGGGGAGGTGCTGTTCCTGGCGCAGACATGCCTGGCGGGGGCCCTTGATGTACATTAGCATATATGGTAGATTAAGAAAATTGTCTCCTTACCCATTCCTGGGGGAGGTCCCATACCGGGAGGTGTACCAATCTGGCCTGGGAAGCCTCCGAACCCTGGGGGGCGTCCAAAAGGAGGAGCTTTTCAAGGGTTAGCAACCATTCCAAACTGAAGCACTTCGTCGACGCCAGCTCACCTCCATAAGGATTGTAAGACATGTTTGCGAACCAATGATCTCGAGAGGTCTGGTCAAAGTCTACGAGGCGTGGCGATCAGCGAGAGAGGCGAAGGCACGGCGTTGTTGTCGTCGTCGTCGCAAAGTCTCAAGCATGCAGGCCAAATGGATTCTCAAGTCCGTATGAAAAGACATACGGAGTAAAGATTCTCCGCTGCTGACTAAGGCACCGTAGCGTAGCTTGTCAGCCATCCGGCTAGCAATATGAGCGTCCTATCACCGTTCTAAAAGATCTTGACCTCTAACTCCCGCTCTCCACCTCGCCAGTGTATGTCCCTGTACCTTCGCGGGACTCTATGGTAAATATCTAATCACATCATAGTATAATGGAGCTTCGAAGAGTCGCCGACGCGCTGCTGCGGGCGCAGGCGTCCACTTTGGCAGCATTTCTCTCGCCCGCAGCGAATTCCCGACGGACAAACACAGCGCAATTGGTCTTCCGCGGATCTTCAAACCGGCCGGTACAGCGAGGGTTCTCGAGCACAAGTCAGAACAAAGCTCTCAAACCAAGTGTCACGACTTCTGCCGCTCCACCGCTTCCATCTGAAGCCTCAAGACCTGAATCCGATCCTTCGGCGCCAGACCCAAATCTCGAAGCTACGGCCAACACCCTATGGCCAAGCAGACCCCAACAACTTACCGGGTACTCTGATCGAGAACTATCGCGATTCAACAAGGGGGGGAACAGTGCCAGTGATCTCCTCGCAACTTTGAATGAAGTGCGGCCATCCTCCAGCCCGGACATGAAATACATTAATCCGTTTTCCAAAACGCTAAGTGGGATGAGCTTGACATCTGATATCGGTAGTCTGGGTAATATCCCTAAGGCGGCTCGCAAGCCGATCAAGTTGAGCCCGAGCACTGGACGCAGTAAGGTCATTGGGGGTGGAGGAGTTGACATTGCGACTGGGTTCCGACTGGTAGAGATGAGCTGCGCGAGAAACAAAGTCAAGTCTGATTTCATGAGACAAAGGTTCCATGAGAGAGGAGGGATGAAGAGGAAGAGGCTACGGAGAGAGAGGTGGAGGACGAGGTTCATGGAGGGATTTAAGGCAACGATTGCAAGGGTCAAACAGTTGAAGAATCAAGGATGGTAGAGATTTCAAAGGATGAGGGATTAATGCTGCACATTGTACAATCTATAGAAAGAACGGCATTGTAAGTGCAGGGAGCATGGATGCCTATTCACATTGTACATTCATCATTTTCTTGCCTGTTGCGTTTTCCGGCTCTAGGAGATGTCAGACCTTCTCCTCAGCACTTCGTACCATTGTAAACTTTGAGATTCGACTTATCCAAGAAACTTGTTGGGTAACAATATCTTGGTCAAAAAATGTTCTTCTCGCCAGGCTGCGTGACGCTTTAGATATAGATGTTCCTTCCGTATTTGTCTTTATCCTTTCTATATAGTCTATCTTGTCATCCACTTCACGCATCTACCTTCTATTATCGAGCAGTTCCAGGTTCCTGGCTGCTTTTACTCCTCCTTACCTCTGCAGTTCTCACCCAAACTATCCAGCCAGCCAAGCTATCCTGCAGGATAATCTACGGAAGCGAAGATTATTTTCGAAGTTATCAATACTTCGCAGTCAGTGCGCGACATCTTGAGAGCTGCGGGCTTAACCAGTAGTCAAACGATATATGGTTTTCTGGTTTCTAATATTGAAAAGATAAACTTTCTACGTATGACAACAGAAAGATGTGTGAAAGGCGTTCTGGGGAAGAGCCCATTGGTGATCGATCACTTATTGGGTTCTCCTGCGTACGTCGTAAGGTTTGTTTGGACAGGAATATCAAAGTTAGTGAGATACTATTCGTGCGGGCGAGCATCTGTCCCCATGTCGAAAACCATCCCAACGTGGAGTCAAATGTACGCTTAGTCGACCATTCAGAGCGTTGGGGTGCATATGGACGGAGATGCTCACTGCACGAGTAGCTAAGAATCGTAATATTTCGTACTATCTATGCCAGTGGACGGGTCCTCGGATACAAAACATTGCCAGCTGAGATTATGATATATAATTTCTGGTAGGGAGACTTGCCATGCGCAGCACCAAGACCAAGGTATACAAAAAAGCTGGTCAATTCTGGTCTGTTCTTTTTTCCTCCCTTCTTTTGACTCTTTTTTTTTTTTGGGGGCTACGAGGGGGCTGAGGGCAGAAGAAGCAAAGATTTCTTGGAGCCCAGCCTTGTTCTTTCGTCTGAGGACAAATATTTTATTCCATATCTATAGATGCCAGTCAGGTTCTTGAGGCTGAGAATTACACCGACACATAGTTGCCAGCCAGTATATATCCTTCATCGAAAAGGTGCTGTTTACTACCCGAGGGTCAAGTGACCACACGAAGTGTAATTCTTATAGGGTTGGAAATCCTCCGGGTTGTATTAGACCACCTCGGCATTTTCTCCATTCATATAAAAAACAAAGCAATTGATAGATTGGTGTTAACTCCAGCTAGAAGTTGCCGATACAGAGGTATTGATGGCGGAAGACTGCGTGATATATCTACCTAGAGGTAGAGGTAGCGAGCGAGTCTATGAGCTAGAACAAACGGAGAAGGTCACGACCGGAGCGTTCCTTCCTCATGAGCAATCTCCCAACTTGCATCACTCAGGCCAAGACCCAGCAAATATAGCGCGCATATCTGAACAAGAGTAAGTACACACACACTCTCTCTCCATTACCTACTTACCATCAACCGCAACAGCTCCGACTCCTAAGAAGTGTTCATCGGTCCTTGCGACTGTCTGGACCGCCCGTACCAGTGCCAGTGCCCACGTCGCCTTCGCTATCACTATCTGGTATCTACCAAAAGGAGCGCCGACCTGTCAGAGAGCTTGAATTTCCGGGAGTAAGAGCCTCGAGCCGCTGAAATCCCAACTTCCCCAATTGCGTCTTTCCCATCTGCAAAGATCCGCCAGACCAAGCAGCAAATTTCAAGAGCTCCTTCCCGCCGTCGATGAACATCTCTAACAAAAGAAGCCCTAGCCACCGCAAGGCATCCAGAAGAAACGAGACGTGCAGTTTCGAAGATGCAGGCCAAACAAAGTAGAACGAACAAGCTGGGCAGACGACAGGGCCGCAAACCAACCCAGAAGTCAGCGGAACCTACGAGTACCGATAGGCAACGGAGACTTCTATTCCATCTTCTGCATGCCCCGGATCCGGACGGTCGTCTTCATTAAGGAGTCAAGATACATGCGCCTGTTTCTCATGGTTGTCCGTCATCTAATCAGCGCCCACTGTACCTATGAAATCCGAAGTTTACTCATATAGCCAGAACCACTAGATACAAGCTGAAGACCCGAACTGCCCGCAACATTCATGTCGTCCGTCGCTGCATCATAAAGGCGTTTCGATCGACGCTGTTTACGCTGCTGGACTTGTTGAAGCCACCGTAAACGGAGGCAGGTGCAAGTCCTCGGAAGGCGTCCGGCTGAGCCAATCACCCGTATAAACACCGGGACTAGTCACGATATGGTCGACGCGTTATTCGCCATTCCGAATGGGAGAAATTGCATAGCGTGGATGGAAGACATTCATTATGAGAACGTTTCTCCAGGCGATCCTAAAGAAGGCGACATTTTTCTTCTCCTACTATATCATATTTCCTCGCTCGTGTTACGCCTTAGGGCTCGACCAAAAAACGAAGAGAAGACTCTATGCTCCGGGCCCGGTCAATAGTGGCGAGGGATCGCAACCTCAAGTCGAAATATTGTTCTAGGGTTTGAAATCGAGGTGTGGCTGGTTGCGTAACACGAACTTCTACCCACCTCGTAAAGTCGAAGCTGATGATTTACCGGAGGTACCTCCGGGACGTCACCCCTTCCTTCACTGACAACCACAAAGAAACGTATGTATCTCGCCGCGTATCCCGCAAATATTGCAGAATGTTACAACCTCAAGCCAGCCGGAACAACACGGTTGGATGAATATCACCAGGCAGCAGTGGGTAGCTAATGAAACCCCCTCCCCCTCCCTTCTTTCGAATCGGGTCCACGCAACCAGCGCTTGGCTCGACTCTCGAATGGATAACTGGGAGGAATCCTGCCAGAAGTATGACTGTTAATAGTTGGTATAGATGTTTGTGCTCAACAGAGCTGTTATATTTGAGGGGCAGATAGTCATTCCATCAGGAGAAAAACACCGGCCCAATTTCCATCATAAGAATAGTCCGCACTGGGGACGCGTCAGGTTGCAACATCGCCTACTAGAGGCAACCTCTTTCAACACATTCTTTCCAAAAGCCAACAAGGAAAACTCTACGTGGAGCGGAATGGTCGGCCAGCCAGGCTAATGTTGGGGGCTAATTTGTATTGAGCAAGTTGCGAATCTGCATCAGACTCTGCGCACCTCTCTCCTCTGCAGATGGAACCCGCAGTCTTCGAGCACCAGTTGTCGATTCACGAAATCCATAAATATGCCCCAGAGACGACCACTCAGAAGAAAATGATGGACTATATCTCTGATGCGTCTCGAAATTTGGTTGCACATACGTGGATCTGCCACATGCCCCCAAGAAATCATCAATTCGATAGACTTGCTGGGGCGGCTTGGGCGACTGCATGAGCTCGGTCAAATTCCGAGGGAGGAGGATAGCGCACTCGTTTGCAGACCGCCTCAACATTTCCTGGAGCGGACCAGCAATGGGGAATCCCACGCGAGATTCCACGAGAAGCTCCATGCCAAATTGTACGGCCTCGGCTCCATCTTTACTACCCCCTGCAGCTCCTCCGGGGAAAAACCGGGCGATAACGTCTGTCAGCTGCAGAGCTGCAAGTATCTGAAGCACTGGCTGATATCGAAAAGTGTACTGGGCACGATAGTACCTGTCGAGTAACATCAAACCTTCTTGGGCGCATGTCCATATGGTCTCCTCCACCAGTGATGACGGAAATCCCTTGAAGTCCAGTAATGGCCTGAGCAACTGCACGACTGCTGTGGTGTGAATGATCCTAATCTGTCAGCCGGCCCTGGAATTGGAGCGCCGCAAGCTTACAGCAGATAAAGCACATGAGGCAGTACTGGACGATCTTGCCCTTCGATGTTTCCGATCTCGTCTGGTAACCCTTCTCGCCACTTTTTAAGTCTCTCGTACTGGTGTAGGAATTGCTTCGCAGATATGTGGATGTCTCGCCGAGTATAGATCATCAACGCAATATCCTGCAGAATTGCATTCAACTTCGACTTCTCCCTGTTTGTGGTTGCTAGTAGGCTCGGCCAAGCCTCCGGCTGCTGTTTGGCATAGCGATAGATGTACCATTTCGCAATATCCTGATTGGCATCATTCGCTTCTACGCCATCGTATGCTGCCAAATCGATGATCGGTGGTGCTTGGAAGGTCATTTGGGCCCATTCACTACATTCATTAGAGAAGATGGTCAGCCGAGCGCTGTTTCTACTCACATGTTCAGGTTTCGAATCCCACGCACGGTGTCTTTCCAAGAGTCCCCAAAGCCGTCGGTGTCCTGGAACGCGACCGCAGGTAAATACTCGGTCGCTGTCTTCAGGTAGGACACAGCGCGCAATGCATGGCCACGGGCGCAGTCTACCAGATACATCACAGCGAAGGCTTGTATCGACGTGAGCCTGCAGTCACTGGGGTCGAGAGTTGCGCGAACAGCATCACTAAATTCCACGCCGAGTTGCTCATAGTCAACTTCGTCTCCGTCTGCCGCAGTGTGCAAGTGGCAGGCCATTGCACAGATTGCGTTCACGAGCACGGGCGAGCAAAAGTTGTCCAGCCATCTTTGGTAGCTCTCGACGAAACGTGGTTCACTGAACAGCGTGTGTACTGGGTGCACCCAGGCAAAGTAGAGCTGGAATAGGTGGTCAAGAATTGCTGTGTTGGATGTAACAGTCGTCCAGTTGTTGGCTGGGACGCCAGTCATTTCGTGGTCAGACGCATCGAGCAAAGAAAGATGCGAGTCCCTGGGCGACAGCGTCTCGAATTCGCCCATGGGGGAGCGGCCCAGCCATTCGACGATACTGTCGTATGTCTCGCCACGCTTCAGTCGGTCGAGGATCTCTGGCACCTTCTCGTCGGTGGATAAAGCTTGCAGAATCTGTTCGGTCATATGGTCCTTGGCCCTAAGCTCCTTGATCTGCTTGACCAGCTCCTCTTTCGCGTGCTTGATGTGGACTTCGTAGATGCATTCCGAGGTCTCGACCCGCGTCGCGCACCTCTTGCATGGCTTCTTGCCATCGCACTGGAGGAGGTCAGCTACGAGAATCCTGGCCCAGCCTTGGCCAATGGGAAATTCCTGATATGGACGCAGGGGACGGGTGGGATTGGCAATGGGTACTGACCTTTGCTCGCGCCTTCTTGCAATTGAGACAGGCATTGCGAGTCACTGATTCGGGAACTCGTCGCCGTTTGGAGGAGGAGGAACTGCTGGCATCAGGTGTGTCTTTGTCGCCACGGGGACGACGTGGGTCAGATCCCGTACTTTCGGACGTAGACTGGCTTGGGTTACCAGTCGAAGGACTGTTCTCCCCAAACGAGGGGCGAATTTTGCGAAAGTTGGACATACTCGGTCGATTGTCGCACATCAATCACACAGGCAATATTTTGCTGCTTGCTATTCAGGTCATTTAGTCCTCAAGCTGCTGGGCGTCTTTCGGCAGGTGGTGGGCAATATTTGGCCGGCAACTTGGTCTTGATGACGAGAAGAGGGAGGTGTGTGATTGTTGGCAGACCTGACGATGCGTAGACTCACGAACGCCATGAGTGCATCTGAACGTATCGAGTGGGCTTCCTGACTGGAGCTGAATGAGCAAACATGCGGTAATGCGGGTAGTGCTTCACGGAGGACTCTCCTTCGCGGTCTTACTCGGCCACCACTTTCAGGTGACCCTCAGCAACCTGTTTTAGGAGTATTTATTGGACGGCAAGATGAGACGCATTCAACTACTCGCTCCAGAGAGATGAACAGCGACGACGAGGCGCATCGGTACTCGGGATTATATGTGGCAGGGCCAGAGACATCGAGAACCATCGGAGAATTCAGATCGCGTCAAGGAAGCATCTAGACGCCGGAGTAGATGTAACCGCACGGATTCGATTGCAATGTACATGAGGAGATATGGAGGGGCTCTCGGCCTCGAATCTGACGGCTGTGCGGCGGTGGCTGCACCAGAATCTCATCTGACGATCCTAAAGGCGGATTCGGGGCTTGGACGATGTCTCTGTTTATTTGCCCCCGCTGGCTGTCAGTTTCCGACCTAGGCAGACCACCAGACAGCCACAAACAGGTTATCTGGTGTGAATTCCGAGTTTTATATGGGTCCAGCAGTCGCAGGCCAAAGAAAAATTGTTAACCAGCTGGGTGAAGGGCGGAAAGTTAATCGCTGGTCATCGAAATTCCTTTGGTGCCTGACTATACAACATCCTTGTGGCCGGCATACAGGAGAAAGGCTAAGGTGGACCCTGAATCTATTCGACATCTTCACGTCCATAGAATTATTGGCGGAGGACCTGGCGTTTGTTTCTGTTTTTGACCACAAACGCGCGGGTGATGGCGATGTGATCCATCGGTTGAGATTGCGACTTCCCACTTGGCTGCTAGTGTCATTCTTACCTCTCCTCTACAAGTCCACCAGCCGCAGCTACGATAGCCAGGAACGCGATGAGAGATAATGGGAACGGCCGTTTCGTCAACAAGCATCTTCTCTTCTCTTGCTGCTGGGAGTAAAGCTTCGACCTCGACCCTCAGTAATACTTCCCCGGCCGTCCGCCGCATCATCGGGGCTTGACGTTCGGGAGACACTACCCACCGTCGGCACAAGTGCTCCGACACGGGTAGTTTGTCACATACGCATTGACGGGTGACTCTGGTGGAGCCGGTCTTCCCATCCGATATCAAGATGCGGAGTTCTGACCGGCTCCGCCGATGCAGAATCTCGCAATCAAGATGCTAGGACGAAGATCCCCAGGCATAGTGCCACCAAAGAAGAATTCGACTTTCGTGTACGCGTCTTCAATCTAGCGCTCTCTTTGACATCGCATCACACTTTTTTTTCCTGCTTCTCTGCGATTTTTCGGCATCACGGGCGTACAGTGCATACTCCGCGAAGTCCGGCAAGCGAGCCCTGTCTTTATTAGATGTCGAAGTACCTGCCTAAATTTCTTATTTCCGCAGAATCCTGGAATTAATATAGCAATATCAAGGAACGCTGCATTGCTTTGCATCGCCCCCGACTCAAGTCCTGACGTTGAAGACAGCCAATCGTAAGCGAGGCTGCTTTTGGCCGGCTTTTACATCCGGGCCATTCAGCAAGAGAGAAGGATGTCAACATCGGATATCGCTTGCACCCTGCCCCTTTTTAAGCGGATGGCTCCATATATTGCTCGATCTCTGTCTCTTCCAAGGCCGCTTATTGACATGCTAGTCGGCTATTCCTTGACCCGAGCGGGGGTAGGCGGGAGGAGGGGGGGAACGCCGGACAACCCCAAAATTCTCTCTCTACCGGACTGTACTCTACCGTACTGGGTAAGTATGGGAGCAGCCGTGAAGCAGCAGTCGGCTAGCTACTAGCTAGTAGCTAGCCAGCCTAGCGACCCTGCGCCTGGCGTACGCCAACTCTAAATCGGGTGGTGACACCTGATCGGGCTAATGTACTCCTAGTCTCCTACTTAAGTAAATCCGATGGACCGGTCGGGAGACGATGTTGGGAGCAAAGCCCAGTTTGCACCGCTAGCCTCGATCAAGCTCGTGGGGTCTCTGGCACTGACTCTCTGCTATATCCGTACGGGAAGTAAGCTGATGCCAAGTCTGGCTTCGAGCTATCTGAAACTATCTACATGTTCATGGCGAGAGAGTCAGTTGGGAGAGTTGGTTGGTCTCGCCTTAGACACCGCCATCACCGATTCACCATCACGACCATCAACACCGCACCGTCTGATCTGAATCAAGGATCTGAATCCCCAGTAAGCATCGAGACGCGGTCCGAGCTTTTCTTTAACTATACTGACTCAGACACTGACCGGACTGGTTAGTACGTACAGTACTAGTGAGTACTCTAGAAAGACCCTTTCAAGAAGAGCCAAAAGAAGGAAGGATAAAACTTACTCCGTAAGCAGCGCACGATGATCCGTGGGCACTGATTTAAGGTTCCCTGGGTCTATTAAGTACTACGTAGTATCAGCGGATTATTGCTGGTTTTCATAAGTACGGAGTAGACTTTAAGGTTGTTGAGTACTGTACCGGTAAATCCCCCCACCCACCTCCCTCCCTTGATTCGACCTCGATTCGAGGGTACGATCCAGTTTATCTCCACAATCTTGTAAGCGACCAGCTCTTTACACTACAGTGGACCAGCTTTTTACAGAAAGGGGGAATGTATCGTCAAAATTACTGTGTAGGCTAAAACAAGGTCTGACTGATTGACTGCAGAGGATCCTTCTAGAAACCAAGTTCCAACGAATCGGGTGGCCATAAATCCTCGCCGAAGTCAGGTTTCACCTTTAAATCGAAGGGGAGAGGGTGGTAGTGTGTGGCGTCAAAACCGCGGCGGTGTGTGGCTGAGAGGGGATCTTCGTCTGTTCTTTTCAACGTACAGGAGAACTGGCCGATCGGTGGATAGGAATCCTTGAGAACCAGAGTAGGAGTTATCCGGCTTTCGAAGTTCCGGCCGTATAAATATGTATGTATGTGTATATATATACAAATGTAAGTGAGAGCCGGCAGTGGGTGCGTCCTGTTTTGTTTTGCTTTGCTTGATAAAGCGATGGAATAGGCAGGAGAAGAACGAAATGTGAGAATTCGCCTCATCCGTATCCGTATACGGTACCTACTCTACCTCACTGTATAAATCTCCGCATCTTTGCTTCGCTTCCAGGGAAATTTACGCTTCAGGAACGAATGAGGGGGTTTTTTTTTATTAGAGGGTTCTTTTGGACATGCATATATGTAAGGCAAGACAAGAACAAGACAAGGCAAGGCAAGGCGCTATATCCGCCTTATCTATATATTATATCTCCATCATCGTCATAATGATTTTTTTTCTTTTCTTCAAAAAGTCTTGTTGTCAGCCCAGCAACCTAATCAGCTAGTCAGCCTAAATAAGACAGAATAGGAAGTAAGGTGGGTAAGTAAGTGTCTATATACAGTTTATTGTGTTCTGTATGCATTGAGGTGTTGAATCATGGAACTATCGATAATATCATCTGTGGAATGCTCGGTTTGAACTTTAGATGAGGAATGTATGTTGTGTGTTGACTATTGTATATTGTATATTGTCGTGTGGTAAATAAGGTAGGGTTATAATACTGGAAAACTGCAAGGGGCATTGCAAGTCTGCTTTTGCATAATAGTTAAGAGCCACATCCACTTCGATAGCTCAGTTGATCGATCGCTAGCTGTCATTTAAGCAAGTTTTGTATATGCAACTCATAGTTTTCTTAATCGAAAAGCCGACGGGACGCCAGGCCGCTATCGTCAGGTGCGGAGAGTAGTAGTAGTAGTAGTAGTAGTAGTAGTAGTAGTAGTATTCGTTTAACGTCCGCGGGTCGCTTAAGGCGAGTCCTGTGACCTCCCTAGGGGTATATGGACGTGCAGCTAGTCCCTAAATACATAAGAACACAAGACGCATATAGCGTAAGAGCAGATCTGGAGTGAATAGTTCAAGTACAGCGTTATTTCCTCCTGTTGAAACGGTGTGTAAGGAATAAGTCAAGCAAGCAAGCAAGCGTATGTTACAAAGTATGGACCGAAGTCGTTGTCAATTGCAGAAGCATGCTACGTGGTAGTAGCTGAGTTCGTGACAGAGCACCCAGGCTCGTCAGGTGCGGAGATGCATCTCGGTCTGGTAATTACTTGATTAGTCAGTAAAACTAGCTATAATATGCTTAATTAAACAGCGATAACAAGTCATCGCTGACTAGTAATCCAAGCACTCCGGAAATAGCAGCGGATTCCCTACGTCAGCAAAGTGCTATCGGGCAAATAATGCCGTGTAAGAGTAACCGGTACGTAGTAATATAAAGCCGTCGGTAAAGCGCCTCAACCGGCCTGCTTTAAGAGGTGTATCGTACGGTGAATAGGATTATAATGCTAGATATAATACTAGAAAACTGTAATGTGCGTTGCGGGTCCACAATATATATTATATATTACACATTGTATATTATATATAAAATATTATAGATTGTATATTGTATATTGTATATTATATATTATATTCTTAGCTTGAGTGGCTAGCTGGCAAGCGCCTTTAGGACCTCCTATAAGGTACGGCGACGTGCTAAGTACTACGTAAGAGAATCATATGTTCAGATATTATATAATCGAAATTAGAAATTACGTTAAAGAAAAGCTCGTAGGTCTTTAATCCCGCGGTATCGCATACATAACCTTTGTTACTTTGAAAAGGCATTTTAAGTTAATATAGCGCAGCTATTATCGATTATGCTTTTCCTCGACGGATAAGATCGATCGCAGAAAGAATATTTCTTCGCCGAAAGAAAAACCTAAAAAGCAAGTTATAGCGTAGATAACGTATATCGGTGTCGATTATCGAGATAATTCGAAGCCGGACCGAAGTCAGCTTAGTAGCCTTTTCGAAAGCGCAATATCGTAGATCGTTCTGAACCCTTTTTCCTCTTTCTCACCCCGTTCCTTCTTAATCGCAAATCCTTTCAATATTTTCAATCGGTATGCCCGTCAAGTGTAGATCGTAGTCGGCGTCATAATCGAAGTGAGTAAAAGGGTCGTTCGGATCGCCGGTAAAGGAAAATCTTTTTTTAAAAGGCCACTTTAATTCGATGTCGGCTCTCTAACCTCTTTCTGCGGCAGGAAAGAGAGCTGAAGGTTCGCAGGGGGCACCTTGTACAGGTAAAGAAACGTAGCCCTCCTTGGGGGACGGGGAGGGGTTTCGAAAAAGGCGGAAAAAAAGAAAAACTACGTCGTGTATGCTGTTGGAATTTGGGGAGCTGGGAAGTGGCATGGGATGGGGATGGGATGGCATGATTTTCTCGATAATACGAAGTAGTTCATGTGATGTTCTCAAGGCTGTGTGCATGTGGCTTAGTTGTGGTTTCTCCGACTACTATTGGCTCTGCGCTCTGTGTGCTGTCGATGCGGTGCGTGGAATTTTCGGATTCAATATTGGGAAAGAGGACTCGGAATGCCATTTTATTTGCTCTTGTCTGGATGATTTGATTCATATTGATTAGAACTGGATGGAGGCTTCTTGGATTGGGTTGATCATGATGATTGGAGTCAAGAAAGACTTGGGGTTGCTTTCATGCTCTCGGAAGGCATGATATATCTACAGACTGACAGGCTGAGAAACGTCAGTGATGAGGTCGACCTACGGGATAAACCAGTATATCGCTGGACCCTGGATGCAAGCTACGAAGGAGAGGCATGAGGAAAATAGCGGAATCCTATTCCATTCCATTCCATTCCGTTCACCATCGCCAGCCATTCCACGCCATGCCACGCTTTCCGCTTTTCAAGACAACAGCCTTTCAATCTTCCGCCCCCATAGCACCACCCGCCCATCAACACCCCTCCAGAAGACATCCGCCGCCCATACGCACAGCACCCCACACACGCAGCTCGTCACGGCAAAGGCGTGGCTGTACGTCTCCGTGCCAAGCGGCCCCATGTCCGGGCGCGCCTGCGTCTCCATCAGCGCCCCGAAGCCGTTATCCTTCCACGTCTGCACGCCAACCTGGCCGGTCCAGCGCTCCTGCAGGCCGGTGCCCAGCGTGAACAGGACCAGGCCGTGGGTGATGTACAGGGAGTAGGAGATGCTGCCCAGGTACTGGGCCAGGCTGCTGGTGAAGGGCCGCTGGCAGGCGCGGGAGTTGGCGAGCGCGAGGAGGAGAAGCGGCGCCGAGAGGGCGTGCCAGTAGTGCTCGCGGCCGAGGAAGAGGGAGTCCCAGAGCGGGGGCGTCCAGGGGAGGAGGGGCGCGTGGTAGGGGCCTGGGGTCGGGGACTCGCCTGGGTAGGAGAGGATGTAGAGGGAGAGGAGGAGGACGGTGAGGTTGAGGATAGAGATGAAGGGTTTGGGGGAGCTGGGGATTGGAGAGCTGACGTGTTGTTGGGCTGCGAGGAGGAGTTTGCTTGAGATGCGGGATAGCGGGCGGTGTTCTTGTTGATGTTGTTGTTGTTGATGTTGTTGATGTTGTTGGCTCTCGCGTCTCGGCAAAGGCAACTGGGACGGAAAGGGGAGACTGTCCTGCCAAACATCGGCCCATCTTCCCCAACTCGCCCTTCTTACTTCGTCGCATATCTCGACTTCAACCTCAACTTCAACGCCCGCTTCCTCGTGGGATTCTCCCTCCTCGAGAATCAAACTCCACTCGGCAATAACCACCCCCGTCAAGAACAACCACACATCCCACCGTCCACTGACTAAACCCCACGCACCCACCCCCAACAGTAGCCCCATCCTCACAAGCGGCATCGCACCGCTCAGCCCTAGCACACCCAAGAAGACAGCCATACTCCCGTAGAACTCCAGCGGGATCGTCCACAAATGCCCATTGTACCGCGAGATCTTGAGATGATTCGGATTCAACTCCCTGAACGGGAACACCAATTCCGCAAAATCCGACCACCAGTCTCGGAGCTGGAGGGAGAGGGTCGGGAAGTGAGCAGGGACGACTTCGTTGCGGAGCGGCGTCGGCGTGAAGGCGTCCAGATAAGCCAGGATGGCTGCAATGAAGGTCCCAGCCACCACCGGCACGAACAGTCTGATGCCTCGTCGGAGGAGGGAGCTCCCCATCACAGCGAGAACATTGCCTCTTGCGCGCTCGGCTGAATCTCCCGGATCGATCCTGGCGACCAGTCCGGATTTAATCGCGCGGTGGTGACGGATGAGTTTCAGTGGTTTGTAGGATAGAGCAAAGCCTGAAATGACGAAGAAGATCGCCACGGCTGCCCTGCCTGAGTAGAGCAGTCTGATGATCGGTAACTGCCACAGGGAGTCGGAGTTGGTGGGCGGGAAGGGCGCGTGCTGGGAGAGGGTGGGCGTGGAGTGGTAGCCGAGACGGAGGTGGTAATACCAGTTCGTAACGTGGTGGGAGATGAGGACCGTGCAGGCAGCGAAGCCGCGGAGGCCGTCGACTGATAGGGTGTGCGTGTTAGAGCTTCAATCACTGATACAGAGAGGGAGATGAAGAGAGAGGATGGCAAGAAGGGAGAAGGGAGAAGGAGGACGTACGCCATGCTGTCCGCGAGAGGGGTTTGCGAGGTTTGGGGGAGGTGGAAAAGAATGAGGGGAGTAGAGAGCATAACACGGGCAGTAATGACCTCTCCAAGAGCGTTAGAATTGGTAGCTTGTGCCATCTCGAACGTCTGCTCCTTGCATTGCTGAGTGCCTCACGATGAGGCGATTGTAGAAGTGCGCTTCGTGATAAGAAAGGCGTCAATGGTGACACCGGCGGTGATTCGCGAAAGTATTTCTCGTAGGTATCGCGTGTCGGGAAACATGGCGAGACGACGACAGGGGGCAAGATCGAGGATGGAGGTGTGATTTTATGTGGTTGTATCGAGACTGATAAGTTCGAACCGCATATAGGTGTTGGGCGAGCGTGCCTGTGGTGTTCATCCTTCGGCTCCATGATGTATATAGTGCAGTTCTTGTATCAAAACCAATCAGGCAAGCCACGCGACAGGAAAAGCCATAATTACTATCAAATATTCAATAGCAATCGAGATCAAAGATAGAAAGATATGATGATGAGATGGTAACGGGTATAGATGGTGATGGCCACGGGCGGGTTGAGGTATCAAACGACTTGAGCGGCACCGCTGTTTCAGCACAATCAGCAAGACCCTCAACATCTTCGACGTTTCATCTGACCAGTAGATTGATAGTTGAATTGCTTGGTCGGTTACATCGCTATTGATCGATAGCCAATTGTCTTCCAGCCGGACTGTCGGGAGTAGCAGCTAGCTACAGGTGGTCGTGGGTAACGCGTGACTAGCCAAACCGCTATGACAACCGTGCCTATCTGTTTCCCAACCCGAGAATATTCTATAGACTAGAAGCAAAGGCAAAGAGCAAAAGTAAGAAAAGAGAGGCAAAACATTCATATCAGGGAACAAAAAACAGATAACAGGAGAAGATGAAGATATTGGCAAGTAGGTAGATAGGTCAGTAGATAGAGAATCCCTCTCTCTCTCTCCCTTCTGCATTCGCCCTCCTTTGATTCGATCATCGTTCGTGTGATTCACTTAAGAACTAAGACTCCAGCGAATATTGACGCGGATCATAATCATGATTATAGTAAACGATAGCGATACGAATATCGATAACAGGGCAGCCTTGTTCGTAAAGAAAGGACAGAGATGAGCACACGTAACTCTTGCCAGATAGATAGATTCACATGACCCCATGTGCAGTTCACTTCAAATCTTAATCTCAAATCAAACCAATCCAACTCATCTCGAGTCAAAAGACGCGATATGCAGCAGTAGAATAGCAAGTGAACAGACAAACAAACAAACAAACAAAAAAAAAAAAAAAAAAAAGGAAAGTACAGCCCGGATATAGTCAGTCACTCGGGGGGTTGGAAGGACTTGAGTATGTTATTATACTCACAGTCTGTTTTGGTTGACTGCATAACATTTTACTCCAGCCATATTCATATGTAGGATTTCGTTTCATCTCACTTCTTCCTATGCCATCATTCATAATGGTCCAGTCCAGTCCAGTCCCGCCAAGTCCGTTTCGGCCCAAGACCGACCAAACGCCTGCGCCGGATAGTTCGAGGAGCCACTCTCGAGAAAACACCACGCGGAAATGCAATGAAAGCCGAATTGAGGAACAAAAGCAAGCCCACCGATACAAGCAGAAATCCCCGCTTTCTCTTTCTCCAGGCGCCCCCTTCCAATGCATGTCCTTCCCAGCCCTTTTGTACACGCCTCCCTTCCTCTACGCCTTCCCCAGCCACCCAGCACTGACAAAAAAGTCAAAGATCCTCCCTCCCTTCTGGTTCTCTAGCCGACACAGCTCCCTCACCTGCTTCTTCTTCAGCAGCCCGTTCCCCTTTAGCGCCTCCTTCATCACGCTCTCCTTGATCACAAGGTACGGCTTCGGATGCAGCCTCGTCTTTTCGCAGAGATCGATCTCCTCTTCAGTGAGAAGGTGGATGTCGGGAACGTTTTCTTGGGAGAGAGAGAGTGGGGAGACGCCTGTTAGGGGCGGGACTTGGAATTTCTGCTTCGCGGGCGCAGAAGAGCCGTTTGCGTTGCCGTTGGTTAGGATTTTACTGTCTTTCGAGGAAGATTCTTTGCCAGAGGGTGATTTTGTTAGGGAGTCTTTAAGGCGGGTGGGTAGGTCGGGTGCGACTAATGCGGCTGCGCCAGACGGCTGCTCGACCACGGGAGGCGGCTTCGAGCGCTGGGAACTGGCGAAGCGTTCGCGGTCTAGGGAACCCATTGGTTGAGCCTTTTGTGCCCTTTGCAACTTTTCCATTTCGTATTTCTCGCCCTCGCGGAGAGTACCGATTTTCATGGCGCGCCAGTCTTGCAGTTGCAGTACTGCTTGTCGTAAATTGTGCTCTTCTACGAGGCCATTGCAGAAGTCTTGGAAATTCTCGCCAGTCATCAGTCGGGCGAAGGGCTTAGCTTTATTAAGTAGGTCTCTTTCTTCTTTGGTGCGTTTCTTTTCGGCCGCGGCGTTTTTGCGGTACTCGAGGAGGTTGTGCTCGAAGATTGCTTTCTTGCGCTCTGATCGTTGGGTGAGGCGAGTGTTGTAAATATCCATTACTGTCAACTTCAAGTCCATTTCTGGGTCTAGCTCGCCAGTTTTGGGGTTGAGGCCGTCGCCAGGGTCGAATTGCATGAGTTGGACGGCTTCTTCTGCTTCATTCGCATATTCCGTCTCGAACTCTAATCGACCGGGCATGTATCCCTGGACTTCGTGACATGCCGGTACGCTGGCCGTAGGTTTCTTCTTTGGCATAGCAGGCGGTGCATTGCTCTGCGCTTCCTTCCTATCCTCGATCCTGCGCTTCTTCATCGCCTGGAACTCTTCTCTCGGCAACTCATTCTGCAGTTGCGTATTCTTTAGATCCGCCCTTACGGGCAAGGGGAAATTCGGACTCTCCAGGTATATCTTCGTATAATGTTCCCGCACCTCATCCTTGTTCCTGTAGCCTCCAATATGATCTGCCACGTCCGCCCAAGACCCTAGCCCATAGATCTCACACCCCTCCAGCAATAGTAGCTCCTCATCTGCACCCCATTCCTTATCGTATATCGGGACAGAATTCTGCTCAATCACGTTAAAAGGATGAGTCGCCGGCTGATGGTTGTTCGTCGATTCGCCCTTGGCAAAGCACTGGACACAGAGATCGTAGTCATTGCACGCGCTATGAGCGCAACGTATTCGGACCTAGGCTTTGTTAATAAAGTAATGTCGAACAAGGCCAGAGTATACTGACGGTTGATGTTATATCGGCGCTGCAGACATCGCAGACATATTTGACGCCCCCTTCGCCGCCGCGCGCGGCAGTCTTCTTGCGAATGACCCCCATACTGGTTGATGGTGATGCGCCGGAGGGGCCAGCGGTGGCGACAGGGGCTCTGGTGGCTGTTCTTCCGCGCAGAAGCCTGCGTGAGCTTCTCTTCCCGGATCCCTTCCTCTCCTGCGGGCCCTTTCTTTGTGGTGATGGCTTATGTTGATGGTGGTGATGGTTTGATGTCGGACAGTGGCTTGGTGGTTAGTGGTTGGTGGTCGTGACGTGCCTTACGGAGATCAGGTCAGTGTCAGGGATCACCCAGTCCGTTGATTAATAAGCAGTCGCAACATCCATTTCGTATCTCTACGTCTCTACTTCGTACGTGAATACAATACAGACTGACCGATACGAACAGGATTCAACTCGATTTTCGTCTCTCTTTTCATTTCTCTATCCGAACCTAAGACCTTTAAGCCAGATGCCACCTGGCTTACCGTAGCTCAGCGGCGTATTTTTTGGAAGTCACGTGCTCCAACCGTGAACACCCCTCACCCCGCCGAGCAAAGACCCTGGTTGCTGAGCCATTACTTGAGACCAATACAACCTCAAACTCCCCTTTTGCCTCCTTTTAAACCCTCTCGACCCGATATTCAAACTCAGCCCTGACTTGACGATCTCTTTCCTTGCTGTCTTTCAACGAGAAGGGCTCCTCTAACCCACCAAACCTGATATCAAGCTCACTCACCCATACACCCCCATACACCCATTCACGTCCTTACCTACTTGCAGTGGTAAAGGCGCGGCGACAGAAGTCAGTCCTTTGGCGGGGCAAGATCCATTTGGAAACCAATTCACCAATAGACCACCCGACCACGGTTGCTGAGAGAGACGTTGCGATAAACACCAGCGTCCTGCATCATACTCTGCCGTCACTTACGATCATCTTGACCACCGCGCATTCTTCGTATCGTCGTCAACATGGCGCGGTTCCTCTCCAAGAGTTAGTATACAGGACAGAATGTCTCTATCCTTCCTACCCCACGCTTCAACGGCGACTTGTGACTCCCACATGGCGGGTCGCCCATCTCCAGTTGACGGCTTCAAGGATACCACCCGTACTGACGTGGTATACAGAGCTTAAAGAGACGCACTTGGGACCTCTCAACTCCTTCTCGCGTTCCCCATCTACATCTACAATTACAGGAGACTCCAAAGACGAAAAGGCCGGCTTGGCTAGCAGTGCGAGCAGCTCGAACCTCAATGACAATGGCATTGGTAAGTCGGTTGTGTTTTACAAGCTGTTTGATGCTGATTCTGGAAGCTGCGTCGGAGGCCATAGCCACCCAACCGCCTGCTCAACCAAGGCCTGGTATCCTGATTGTTACGTTGCACGAAGGCCAAAACTTTTCACTGCCCGACCAATACAAGAACGTCATCAACACACATACTGCTGGTTCCTTGTCACAAGGAAATGGTTTTGGGGTAGCAGGATCAGTCAGACCAGGCTCATCACAACAAGCCGGCAGTGTTGCAGGATCATATGCCGGTAGCACGCGGCCACAGACTTCAGGGGGTGGATTCAGCAACGTGCCTACGAACCACGGCCGCATATCGTCCAAATACCTTCCCTATGCTCTCCTGGATTTTGATAAGCTGCAAGTGTTCGTTAATGCTGTGGCAGGATCTCCTGAGAACCCTCTATGGGCTGGAGACAACACACAATACAAGTTTGATGTCTCACGAGTGACGGAACTTGCTGTCCACCTCTACCTGCGCAACCCCAACGCCCCCCCAGGCTCTGGCCGCACCACAGATATCTTCCTGGGTGTAGCACGAATTAACCCAAGATTCGACGAAGCCCACAAGTATCTCGAGGACCCCAAGCTAAACAAGAAGGATAAGGAGAAAGCTTTCGCGGAATGGCAAGCAAAGGAGCAGAATCTGGGCCAATCAGGGCCTGAATGGTTGGATGTTCAGTACGGTACTGGAAAGATCAGAATCGGCGTCGAGTACATCGAGAACCGTTCACGATCGTTAAAAATCGAGGATTTCGATTTGCTCAAGGTGGTTGGAAAGGGAAGTTTTGGAAAAGTTATGCAGGTCAAGAAGAAGGATACCCAGCGAATTTACGCCCTGAAAACGATTCGAAAAGCCCACATCATTTCTAGATCCGAAGTCGCACATACCCTAGCTGAACGTTCAGTTCTCTCCCAGATCAACAATCCCTTCATCGTACCCCTGAAATTCACTTTTCAATCGCCAGAGAAGCTGTACTTCGTCCTAGCGTTCGTCAATGGAGGCGAGTTGTTCCACCATCTGCAGAAGGAGCAGCGATTCGATATCAACCGATCAAGATTCTACACCGCAGAGCTGCTGTGTGCTTTGGAGTGTTTGCATGGTTTCAACGTCATTTACCGTGACTTGAAGCCCGAGAACATTCTCTTGGACTACTCTGGTCACATCGCTCTCTGCGATTTCGGTCTTTGTAAGCTGGACATGAAAGACGAGGACCGTACCAACACCTTCTGCGGCACACCGGAATATTTGGCACCAGAATTGCTCTTGGGACAGGGGTATACCAAGACAGTCGATTGGTGGACTTTGGGTGTTTTGCTCTACGAGATGTTGACCGGTCTTCCGCCTTTCTACGATGAGAACACCAACGAGATGTATCGCAAGATCTTGTCTGAGCCATTGCACTTCCCCAGCGCCGAAGTTGTACCTCCATCGGCCAAGGACCTGCTCACTAAACTTCTCAACCGCAAGCCTGATCAGCGATTGGGTGCCAATGGTGCTGCTGAGATCAAAGCTCATCCCTTCTTCCACAGCATTGACTGGCGTAAGCTACTTCAGAGAAAGTACGAGCCTACTTTCAAGCCTAATGTGGTAAGATGTGATTTTCAAAATTTGTTTTCCATCTCGAGTATGTGGACGCGATGCTAAAAACGCTGTGTGATATTACAGAAAGACGGACTTGACACTGAGAACTTCGACAAGGAGTTCACCAACGAAGCGCCGGCAGACTCGTACGTTGAGGGCGCTGCTCTCACGGACGATCAACAAGCTCCTTTCCAGGGTTTCAGTTAGTAAGTGCACCCACCAGCTTGTGATTTTAAGCGATCAGCCGCTGACTTCCATCCCAGCAACCGCCCGGTCGCAGGTCTCAACGATGCAGGAGGTAGTCTTAGAGATCCCTCATTCCAAGGCAGCGTGCGGGATAGGTGATTCCCCCACTTCTACCGTTACGACGAATCACGTGATACCATCAACATGACGATTGCGATGAGGCGAGCTGTAGCAGCGGCAGCAGTGTTTTGGAGCGAGTTTGGTTCGGCAATGTACGCCTTCCGGGGTGGGCGTTGATGGGATTTCAAGACCTTTCTACGTGTGGAGAGGGAGGGTTAAGCTTACTCACTGAGGCTTGGATTGGCGTGGGTTTGAGGGCAGATGGGCGAGTGGTTGTGTGTATATGTATGCATAGCTAGCTGCCATTGCCCGCTGGAGCCCCAACATTAGATTATACCTGCCTGCGTGCCTGCCTGCATTCGTTCGTTCGTGATCCGAGAAGATCAGAATTCTTGGAGTGATTTGTTAGAATAGCTGCTTGCCACAACTTCTCATCACCATGAAATCAATCAACAATGCCCGCTTCGAAGCCTAATCATGATCACCTTGATCAGTCATAGTGGAACCAAGTCTGCAAAGCTTAATAGATTACTCAAGTGGTGTTCCTGGACCGTTCGTAAAGGATCTGCAGTATCCGTAGTTCCCTTCCTGAACATCCGGGCCAGACGAGGGGGGGACGAGGGGTTATCCGATCCGTAGTAGTCGGAGCTAGTAGTGGGGGTTGGAGTGTCGTCATAAGTACGGAAAGCGATTTTACCCGTCGACTCTTCTTAGTAAGCTTGATGAATTCCTGAACCTCCTCCACCTTTGCCCTTTCACTCAACCCCGAGGGAGATTTTCTTGACGAATCGCACGCAACAATCTCTCTTCGTAAGGAATACGAAGCAAACTCAATTGAACCTGAACCTGACTTGAAAAGGTGCGTGCTTCCTGTCCTGTCGGTGGTGGTGGAATGGGTGGGGCTCCCGGCGCGGCCGTTGACGGTGTAGGTGAGGATCGATAAGTATCGAACCCCGCTCTGGTGGTAAGACTTATATATATATATATATATATATATATCACAGAGACAAAGTAACTTGCTGATGCGCTTCTTTGCAGATCGGATCATTAGACTCTTCAATCACATCTCACACTCTTCAATCACATCTCACACTCTTCAATCACATCTCATACTCTTCAATCACATCACACACTCTTCAACCACAAACGGCATCACTCCCGGTGACGCAGATATCTACCCTCCGCGGTTCATTGAGATCTTATAGCAAAGCAAAGCTTTGCTCTGTTCTGCAAGCAACCCTTCTTGTCGAAGGATCCCTCCACAACACCAAGAACCACATCACCGATACATCAGCCCGTCAAAATGGTCGCTGCCACTGAACTCCCCTCCTGGGCCGTCCTCCAGGAACACCACAACACTGTGGGCAAGTCCTTCGTCCTGAAATCCGAATTCGCCAAGGACCCCTCCCGCTTCGAGAAGTTCTCCTTCAAGTTTCCCAATCCAGCCGACTCGACCGAGATCCTGTTCGACTTCTCCAAGAACTTCCTAACCGAGGAGACCCTCAAGCTGCTTGTGCAGGTTGCAAAAGATGCCAAGGTTGAGGAGCTGAGGGATGCCATGTTCAAAGGGGAAAAGATCAACAATACCGAGGGTCGCGCGGTATTGCATGCCGCCTTGAGGAATACGGGAGAGGAGAAGATATTTGTGGATGGTGAAGATGTGATGCCTGGCGTGAGGAAGGAGCTGGCGCATATGGAGACCTTTAGTGAGCAGATTCGCAGTGGGGAGTGGAAAGGATACACTGGAAAGCCGTTGACTACTATTATCAATATTGGCATTGGTGGCTCAGATCTGTAAGTCTATCATCTTCTCTGGTCCTTCTAACATCAAGGATATGTGTTGACATGATCTAGCGGCCCAGTCATGGTTACAGAAGCCCTCAAGTTCTACGGCGACCGCAAGCAAACCCTCCACTTCGTTTCCAACATCGACGGCACTCATATGGCCGAGGCCCTCCGCGATTCCAACCCCGAGACGACCCTCTTTCTCGTCGCCTCCAAGACCTTCACCACTGCCGAGACCGTCACGAACGCGAACTCGGCCAAGGAGTGGTTCTTGAAGGAGACCGACGGCAAGGGCGACATTGCCAAGCACTTTGTTGCTCTGTCGACTAATGAAAGCGAAGTCACCAAGTTCGGCATTGACGCCAAGAACATGTTTGGCTTTGAGAACTGGGTTGGTGGCCGCTACAGTGTGTGGTCGGCCATTGGACTCAGTGTGGCTATCCACATTGGGTACAAGAACTTCTATGAATTTTTACAGGGTGCTCATGCTATGGACAAGCATTTCAGAGAGACGCCTTTGGAGAAGAACATCCCGGTTATTGCTGGTCTGTTGAGTGTGTGGTACTCGGATTTCTACGGCGCTCAGACTCACTTGGTTTCTCCGTAAGTCTTCTGATGTTCTGACGGTTGAACGCTCGCTTACGCTGCATAGATTCGACCAATACCTCCACCGCTTTCCGGCCTACCTCCAACAACTCTCCATGGAATCCAACGGCAAAGCTGTCTCCCGCAGCACCAATGACTTCATCAAGTACACCACAGGCCCCATCCTCTTCGGCGAGCCTGCTACCAACGCCCAGCACTCCTTCTACCAACTCCTTCACCAAGGCACCAAGCTCATCCCTACCGACTTCATCCTCGCCGCCAACTCCCACAATCCCATCGACGCAAACAAGCACCAAAAGATGCTCGCCTCGAACTTCTTCGCGCAGGCCGAGGCCCTAATGGTCGGCAAAGACGAAGCCCAGCTCAAAGCCGAAGACACGGCCACGGCTCTCCTCAAACACAAGACTTTCCTAGGTAACAGGCCCACGACGAGCATCCTCGCCGATAAAATCACGCCGGCTACGCTGGGCGCGCTGATCGTCTATTATGAGCACCTGACCTTCACGGAGGGCGCGGTGTGGGACATTAACTCCTTCGACCAGTGGGGCGTTGAGCTGGGGAAGAGCTTGGCAAAGAAGATCCAAGGGGAGCTCGAAGAGGGGGCCGCAAAGGGGGAGCACGATGCGTCGACTGCGGGGCTGATTGCTGCGTTTAAGGCGAGGAGCTCGAAAATGTGAGGTCAAGCGAAGGAGCTGAGCATAGGGGGGGGTAGTTGGTTTCAGGGAAAACTTCAAAAGTTGATGTGGTATGAAGGTGATGCAAAAAGGGTTGGAGTAGAAGTTGAATATATAAGTACCTAGACCTATTCACCTTTCCGTTTATTGATCGTAACTTTCCCTGTTAACAAATCTTGGTCCTAAAAGGTGTGTAATTGTAGTATACTTTGCATATTCGTACTGCCCAAAGGCTTGAGAATCATCAATTCGCTTCTTCTTTATCTAATCGATTTAACAATATGATTATTAGGATGAGAGAGCTTGACTTTGCAACTGCAAGCGGACAAGTAGCTGAATAAAGGTCTGCCCTTCCTTTCCTCCCCTGACAGTCCGGTCGGTCCTGGTCTCTGAGAGGTAAAAAAGCTACGGAGTCCATTGATCAGCACATTTTTTCGGCAGCTTTAAAGTCCTTTCCCTTATCGATCCGATTCGATTCGCGGCCCGTTAATCGTTTTAATTATATATATATATATATATATATTCATATTTCTTTTTTAGTAAAAAAAAATTTGAGACTGAGTATGAGGTCTTTGTGTTGCTTATTAATTGGGGGGGGGGGGGTTTGAGGGGCGAGTGGTAGTCGGTCAGTCAGTCAGTTTGCCTTTAGCTTTGCGAGTTCTATTGATTATAACTCCCACGCTTGGACGGACACGTTCAGATACGTAGCCCGTGTTAGATATGGAAGTGTGTGAGTGTGGGGAGGGAGGGTGAGAGAGGAAGTTTGCCGGAGGGGGGCGTTCTCAGAGGAGAGGAGGACCGGACAGATAGCATGCATAGCATGCAGCGAGTCTGGCGATATTTGATGAGAGAAGACGATAAAAGACGATAGCCGATGAGGCGAGATGAACTTTTTCTTTTCTTTTCCCCCATCACGATAGCTGCTGATCTGGTCGGTCAATAGTAGGCTAGCTAGGTATTCGTTTCTCTGCTACGACTTCTCTTCTTGTGTGGCTATGGAGATTGGGGACCGAGTCTCCAGCTTCGGTTCCGATCACCGGGTTATGTATACTGTATGCACCTCGGCAGGATGTGCTCTTTCCCTGGTAGAGCATGGCAGGGCATGGTCTGGGCCATCTATCTGTCAAGGTCTTACTAATCCAGCCCAACCCTGGTTTGATAGAACTCTTTTTACTTTTTTTTTTAAAAAAAAAAAAAAACTTATTGCGTGTGCAATCTTCTCCAAGCTTTCGTTCTGCCGGTTTCCAGCACAATTCCTCGCTCTGCTCAAGCCGTGTATGATCGGGCAACACCCCCAGGCCTCATCCAGATTATGTAAAACGCGCGTAAGTAGCTACACCTGCAGCTCCGCCGTATCCTTGGTGGGTCGAGCGAGGGTTACAACTGGGGATCTCGTCCAAGATGATGGATTTGTTCGTTAGTAGATTCAAGCGTCTGGGTCAAGCTCTCTTCTAGGCTTATACGGAATCGATATCATACCTTTTTCTCTGAAAAGAAAAAAAAAAAAAGGAAGAAAAAAACGTCAGCCATTTAAATGGTACTCGTTAGTTCCAATATATATATTTATATATATTTGAGTAAAATCCGATCTAGCGCTTCCAGGTCGGGACCAATAACTCTGTCACGGATTTTTGAGGGTATTTTAAAATATATTTATAAACAACCACCTTTGCTATCAACTTGATTTGAATTGCAAAATGATCGCTATAAGGTAATCAACAAGTGCCTTACTAGATAACATAATTAGTTCATAAAGATTGTGAAGTTGTTACCTTATGAAAGGGGATTTTGTGGGCCGGAATACCATTCTTGACGTTGATCAGGGCTCGCTTATTTACTTACTGACTTGGGCGACGGCCGTAGCTCTACTCCGTAGGAACTGAATAATAACAGCGATTTTAAAGCTGAATCTTGAAAACACTAAACAATAATCCATTTATTGAAACTATATTAATATAATAATGATCGCTAAGATCTGCATGCGCAACAAGTTTTTTATTATATTTTGATTGATGTGCATCAAGTTATTAAGCCAAATACATATGAAATCGGGTTTTTTCGCGAAAATCCGACATCATTTTCACTACATTTATATGTTTTACTGTTAACAAAACATTGTGGAAATTAATCCCTAATCTAGTAAGACAACAGTGAGTGATATATCGACGTAGATATATTTTTTATTGAGTTTGGATTAGTAGTTGTTATTCACACAAGGTCTTCATATTCAATGTCGGACGTCAGAAAATGAGAAGTGGAGCTTTGTGCACATTGATCGCACCTTAACTTCTACTTCCCCACCTGCCCCAAATACCAACGCTACGGGACCTGACTATCAACAGGCTTTGCCATATCAACAAGACTTATTTGTACATAAACACTCTCTGCTCTAAAACAGTACAGCCGATTTTTTCAGCTCCGGACACGATGGCAACGACAATCCTCTCGCGAAAGCGCGATCTGGCGTACATGATCCATTTCAGCATTTCGCTCCCTCTGATGTTTCGTGTGTAGCCCCCCCCCTTCAAGCTCCCAGATGGCTCACTCATCACCTCCGATCCAAGAATTATTTCTGGGGAGCTCTCTCACCACCTACCTTCCTACCCAGAAAATAGATATCCAGCTAATATCACACGTGTCCAGTCATGGATCTCCAAGCCATATACCCACCCGCAATCGTTCCCGGATTCATGAAGGCCTTGGAAGGCTGGTACATTGAGAACTACCACGACCAATTCTTCGTCACGAAGCCGGCTTTCTTCCAGGCTTTCATCGCCAGTGAGATCCTCTACCAGGCTCCGGCCATGGTGATCGCACTGCGCCTTCTTTACACAGGTATGTAAATGTATGTATACATATATACCGCTTCTCTTGCCCCTTTCTGTCACACCCACCCTTGAACCCTTTCTCCTTTTTTTTTTCTCTTCGCTGGTTAATCAATCCGATACGTAGACTCTCCAAAGGTGCCCTTGGTCCTTCTCCCTTATTCCATGCTCATCTTCGCCACCACCGCCACCTGCATGTTCGAGTACTCTTTCTGGGACATCCCATTGCAACAAAAGATTGATCTGACAACTCTCTACGGACCTTATCTTGCTATATGTAGGTCTTTCTCATCTACGCAAATCCTTTCGGGTACTAAGTAACGCCACTTAGCCGCGTTCATGTTCGGAGACATGAGCATTCGCCTCAACAACGTCATCAATGCTGCCACCACCAAGCTTTCGTCCCAGTCCCTTTCGAGACTTTCGAGAAAGGATCAGTAGTTGACCAACACACGTCGTCTCGGCTTATCTCTGCAATAGAAAAATACATCTCTTGGTGGGGGTGCTGTCGCGAAATTGACCGGAGCTATACGGGCATCAACTTCGCGAGAGACAGCAAGATCGACTTGCGAGGTAATGGTTCCAGGCGCCCTAGCCGATCTACTATGCCTGTGGATCTGAAGAACCTCTCGAATCTGCGTGGTGATGACTCCCAATCGGGACGAGATAAACGAGGGCCTCTTGAAGGACAGGAACTGCGTCAGGAAATAGTTTGAGAAAAAAAAAGAAGACGGAGATGGATGCCCTTATTTTGATATACCGGGAACACACAGAGATGATATGCTGTGCCTCGCTCTAGTTCTGATACTTGATCTTTACGTGCTAATGCTTAAATCAACGTTGTTGGCTGTCAGAATACTGCGTAAAAGTCGGCTCGCTTAGATCCCAGTCCCTTTAAATCCTGCAAAATCGAAGCGCTTGCCGCTTGAATAAGTCAATTGTAGTACGACCATCGTCTGGATATTGCGGTACGGTCCGCCGATTATATCCGTGGCATGGGAGGAACAGGCGCCTGGGAGATAAGATATGCTATTGCTATTGCATTTCAAAGACCTCAGACGCTACAGAACCCCAAAAGAAGGGGAAATTCAATGACCGTTTTAGTATGAGAATTGCTCATCGTCTGAAGGAATCGAGTTGGAGACAGAGAAAGCGAATCAATGATCGCAGGAGGGGTATATATATATATGCTCGACGAGTACAGGACCTTGACCTGTTGGCGTTTGGCTCTTGTAAAGCGATCGATTCCAATCAGAACGCGATCAGCGAGCTCATGCTTCAGGGTCTGAAACGGTTGATGATAACATTCTGAGATGCGAGAGGATATGTAAAGATGGCCTACTCACCAAGGCCCTCTATCGCTACTGTATGGCTTGAGTATCCCTCCCCGCGGGACACACCGATTTGGTAACAAGCGCGCAGAAAAACAAAACAAAAACCCTGGCTAAGTGAGAGCAGGACTGTCAGCGAGCACGTCCCCAATCATGGACATCAGGTAAACTAACTGATCGTATCCCCGCCTCGCCATCCACTACCGACCAGCCCACAAACTTTCCCTAGAAGATGAGATAGACCAGCTTCGGAAGGAGAATCCTCTTCTGGTAGGCCGAGCACTGGGGTCATGTGACGAGGGTTTTTCCCACCACGCAGCTAGCCATAAGCGAAAAAAAGAAAGCGAGAAAATAGAAAAAGGGCTCCTCGAATTAATCACGGAATAGACAACCCGAATCCGAAGAATTTCATACAAAGCAAGCCAATCCCATCTCTGCCCCCAAATCAATGGCCGATCAAGACCCCACAGCGCAGTCAAACCAGGCCGCCGAGTCAAGCAGCAGCAGCAGCGGCTCAACCCAAGCAGCAGCAACCGCAGCAGTCGACTCGTCCCCCCCCACCACCACCACTGGTAAGTGATGTCCGTCCGTCCTCAAATAAATCACCTGATCCCCCCCCCCCTTTTATCATCCAATATCTTATATCTAGGTAATATCTAACAACTAACAACCAACAACTAACACCCAACCCACCAGACCCCCCCTCTTCTTCATCAACCTCATCTCCATCCCCAGCCTCACCCCCCCAGACATGCTCCCACTGCTCCAAAGCAGCGTCGTCCTCGTCCGGGGAGGGGGAGGGGGAGAAGGAGAAGGAGAAGGAAGGGGCTGAGAAGCCGCTCAAGCCATGCACCAAGTGCCAGAGCGTGCGGTACTGCTCGCGCGACTGCCAGAAGGCGGATTTCAAGAGGCACAAGCGGGAGTGCGCGCGCGCGGCGCAGGTGTACGCCCAGCGGGCGGATATCAGGATGGCGGTGCCGGGGAGGGCGCCGAGGGAGGGCTTTCGGGGCGGCTTGCAGAAGTGGCAGTTTGATACGTAGTGTGAAGTGAGTGAAGTGTGTGAAGTGAGTGAAGTGAGTGAGTGAGTGTGGACTTGGAAGCACGCTTAGGGTTGGTGGCGGTGGCGGTGGCGGTGTGTGTGTGTGGGTTGAAGAAGGGGAAAGGGAAAGGGAATGGGGAAGAGGAAGGGGAATGGGAGGGGGCAAAGGGCAAGTTGCCTCTCTCAACGAATGTCATCTGGGAACGGGGGGTTGGCCTGGCTGGAGGGGAGAGAGAGATCAAGAAAGATTGATGGCCGAGGGCCACGGTTTAGATCAGAGGATGCGCCCGGCCAGTGAGTGGTTTGCGATGGTGGAAGATACATACATACATACATACATACATTCATACAACACCTGCGTGTCAACCTCTCTCACTCACGACAGGCGCTTTTCTCTCGCCCTGGGTGACTCGTGAGCTGGGAAGCTGCATACAAAGTTACGCCGGTCTTTCGGTACACGACATGCGTCTCTGCAGTGCGTATACGCCCAACTCCCTCTTTCCAAGCTCCCAAGTTCATACCCACCAGCAGTCCAGTCCAGTCCAGTCCAGTCCAGTCCAGTCCAGTCAGTAGTTGCAAGACCGCAATCGAACAGGGTGATCGATCGACAACGACAAATTTTCCCAGAACCAACCAACCCTCCCCTCCACCCGGAGAAATAGAAAAATCGATCCAGAATCAAATGTGGATACGGAGCAAAGTATGAAAGTATGATAAAACAAAAGACCCCTCTCCGTAGCGTGCAAACAAATGAGATCACAGATCATCGGGACATAGTAACCTACATCGACTTTGGTCATCAGTTGTCTTCTCCAGAAACGGGGACCGGTAGATCACCAGCCACGCCAACGCCAACCCACCAAACCAACCCGCCTACCCAGATAAGCCTAGGTATCTAGCCCTTGATCGATCCGCAATGAGCTCCCAGCCAGTTCCGCATCCGAAACGAACCTACCGGCCTTGATACGGGATCTTCCGAGAGACTTGAAAAGGGGAGGGAAAGGAGAGACAAGTAAGACACGTCTAGACAGACATATACATTCATCAGTCAAATTGGTATCAACCACCCCCTTCCCTCCCCTCCTCTCTTTCCCATCCTCTCTCCTTCTTCCCTTCCTCCCCTCCGCCCCCCCTTCTTCTGCCTCTCCATCTTGCAAGAATCTTTTAAAATACACATGTGCAAGATCCCTTTCTTCCCACACCTCTGTACCAGGACCCGTGATCCCCGCCAATGGCGAGTGGTAAATCTCCAACCACCCAGCCAGCCGGCCAAGTACAAGCAAGATCTGAAAACTTGTTCCAATTCATCCATCCATTCATCCTACACTCCGCCCACAGAAGATGAAGTAATTATAAAAAACGCCGTGGTATGCTGTATATCTATCACTCGCGCTTGCTAGCTTCCCTTTTGCGCGTGCTTCCCTTTCCCTGCACTATCATCTCAGTCCCCAGTCTCATTTCCCCCCTTGCCGGTTCGGCACGTCGGGTCGACAAGAAGAGGAATAGCTGCTCATCAGAAAGCCCTCAATACCCTCTTCCTCAGCTCCTGGCTATCATGCGACTCTTGCGGCGTCAGAGCCCCCGGTGCACGCTCAAGATCAATGAGAATATCCATTACCTCGTCGGCATTATCGCCGCCTCCATACAGGGGCTGGTTAGTGCGCACACACTCCATGTACCACTGCTCCACTACATACACCATCCAGCTCGCCAGCAGGCTCTTCTTCGCACCTCCCACAAACGGCGGCGCAGAGTTCTGCCACATATCTCTGAGCACTGATAGGATCGTCTCGGGCGGGAAGCCAACTTCAAGGAAGAGGTCTGGGAGCCAGGTACGGGAACCTGCTGGAGTGCCAGTTTGCGTGACTGCCCTGTCTACAGCGTAGGCGGCCAGGAGAGGGATCATGTTGTGTGGGGAGAAGGTTGACTCTGAACGGGAGAGGCGGGTGGACATTTCGCGGATCATGGTGATGACCGCTTCATATGGTTGCTGGGTGGAGTCGGGCCCACTGTGGCGCTCGTGGGTCTGGTTAAGAAGCGAGACCCAGGTTGCGTTGATGTCGGCTTCGTTGGTGTGCGAGGCGGCTTCGTAGATAGAGAGGCAGATTTCGTAGTAGGCGGCGGGGTCGGCGAATCTATTGTAGAGCTAGTGTTGTGATCAGTAAAGTTTTTGTCATGGGGGGATAGGAACTTACTTCAGAGAGATTGAGGATGTTACCGTCGAGCTGAGAAGCAAGTGCGTCTCTTGTTTCATTTGTGCCGCGAGGATCAGCGCGCACGCAGTGAAGAAGCTCGTCTTGGATGTTTGCTACGTCCAGAAGCTCGGTGATCTCGTACAGGAGGACCTGTCGAGCTTGGCGTCCAATGCCGACTGTGTTGGCGGAAGCATTTGCCTTCGCTCGGGAGAGGTATTCGATTCTCTTGGCGAGAGTAATCTGGAAATCGCTGTTGGCCAAGTTAAGTTGAACTAGAGCAGCATCGTAAAAACTATCGCGGTGAACGTGGAATCTCCAAAGCAAATCAGCTCGTTCCAGATCCGCAACGGAAGACCTGGTAAGATATTGGACAACGAAGTTAGAGTTAACAGCAAGCAGTACATCGGTCCATCCTTGGCTGAGATACCAGTCGTAGAGACCAAACTGGAACAGCTCGTCATCCGAGTCATTGACCACATCGTGAGCCTCAGTGCGCCTCGTTGCACTGAGGGTAGGTCGTCCATCGATCGACTGGGGCAAGGTAGAATTGTCGACATCAACTCGGCGGAGGACGGTGTGGACGAGACCGTAACATCTCTCTCTGAATTCGTATTCATGCTCTCGGGGATCGTCGGCAGGTTTATTCTCGTTCACCCATGCCAACGCTCTGTTGCCTCGGTCCGACTCTTTGGCGGCGACGAGAGCAAGGCTGATGGCGCCAGCATAGAATCCGAGGTTGGTGAATTGGTCCACGGCATCTTGTAAGTAGGCATAAGACAAAGCTCCCGAAACCTGCTTGAAAAGGCCGAGGCTCTCGTTGAGAAGCTTTCGCTGCATATCGGAGTTTGGCGTGAGTGTGCTAGCCTTCTTCAATTGCTCTTGGGCCTTGAAGATGATTACATCGTCAGCACTGCAGAAGCTTCCACAACGACGACGGAGAGCTTCAGCAACAGTATCGACGTTGGATCCATTGGCAATATTTCGATTTACAATGGCCTTCACCAAGACCTTGGCTAACTCCTTGCCTTGCTCAGTGGAGAAGAGCTTCTCGTAGGTCAGGTCACGCAATTCTTGTCTAGGAATATCCTCTAGACTGGCGAAGATTTCGTCAACTCCCTCATCAAACAGCATCTGAACAAAAGAGATGCCCTCGATGATGTTCGAGTTGAGCCTTTGTAGGGAGTGGAGAGCCTGGTGTTCGCCCTGAAGAGCGATCTCTTCCTGTTGACTGGCAACTCGTTGCAGACTCTCTGGACCAGCAAGACCCTCGATAAACGACCTATTCCTCTCCAAGAACGTTGCCAGTTTGGTCAGCTCCTCCTGGATTGAAACAAGTTTTTGGGGGTCAGCTGTAGACCTGATGATCGCTGCGGTTGTGTTTGCCGGTACTTCTTGAGTAATCACAGATGATTTCCAAACGGCGCGAATAAGGCGACCCATATATATTGCCAAGCCCTCGTGCCGGGAAGAGGGTCTGACGTTGTCGATGGCCTGCGAAGGACCTTCCGAGACCATGTTTTCATTCAAGGAAGGTCGTCCACCAAACTCAACAAAGCACTTGCGCGCCAGCTCCAAAGTTTCCGGGTTGCTGATTCGCGATATTCGGGTATCGCCAGGCGTTGTATCGCTCCCCTGACCGCAAGCGACCGCCAGGGCAGTCGCAGTAGTCTCAGCCCGTCCATAATTTCTAATGAACCTCTTGATCTCGGCTTCCAAGCCCTCATCTCCACCCTGACTCCGGATGGCAGCAGCAAAGATGTCCACAAGTCGTCTTCGGCGGATTACGTGAATGCCGGTGTTTGTGAGAATCGCAACTTCTTGAGGAGGTTGATCAAATTGAACGGCAAGCTCGTTTCCAAACCCTGCAGGGGTAGGGGCAGCAGCGAAGGGGGGTGTGACAAGGCCAACAGCTTCGGCACGACTGTTGAGGCTGATCCAACAGGCTTGCTCGAAGTATCTCGGAGCTGCGTTGGCCTGAGCCTGTGCAGCTATCCGACCAGTGTCTGGACCAGATAAGAACAGAGAATCCTGCTCGTTGTTATTTGTCTTCATAACAAAGCAGAAGAACAGCCCCGGGGGGAAGCGGAGCCCCATTTGCGAGAAAGCAAGTGCAAGCGATGAAGTCTCGATAGTCGTATCGGGAATACCAGAGTATGGAGATGCAGCTGCATTTGGGGGTCTGGGATCGAGTCGGGGAGGGAATTTGATGTGTTGAACTTGCATGCTTTGAGGAGCACCTTGGTTGTTATAGTTTCCGCCATAGCCACGAGTTGCGCTGAGGAAAAGTCTACAGCCAGTGGTGGTCATGGCCATCAAGTGAAGCTTGGATCCTTCGTTTGCAGATATAGGGCTGATCGAGCAGATCCTCATCGTGTTCGTAAGAAGAGGCGACTGTGAGACCATGTGACTAATATCCCGCAAGCATTCTTGGCGTCTCTTCTCAATAACTTGCTGTAGACTGACGTCCGTATCCATGTAGAAGGTTCGGATCGAAGACTCAGAGGACAGGGTGTAGAGCAGTCGTCTGCTATCGTCCACCACCATCGACACTACATGCTCCTGTGATCTCGGTCCCCATAAGACCGGCACTAGAGAAGAATATCCAGGGCTAGTATGGCAGACCTTCCCACATCTGCTCGCAAACCACTTCTCTTCTTGCTGATATGTCAATTCGTAAACTTCATTATCCGCCCTCCCCGTAAAGAAGATTCGACCAGTCGTCCTCGAGCCCTCGATAACCTCCACATTAATTCCCCGGATGCCCAGCGTCATTCTGGTCTGGTACAGCGAGACCGTCCTTACTCCTGTATTATCCAACCTCGAAGTCAGCGGCGTCGTCTCGATCGTCGTGGACACGCCCAAAAGGATGATCTCCGCGGTCGTAGCCACCACCAGCAGATACTTGATCTCATTGACAAAAACGCCTGCTCTCGGCACAACCAGCTTGACGGCCGTAATGGTATTCGCCTGCTCTTCGAAGCCGATGACCTCTGGATTCGGATTGGTGTAGTCCCAGAGGTATAGCGAATTGTCAATCACTACCCAAGCGTGATTCAGCTCTGCGAAGAGGCCCATCATCGTCTGCACTTCCGCGCGGTTGTACTGCTCGAGGATGCGGTCGGGGATATCGTACATTCGGGTCCGTTGAAAAGGCGCCCAAGCAGCCTCGGTGTTGTGCTGTGGGAGATCATAGTCGGAAGAAATGCCCTCTGCGCAAGCCCATAATTTATTAGCTGTGCTCTTTTTGAGGTAGGGATCCGGCGCAGCTTACGTCTAACATAGCTATCGATCTCAGGGAAGCGTACTTCTCGATCCAGCACGGCATTTATAGTATTAGCTGCTCGCAGCACCGGAGGCAGAGCTCTAGGAGCAGGAGTCTCTTGCGATTGAGGGTTTGGGTTTCCATCGTTTGGAGTTGGACCTGCAGGAGGCTGGCGCCCGTTCTGGCCAAAGAGAGGCTGTCGGATGGGAGGACCTGGGCCAAATCTAGAAGCTGCAGGAGTTGCAAAGTATGCGCCTGGGAGAGGTCTTTGTGGTGTAGCTGGGTATGCCATTGCTTTTGGGGTTGGTGGAGGAGAGCTGAGCCCGTTGACGCTGGCTATCACGGTCGCAGTACTGCTCAAGATTGTTTTCGAGGATTAGGAAAACTTCATGAAAAAGGATTGAGGTGATGGCAAGTAGGCAAGATGTTTCGCGACGGCAGTGATTGGGGTGGTTGAGATTTCGGGGACCAGGGCGGGTTCGAGGCGCATCTCAAGAGTTCTCGAGACGCGTTGAAGTTGACGGTGCTCTCCCCCAAAAAAAGTACGAGTCAGGTGCACGGACCAGAAACAAGGCTCCTGTGGAGTATGGATTGAACAATCCTGGTAACTCGAGAAGCAATTGAAGCCGTCCAGTCACAGCTGATTCATCCACATTATTCCAGTTTGGTTTCAAATTCACCTGATTTTGAGGACCAGGCTTCGCTGCCATCTGTGTAGATCTTCTCAGCCTCGCGAGACTTGGGATGATCACCGACAGATTTATCATATTGCTATTCCCTTCCCTGAGATCAGCTATATCCATGATCATTATAATAATGCATTGGTTCAGCTACTGCGCCTTTAGAAATATGGTTGGTACCTATGGGTGCCGAGTCTCAGCCTGCCTCTGAGATCAAAGGGTAACAGGACAGTCTCAACCCCCCTTGTCCAGCTCCGTCCCTACACTTCTCAGACCTTCTTGGCCTCTCTCTCCGCCTTTTTCAGCGCCCTCCTCCGAATACTTTCGTGCATCTTGCGATTCTGCACCACAACCATCTCCCCCCCAAGCCCAACCGTATTCTCCAACCACCACTGCATCAGCGCATGGCCCCAGAACGGCGTACTCGTAAACGCCATGTTCTGTGCGCCGCCCCTTCTCCCCACCTTACCTAGCACGCTCTTAACAAACATGCGCGGACTCGGGATGAACATGCTTGTCTTGCGGATCTTCGACATGGCCGTTGTGACGAGGTAGCTGAGCACCAACTCAACGTCCACACCCGACCCTTTGAGCTCCCCACCCAAGGCCGTAGACCACTGTTGCAAGAATGCCTTGGAGCCCGAGTACGTGGCCAGAAGCGGGGTAGGCAGAAGTCCACCAAACGAGCCCATGGTAAGGATAAGTCCTCGTTTCCGTTGGATCATCCCCGGCACCACAATCTGCGTCACCCTGAGAGTGGCCACGCAGTTAATCTCAATAATCTGCTTGACCTCGTCCTTGGGCGTAATCGCAAACGGCACCGGGATACTATGGCTCTGCCCCACGTTATTTACCAAGATGCCCACATCCAGAGAATCAACCAGCGCTTTGAGCTTCGCGTAGTCCTCGTCCTTGTTGAGCGAGAAGTCCATGGCTAGCGTCTTGACCGAGAGGTGGGCACCGGCATACTTTTGCGTGATTTCGGTGGAGAGGGTAGTAAGCTTTGAGGCGGTGCGCGAGATGAGGAGGAGGTTGAAGCCCTTTTGAGCGAGCTGAATGGCATATTCTTTGCCGATGCCGTCGGAGGCGCCGGTGACGATTGCCCAGGTGCCTTTCTTGCCGTAGGTACGAAGCTAGACAACTGATCAGCATCAACTCACAAGCATAACCTACAAATCAGGTATTTGGGAGGTGCTGAGGGTGTTGGGACATACGTTTTTCCCACTGAGCACAAACAAGCTCAGCAGTAGTCGCACATAGCTAACCACTTTACTTCCAAGCCAGAGAGCGCCAATTCCAGCAAAAAATGCCAGAAATGGGGCGGGAATACTGTCCAGCTTGAGGTATTCCATTGTTGCAGTTGTGATGTTAGAGCTTTGGAAGTGAGGTCGTTGAGGTTTGGTTGGGAAATATTTTAGGTGGGTCGGATTGGGAGATCAGCAGGGTACTTCGCAGCCAAGACACTCTTGACGCGGGAAAGTTTCTCCGACGACAATCAAAGTCAACAAACGCGACAACGGTTTGAAAAGGGGCTCGGTTACTCGCATACGACTGATCGTTCAAAGGGCTCAGATCTCCTCCCCAAAAAAAAATCCCAGGTGAACATTGGGACAACCTCAAGGACTTTCTAAGAAGTCGACCTGAAGCTTCAAAGGGAACACTACCTAATTGGTGCCCAAAGATGTCGTCCCTCCTCAAAACAATCAGCTCCCACCTCCCCCAACACGAAGGCTACCTCCCGCAATGGCTTTTCTTCGTACGTTGCCCCTCCGCCCCCCCCCCC